AAACAGTCCTGGGTTGTATCACGCTTGCTCTTGTTGTTGCACTGGCCAAGTTGTGTGTGAACTGCAGTGGTGAGTGGCAAGTGTTTGATTTCATCTTCGGGTGGCTCCTTAGGAAGTGAGTGGGTGTAATAGTTTGCACTTCTCTTACGAGTCTTTATTTCATGTGAATTCACCTGTTGGATCAGGGAGATGCCTATTTGTGTCACTGTCTTGTGTAGTCTTGGGAAAGGGGTTAGTCACTGTGCAACTGTGCTGCTTCCAGTTCTGGAACTGACTGGTCCAGGCCTGGCTTGTCTGCCCGGTGCTCTGTTGCTGGGTGTAGGTTTTCCTTTACTGAAAAACTGTTTGTCTTATTTCAGTGTTTCTGAAAGATGCTGTGGTGACCCCTAACTTAATGATAGTGACTCATTCTGGATTATTTTGGGGGCCCTCCATGCAGTGTATTTCCATTCCTAAGAATGGGTCCCCAGGGCGGCTCTGAGCGTGCTGCAGCCCCCTGTGATGTGCACACAAGTTTGGACAATACAAACTGTGCAAGGGTACCCCAAGATTCATAGGAAGCTTTGCAAGACACGCTAGACCATCTGCAAGGAAGCTTGCTTTGTGTCGTGATCTTTTATAGTTTCTGTAATCTAACATGTTTAATTCATTCGAAGTGCAGCGACTGTGTGAGGCTACCCTGGTTGTTTCCTTTCTCTGCCATGCTTCCTTTCTCCTCCTGTTTTTCCTGCAGGCCTCTGGCTGTACCTGGCAGGAAGCGATCTCCCCTGCCTAACGCTGATTGGCTCCCCCAATTTCGGATATCGATCAGTTCATCGCGACTTGGAAGCCCAGGTTGCGATAGTGACAGAAAATAAAGCTTTGCAGCAGCAACTCCATCAGGTAAGTGGCGGATTATGGGGAGATAACATGGATGTTGTGCTTCTTGGTCACACAGGGAATGCTGATGACGCAGTTGCAATAAAAACCTACTGCTACAATAATTCAAAACCTTCTTGAGCATAGGAAGTCTCAGGGAGCTGTCAGTTAAGTGACTATTGATGAGATGCCTGCTGCAAGTGCCTGTTTCTGGGAAATGGAGGCCATAACGGGAAAGAACATGTGTCCCCAGTGAACTCGAGTTATCGGGAGTGCTCAGGCACTGGATGCTGAGAGCCACAGCTTTCAGGGAGGATCTGCTGGCTCTCCTCTGCTCACGGATCACATGGGCCTTATCCCCAGTATCGAGCATTGCCAAGGTTGCACCGTGCTCTAGGATAATGAGGGCAGGCCCCTTGAATTGCTGATCTTGGACTTCTGGGGGATTTTGCTTCTCAGGCATTTGGGAAATCCTTTATAGGAATATAAATGCCAATCAGTTAGCTTTTGGGTGGCTGCCCACAGACTGTGGAGGTGAACAAACGCAGGGGATCTTAATGTAGTTTATACAGGAAGAGGATTTCTGGTTGGATTGCCCATGAAGTTATATGACATAATACCATTTTGAATAATAACATGACATTATATAATCTTGACACAAACATTTTTCAGTGGTTTAATGTTCAGTGTCCCAGGGTTTTTTCTGTTTCTTTTTTTTTTTTTTTTTTTTAATTAGCCAGCTTGGACTGCCCAGCACTTTTGCTGCTTCTCTAAATCCTGTCTGGTTCTCCAGCTGTCTTGACTCTGAATCTTCTGCTGGAACTGACAGGGTCCCAAGTCATTTCTTATGTTGTGCCCTGATACAAAGCAAATTGGTTTGGTGCTTCCATGTGTGACTTAGGGATCTCAGCAATGTATTCTGTTAAGCCAAGTCCTGGCATAAGAAGGCAGAGTTGTCTTCAAGATCAATGGGAATTGCCCAATTGCATCAGGGCTCTTCCACAGGATGAGTCAGAGCAGATCTAATCAAAAACAGTTCTATTACTGGAAGAGTTGCTTGAATATTTCAATTCATATCTTGCCTCCACTTGTTTCTAATGGAAGGGGAGAATCAATGAAAATACGACATAGGAATTTTCTCAGACAGTGCTGCAGTGATCCAATTTAAAGGGCTTTAAACCATTCCCATTTGCTGGAAGCTGATTTTGATGTTTGTTTACTCTTCTGTGATCTTTGTTTAGAAGACTTAATACATTACTGGGATGCTGCCATGAAATCACTTTGCCTTTTAACATTCAGTTCTATTTTAAAAATGTGTGATGAGATTTGGTAAGAAATTTGAGTGGTCCGGGTGTCTTTGGGGGCTCCACTGAATGAACTTCAGTTCAGATAAGTGGTCTTGCTTCCAGTGATCGGACGACCTTGCCGCATCAGGTGACCGTGGTGCAGAATCTTCATAGCAGGGCTGACTATAGCTCTTGGAACATTTGGGGTGTCTAAAATTAGACTGATTTGGCACACAAATGTCTTCCTTCTGTTGTTGATTCACCTTCTTGGTGTTACTTTCCAGTGCTTGGTCCCCGATTCCCTGTTCCACCCTGAATTTAAACAGTGCAGAGTATTTTCTGTTGTTTGTGACAGCTTAGCTAATGACAAGAAGATTATGAACAGACTTAGAGTAGACAGTCTGCTCCTTGTTCATCTGCAAATCTAGAAACCTGACTGGCTTTGATAAGAAAACCGCTTCTACCTTTGATCAAACAGCTGCTTTCACGTGCAATGTGAGCGTGTATTATCATCATGATGGTTCATTTCCTCCTTCAGCAGTATTTTGTACACACTGGAGAAGCCTAAGTGTTTCTGGTAATTTAGCTGAAATCATGACTGCATATTCATTTGAAAACACAGCACTTGAGCTGTGTCTAGAAAGAGCTGCGTAAGCCAGTCTCTTGAGATTATGGTAAGGTTTCCTTTTCTGGCAATTACAGCGAGGGATTTAGGATTTTTCTGAAACTGAGGCTTAGCTTTCTTGCAACTGTGGGGCACAAAAAGGCAAAAGCTTCCTCCTCTTTGTGGAGTTTAAATTGCTAGTTCTTGAGTCTGGGTTTCTGAGTGCACTGATAGTCATCAGAAGGTGGAGTGCTGTGGGGCGCGGGGGTGAAGGACGGGTCCTGTGTTAGCTCCTTGGTGGTTGCTCTGGGAGTGGTGCTGCGTGCAATGAGAGCTCTTGTGTTCAGGCTTGTGACAGAAGTGGTGCGTGCTTTTGGCAGGGTCCATGCCCAGTATTATACGAGAATCTGCTTTCCTTAAAGGCCATTATATAATCGAACACTTGGGATTTACTGGGACGGTGTTTCTTTCCCTGTATAGGAGCAGGAGCAGCTTTACCTCTGCTCAGGTGTAGTCTCATCATCAACATTTGAGCAGCCAAACCGTTACGTGAAACTGTGGGTGAAGCTGGTAACACCTCTGATCAAGAATTTCTTTTGAAAGAAGTTGCTGCTTTGGGTGAGTTTTCTGCCATTCTTACGGGGAATTTATATTACACTGACTGCAATTAATAAGTGCAGTACTCTGCCACGTGGAAGAAATAGATGATGGCAAAATAGATGACGTGGGGAAAAAAGGCGTGTGTCTCTTCTTTTGGGGTACTTGCCACAGACTGGAATTATCGGTCAGGGCCTATATTGAGTTTCATCTGCTAGAATTTCTGGAAGGGTCAATGAAAGAGAACCCATACAAGGGTATTTCCCATGCATAGAAATAAAACTTCCTTTTCTGAAATGTCCCTTACAGAGCTTTGTGGAGAGGGACCGTATTTCATCTTGACCAGCTAATAGAAAACATTGTTGGAATATTTAAAATGTTTTGTTGGTTTTTTTTTTATCTGATCAGTGCTTTGCTTTAACCTTGTAGATGTTGGTTAACAGGGGCAGTCGTTTTTGCTTTTCTGCTTCGTACAGTGTCCTGGATTTGCCTGGCTGTTCGACTGCCCAGTAACTGGAGCCCTTCGGAGCTTCATGGAATTGCTCCTAGATTTTTTTTTTGTGCTGCACAGAGTCCATGCAGTTGGCACCTAAGTGTGTGCCCTTGATGCTGGGTGTTCACACATCCATTTTATTTACATAAACATGGTCTCCATCTCTGGGGTTGTATATCTGGCTCCTCCGTGATAAGATGTGTTATGAGTGTCTTTCATGAATTGTGGAGAGGCGTGAGAGGACTTTTGGTGCTAATGTGATTTTTGGATGTTACTTGCTAAAAGTGGGAGGCTGAAACCGTAACACATGTCCTGTAAAGAAGCTGGTTGGGAAGACAGATAGAAATGTGTTAGAGCGCAGGCGCGGGCTGCCCCCTGAGTTTCACTGGTGGAGTACGTGCAGTGTGTTCTGATCTTGTTTTGCCAACAAAAGGGATTCCTGGCACCTGAAAAAGCTGAAGGTAAGTGTAAAGCTTAATGGTAGTTTATTCTGAATGCTACTGCTTTACAAAGAAACAGGCAGCTCTACTGGCCTCCCCTTGTGGCTTTTCTTACCACTAGCTTTGAGGGAAGTTTTAAGCAACTGTATTTTAGAACTAATTGTTCAAGTATTTCACGGGGTGGGATTTTGATGAATTATTTTATGCTAAAGGAATAGGCACTGGCTTCCTTCCATATGGTGCCCAGAGCAGGTCTAATCACCCTAATAGGCATTACTGCTCATTCAAATTCTTTATTGTGAAAGAAAGGGTGGAGTAGATTCTATAACTGAGAAAAAGAAAGAAACATACTTCAGAGATTGGTCTGTTTGCAGCTGGATTTCTTGGGGCTGCGCAGGTTGGTGTGTTGGTGAACTGGGCCAAATCTGCGCCTTTCTGCTTCCTTCTGGTCTAAACAGATACATGCTTCCATACAGGAATGTGTCGTGCACATGTCTTGGAGAATTTCTGCTCACAGTTAGCACTGAGTGATCAAACAAATAGCTGTGGAAAGGCAGAGGGCTATGGGAAGGAAAGGAATCCAGATAGTTGCATGCAATTGTTCCGTTTGGCCTCCCTTGGTGGTCTGGCTCCCAACCAGCACTTCATCAGAAACCACCAATTGAAAACCAGTATCCGTCGTGAGAAACTCCATGCATTGTAAGAGCAGCCTCCACATGACAGCAGTTCCAGCACTGTTTTTATTGATACTTTGCTAAAACAGTTCTGGTACAATCAAACTTAGTCTAAGTTACACAACCTTGAGGTTTTTTGCAAGTAAAAGCATTCGCTGTTTTCCATAGTCACTAAGGTTTAGGTCTGTAAGAGCAGAGCAACAGCAGCCAGTATCCACTTAGCAGCTCTTTCTTTTGTCTTTAGGTTGAAGGTCCAGACGTAGGTGGGACCTCGCATCCGAGTCTTATAGACAGGACATTCATAGACGTTCTCGGTGTCCCTGCGGTCCACAGGGATGGCTCTGATGAAGATGACTGGCATTACGGGCCTCAGCTCCTTCAGTCGAGCGTCTGCGATCGCACCCGAAGGGATGTCCCACCGAGCGCCTGCAATATTACAAAACTGTCAGGGTTCCAGCTGCCAGGAGGCTTTTTCGCGCGGGGGGGCTGTTGGCGTGCCTGCGAATGGGTGGGGGGGAGTTGCTCTAGCAGCACGGGCAAGGACGGAGCGCGAAGGTTGGGCAGCTGTGACCGAGTGCTTGGTTGGGCTAAGGTTATCATCTCACTGGGACCCGTGAATGCATGCTGCCTTACCCTGCCTGCGTGGGATGCCTAAATAAATTCAGCCCCCACTCATCCTGTCCGCACGGGTTTGCAGGAAGGCTGCACAGCTGAAGGTAGAGCTTGGCTGTGGTGGGAGCTGCGGCAAGCTGCCCTGTGTGGTCTGTGCTCTTATTTAATGGGACCCCTTTGGTGCTCTGCTGATACTGCCATCTCATTCCCCCTCGTTTTTTCGCAGTAATTATTTTAGGTTCTGAGTTTCCTGATTTATCTTACACATCAAAGAAGAACAGAATATATTTATTCAGTAGAACCATGTAGCTTCAGACAACCTGTCCTCAGGTTCTGAATTTCCAGAAAACAAGCTTCTGGTTTGTGGAACTCTGCTTGTAAACTGGACGGGTGCTGCCCTCAGCTGGTGTGTCTCTGACATTAGCGTGGACTAAAGGCTCTGCTGCTCGGAGCTTTTGCAAAAGCTGCACAAATTCAAATAAGCCAGCGAGTACTAACACCTGCTCTGTTTTCAAGAATTTTATGGCTGAGCTGGGCTTTCTCCATGTCTGAAACATCTCATAAAAGATTCAGTCTTTTACCTTCCATGAATAATCCATGCACATAGGAGCCTTCTCTAGGTGGAGCTGTTATATCCTCACGGTTTTTCTTGGTCACTTCCACTGAAAGACACATCTTGTCCAGTGGCCATTCGTTTTTTCTGGCCATGGACTGCATGATCGCAGTGAGGAAGGACTGGGGATTGAAGAATCCTGCCAGCCACACTGTTGCAGGCAGCACAAAGTCTGTTGTCCAGACGTCCAGCTCCTGGAAAATAAAACCAGCAAAGTACTTGAGTGAAGCGTGGCCTCTGAGCAGCAGAATACTGCTTTGAGAGACGATGTGACGAAGAGCTGATGCTTCACTGTGCCTAACACAAGCTTCAGGTAATCTTCAGAGGGGGAGACTAGGATGGAGGTGGTCTGTGATGAATAAATAGCAGATTCCACTGCAGCAATGAAGCTTAAACTGTTAATGTGGATTGCAGTAAATACTATTATTTTTTTAACAAAGCCACACTTTAAATAGATGGTTTTATTAAATATTTTTTTTTCTTCTGAGACATATAAAGTTATGATGGTGTTAGCTCATGTTCTTTTGAAACAGTGATATACTCTAACGGTGAACCCTTTTCAAACTTCTGCTCTCATTCTCGGGGTAACAGGCCATCTCACGTACTTCAGACTGCTTAAATTAATATTGAAAAATAAACCGGTTAACCACTGCACACTGAGGGAGGTGATTCCTGGTCTTTTGTGGTATCCGCTGGCTAGCTAAACTTTAACCTTCACGAGAAGTCAGCTCACCCTGATCCGAAGGAGCAGGTCTGCGTACCAGGCGCCCAGGCTGAGAAGAGAGGGGTAGGCGTAACGTGTCCAGCACTCGGGGACCTTGTCGTAGAAGAGAGCGTTTGCCAGCTCTTCCATATCGGACGTAATCGTTAGCTCTCCCTTCCAAAAAGAGAAAAGTCTGGGCGGTTTTATCTGGGGGAAGTATTTGTTCTCAAACTCATCACGAAGCAGGAGCTGGTACCGCCTGGCCGGCGCCGCGGGATGTGGGGGCGCGAGCGCGGGCAGCCGAGCGCTTGGTACCAGCAGCGGCCGTTTGGAAATCGGGGGACCCTTTGGTCCAGGCAGCTACCTCAGTCCTACCTTCAGTCCCAGGTCTAACTCCTTCAAAGAGCGCCTGATTTCCTGGGTCAGCGTGTTCATTCTTTCACATTCCTGGAAGGCGACTACGACATACGGGGTCTTGTCCACTGCTGTCGCCGTGAGCTCTGCCATGCTGAACGGCTCCGGCAGCCTCTCGATAATCTCGTCTAGGACTGACTTCACCTGGGAGGAATATGCAGAGCATGCCCTTGTCTAAGCAAAAATGCTGTGGGCCTTTGGCCTTTGTGCTTTCCTGTGCTTCCTTCTCTGTTACTAATACTCTCTTCCTTTACTAACTGCTCTTGAATCTTAAAAAGCTGCAGCTCTTTCTTGATAGCCAAGAACGGAAGAACTGAAGCCATGGAGGCTGTGAAATTCAAGGGTAAAATCCAGGGAGTCAGGAGGAAGATTTGCCTTTTTTTTTTTTTTTTTTTTTTAAATCTGTATTTTTAGGAGTTGCCATCATGAATGGCAGTTACTAAGTCTGCTCCATCTGCTGAGGACGCAGCATGTGAGCCACTTTTTGCTGCTGGCACATCTCGACCCCCTCAGCGAGTAACCCTGCTGAACGCTGCCGACTTGTGTAACTGCACCGTGTGTCCAGAGGGAGCCAACACAGATCTCTGCCCTTTGGGCTTTTAGCGGTGCCGGAGCAGAGCAGCGAATGGTTTTAGGATCTGCACGACTCGCTGCCGGGCTGCCTGGGGTCTGGGCTGGGGCAAGAGCAGGGGAGAGGGGAGGGAGCTGCAGGTGGGACGGGGACAGAGAGGCACCCGCAGCCGGGGCTGGGGGGCCGTGCTGCCGCCTCAGCAGCTGCGGCGCGGTGAAGCGTTTGCTCGTGTTCAGTTACATTACCGATGCCAAAGACTGGCAAAGTTGCTGAAACGGAAAGGAGAGCTCGTCACAGGGAAACCGAGTGCAAATGTACTTAAAAAAAAAAACCTGACAGGAGTGTCTGGCTGAGCAGAGGCTGCAGCATTTCTTGTGAGCTGTGTGCTAGCAGCTCCCCCTCCTCCAGGCTGACAGCTCATAGCATTAGGTACGGGCTGGGAGCACATCTCTACTATCTTGTGCTGATAAAAATCAGTCATTACAGGCCCCCTGTGTCTGGGCCCGTACCTGCCCTCCCTGCCTGGCCCCTGATTGTCACAGAGTAATGTAAAACCGTGCTTGCCTTTTCCTCTCGGGAGACACCCGAGCCTCCTCCAGCGTCTGATTCTTTGGGCTGCATTTCCAAAACTGTCCGAAAAAGCCTGTCCGAAGTGACAGTCAGGAAGCCGATTTCGGCGTTGGGGTGGAGGCCGTACAGGTAGGGGCTCTCCGGGGGCAGGTTGTCCTCGATGTACTTGTGGTAACCCTGAGGGCAGGGCAGGCGCTGACGTCAGGGCAGCAGGATACGCACAAAGGAGCTTGAGTTTTGCTTCAGCCTTGAAAAGGCATCATCGCTTTGTGGTGGTGGTGCTTCACAGCTAGCTGCTGTTGCTTATTCAAGATGGTTTTTTATTCATGTCTTACCTAAGTTTTTCCCTTACCACCCCAGCCACAGGAATTATTTTTGCAGCGATTCTGCATGCTTCCACGGGATTGAAACTTCTTTTCCCTGACATTCCCCCTTGGCTAGCACGAGGGAACTCTGACTAGTGTGCATTTATCCAGAGCAGTGGTTTTCCACAGCAAATCACAACGTTAATCTTTCTTACCTCGTAATCCAAGCTGGGAGGGACCAAAAACCCTGGAGCCAAGGACACTTCCCCTTCCAGCATCTCGGCGTGGATGTATTCGCTCAGGTAAGTGCGGCACAGCCGGCGGTCCCAGTCGTCTGTGATATGTCCCCCGTACATGATTTCACCAAAGAGGTACCGGAGATCATCCCATGGGACCTACAAGGAGGGGCTCAGGGGGGTTTCTGTGGGGCTCAGCACCGAGGCTGGCCCCAGGCTGGTGCTGATCCCCGGCTCAGTCGCACCGTCGGCCGCCCGAGCGGGCGGCTCCCCGGGGACGGGGGCAGGAGCTGCTGGTGACGCCGTGTTTCCCCAAGAGGAGGTGTTTGTGCAGCAAACTGGTGAGCTTGTTTTAAAAAAGGTCGATCGTCATAGCGCGTATTGTGCTGAGGTACGGTCGCTTTGTAAGAGCCTCACCTTGGGGTTTGCCTCCAGGTAGTTGTAGAGGACGTTAATGGATATGGTCAGGTCGCCGTTGTTGAAGGGGTAGGATCTGTTCCAGCCCTGAGCGCCAAACTTGCGCCGCTCGGCCACCACCGCGTGGAAGTAACAGAGCGCAAACAAGACGCATTTGAACTCGATTTCTTTGCTGCACATCTCTAACGTGTCCTGTGGTGGAATAAAAATGAGAGCGGGTTTGCAAGTGAATGATGAGTGGCGCCATCAGCCATCTCTCTGCTGAAGAAAATTAACAGATGATGGCAAAGGAGAACTGAAGGTTGTTTATGACAAAAAAAAACCCCATAAAATTATCTTTTAAAGATTTGCTAATTGGTTAAGTGTTGCACTCATTTGTTTATAAAAAAAAAAAATTAGGAGTACACCCCCCTGCCGTTGACAGTCGTGGCTTCTTTGTGGCACCGAGCTGCAGCAGCTCGACATTCAGCCTTGGGAAGGGCTCCGGTAATTCAGCCCCCCCCCCTCCCCCAGTTCATACCCCTTGGGCAGCTCTGGTTACCCCTAAATCCTGTCCTGGCAAATGGGGGCTCTGGGCCCCCCCGAAGGCCGTGCCTGGGGGTGGGCTGGGTCCTGGATCCGCAGGGCACGGGGTGAGCCGGACACGCTGACCCAGAACGATTCAAAGGCTCTGGCTGCGCACAGCACGACCGGGGGGGTGAGGCGGGGCACGAGGGTACCTGGGTGAAGAGGTCGAGGGCTTTGTGCAGGTTGGCACACATGCCCGTCGGCGGCTCGTTGGTGATTTTGATGGCGTTTTCCAGCAGTCCCTGCGGGATGATGTGTGCCTCGGGGCTGGGGGCTGGCTCGGCGCTCATGAACACGCGGTAGTCAGCGTGGCTGCCCAGGCTGTACTGCTCCACCGCCTTCTCCAGCGTGCCCAGCCACCGGGCCACCAGGTGGATGTTCTGCAACGGGAACCCCCCCGGCACTGCTTGGGCTGAAGTACGACCCCGGGGACCACTCGTTCCCCCTCAAATTCCTACTGTGGCTCCGCAGAGAGCGGGTGCAGCACAGCACGGCACCGCTTGGGCTGGGGAGACACAGCTGACCCGGGCAGTGTCACTGCTGTCATCTGGGGTACCCCCCCCGCTGCAGGCAGGGCTGTGCACCCCGTGGTGCGTCACCCTGGTGCCCCCCGTGCCCCCCAAACCTGCAGGATGACCCAGTGTCCCTGCGCGGCCGCCAGCTCCAGGGCCCGTTCTGCCACGACCTCCTGGCCCTGCCCCAGCGACACGTTGTGGATCTTCCCGTTGTCGATGGTGAAGTTCAGCTTTCTGCCTGGGGAGGGGGGAAACCGCCACGGTGTGAGATGCCTTTTTGTTAGGGTTGGTACAAAGAGGGGGCTGCGCAGCCCCCGGGGGCTGGTGCCAGCCGAGGCGGGGGCAGTGGCTCACCCAGGGCCTCCACATCCTTCAGTGGGTCGACGCCAGGAGAGAGGATGAAGAACAGAGGGCTGGAGGGGCTGCTCTCCTTGTACGCCTTGAAGAGTTCAACGCTCCTCCCTTCCACAAACTTGCTCCCCATCTTCTCTTCCACAAAGTTCCTACAGAAAAATAAAACCATAATGTGAATGAGGGACAAACGCAGTGGCGGGGCGCAGCCGGCGCCAGGAGAGCACCGCGGGCACCGGGCTGGCACTGGCGCACCGGACGGCGTAGGACATCCTGTCCGGCCGCAGGCACCGCAGCATGCACAGCTTCTGCAGCGCCGACTTGTTCTTCCACTCCTTGGGGAACGCCTCCTTCTCCGGCACCTCCGACTCCACAAACTTTTTCCATCGCTTTGCCGAGCCCTCGATATCGCTGTCCAAGTTCCTGAACTCGTCCATTTCCGAGAGCACCTTCGGGTCCCGCAGAGAAGGGCTGAATCACTCCCGGGCTCTGCTCGTCCTCAGGGACCCCCAGGCTGGGGGGGTCCCCAGGGAGCCGGGCCCCGGGGGGTCCCGCAGCCCAGCTCCGGCTGCCAGACCTGACCAACCTTGATGCCGCCCCAGCCCTGGGGCTGCAGGAAGTCCACGGGGGACGTGACGCCGGCCTTGGAGGGGAAGCGCAGAAGAAAGTCCAGCTCTGCCGGGTTCGCTTCTCCCTTGATTACCAGGACCTGGCACATTGAGAGCGGGGTGTCACAACCGCGGTCTGGGCGCGAGGGGCCGCGCTCCGGGTGAGAAGCTACCGAGCATCCGTCAGAGAACAACCTGTCTAAAACAAGACAAACTCACGTACAGGATTACACAGCAGAAGCCCCAAACATTTGCACGCGTTACCTGGAAGGTAACCTGGGCCAGGAAAATGAGTTTGTCTCTCTCAAAGAGCCCCCGGGCGGTGTACGCATAGACCGAGTAGGTGATCTCGTCCGTCAGGTTGATCACCCTCTGCTCGATGTCGTCGCTGGGGGCCGTGCGCTGGATGGCTTTCTCGAAGACCCCGTTGAATGCCTGAGGAAGAGCCGGGCGGGCAGCTCAGGGCCTGGGCTGCTGGGTGTTTTGTTAGCAGCATAAATGCTGAAGCACCAAATCTCCGAGATCCCCCACACCCTGTCCTGCCTGTACAAACCAATTCCCTTCTTGCTTCACATCTACCTTGAGAGAGAACTGGTAGATGGGGTTGATCTTGTTGAGGTCACTCAGGATGAAGTACAGCAGGGACGCTCGCTCCGCCGCTGGCCTGTAGTTTTCTCTAGCGACATTTATTTGGACTTCGGTGACTTTAGCTTCTTTCACCTTGACGCACACGAAGGTGGGTGTTCTCCAGCAGCCCAGCACGTGGCAGAGCAGTGCCCAGGCTCCCGCTCAGCGCTGGGGGCCCAGCGTGGCCCGGGAGATCTCCAGCACCAGCTCTGGGGCAGCTCACTTACTTTTTCCTCAATTTCCATGGCTGTGCGCTTCGTTGTTTCCAGGTTCTCCACCAGCACCGTGTCCCCCAGGAATTCCCCCCCGGCAGCAGACAGCCGGGCGAGCAGGGAGTCCTCCAGCTCCTTCAGCTTGATCTTGAACTCGTTCTGGCTCTTCGTGAGGTTTGCCTACAACACCAGTGTCCCAGAGAGACGCGTGTCATTCAAGAGACCGCGGTAAAACTGGCCTCGATTGCTGTGACTTAATGTGGGTGCTCCCTAACGGAATGCATGCAACAGGCTGTGCACCGTCAGCAGTTCTGCTGCCTTTATCATCTATTAGAAATTCTCCCTTTACAACTGCAGCCCAGGCAGCGTACTGGGGTACCTGCCAGCTGAGCTACAGGTCCCTGAGAAACACACAAAGTTTTTCATGCTGTCATCGAAGCGCCAATGCAAAAGGAGGGTGGATGGGACTCGCTTGGCTCTCGATAAGCAGCACCAAGCTCACGTTGATGAGATCTCTGCTCCCTGCCAGCAAAGCCACCGCAGCCCCCCAGCCCCCCTCTGCTACCGTCTCGCTGGCAGCCAGGTTCGTACCTTCAGGGTCTCCAGGTCTGGCCGCTCTTTGGCCACCACCGCAGCCAGGAGCTGGTCCTCCAGTCCCTCCCGGGTCACCAAGAAGTTGATCAGGGTGCACTGAGCCTGCACCTCCGGCTTGAAGTGAGGGTTGAAATATTTGGTGTGCAGAATCAGGCGGAAGCGTGGGTGATACTCCACTTCTTTATCTCCTATCCTAATGTATCTGTTCAGATAATTAAACAAATTAATGTGTGTAGCCCTGGCAGTAAGCTGTCACAGACAAACCCTCAACCCGCGTGCTCCTTCCCGGCCACTCGAGATGTTTTTCTTTGGTTGGGAAGAGGCAATGGCAAGGGCCAAGGCTGGAGGAGCCGAAGGAGCTGGCGGCTGCCCTGCCCGCGGCTCTCAGGCAGCTTCTGGGCTCGTGCTGCTCGCAGGCACCGTGCCACGATACGGGCAGGGTGGTGCAGCTCCCTCCCCAGCAGTCCCAGAGCCCCGTCCCTGCGGTCCTGGGGCACCAGCCCGCAGCAGCCCCTGGGGACACGGCCAGGGAGGTCGGTGGTGCCTGGGGAAGGCGGCGGTGCCTGCAGCGCCCAGTGGGGCGGGGGAGATGGGGCAGGGGATTCTCCGGAAAAGCCCTGTCATGGAATAGCGTCTGTGTCTGCCAAGAGAACCTTCCCATTCATTTATACTGCAATAAGGTGCATTGGGTAACATGCTCATCTTAAATCACTAAGTGAACTGGACTCTGCCGACCAGAACAGTCCAAAACGTGACATCAACCACAAGCGTCCCCACTGGGAAATACCCGGAGAAAACTGGGGGATGTAGCCGGAGGCTCTCACGTGCATGGGGAAGGATCAGGCCCCAGCTGTTGTCATGCAAAGGGGCATAAAATCAGCATTTTAGGGCTGCAGCAGTTGCTCGGAGCAGATGAGACTCCTCGGCACCGGAGAACGGGGTGAGCTGACCTGCCCTTCTTGGTGGTGTTCCTGCCCAGGAGATGGTCCAGCACCGGCTCCACCGTCTCGCCGACGTCCTCGATCAGCAGCGTCTGTCCTTCGGAAACCGCCCGCTCGATGGTGTCCAGGTAGCTGCGGCCGAGAGGGGAGGGATGCCCTGCGGCCGCTGCGCCCCGGTGGGCCCCCCCGGCGCCCCAGCAGCCCTGACCCCCGCGGAGCCCATGGACCCACCAGCGCTGCTGCCCTCGGGTACCCCAAGTCTGATGGGGGAGGGGGGTGCCCTGGCCGGCAGAGCCCCGCGCCCCTCGGCTGGCGGGGGAAGGGGGGCCCGTTGCAGCCCGAGCCCGCGGCCGCCCCGCAGCACCCGCCCCACCTCCGCTGGCCCAGGCGGATGGCCTGCAGCTCCTCCCCGTATTTGTTCTTGATCCACTTGATGCCCTGGAGCTGGGCGTCCACGACCAGGGGCCAGCGCTGGGTGTTGCAGAGGATGGTGGCGTTCTCGGTGGACGTGCGGTCGCTGGGCAGCCCCTGGTTGCTCCAGGCAGCCACGTCCGCAGTGTCGGTGAGGAGGCTGAGGGGGTCCAGCCCTGGCGTGACGGGGATGGGCGCCTGCCGGGGAGGGGCTCTTGAGCGCTTGGCCGCGGGGGAGCGGGAGCCCCTCGGCGTGGAGGGGGGGAGCCCCGGGTACCCCAGACCGGGACCAGTGGCCACTCACTGCCAGGCTGCTGAGGAAGGGGATCCAGTGCCTCTCCAGCAGCTCGGCCCTGTACTTCTTGGTGAAGTAGCCGACGTAGGACACGAAGGCAGAGACCAGCAGCACGTCCCCGCACAGCGTCTTCTCCTGCTCCCTGAGCATCTCTACTGACTCAGCCCAGCGGACGTTTTCGGATGCCAGGCCCCCGATGAGCCTGGGGGGGTCAGAGGAGACGGTGGCTGCTGCAGTGCCTTGGCCGTGATGCCGCAGGACGGCTGTCACCAAACGCCCTCGAGATTAACCCCGCTCTGCTCGGGTGCCGGGCTGCCCTCGCCCGGGCTGCGCGGCTGCATCATCCCCTGCCCTGAATTTCTGGCCCATTTTGTACTCGGGATTTTTTAATTCGGGGAGGGTACGGGGGGCTCTGGTGCTTCCATGACCCCTGTGTCATTGCCACCAGGCAATGCCAGGCAGCAGCAGACAGTCCCAGCACTCCTGGAGCCAGCGTTTGCACAGTACCTGTTTGCCAACACGATGACTCTGTTGGTTGCGTCAGCCTCCTGCTGACATTTGATTTTTTCAGCTGTAGCTTTCTCAAATGCTGCAGTGAGAGCTGCCAAATTGGCATTCAGGTCCTTCAAAAGACAACACATCTACAGTTACGCCCCGCACACAGCGCAGTAAGCTGCCAGGAGCCCGGGCGAGAGCTCTGCAGACCCGCGGGAGCTCTGTGGCAGCTCCCGTCGTGGCGACGCGGCTCTTGCACCTGGGCTCCAGGTTACATGAATTATAAGAATCTTTCTCGCTCGGTTTTGGCTGCTGGCCGTGACCCGCAGCCGGATCGCCGGTGGCTGGTGGGGTTCGGCAGGCGCCAGCCAAGGCAAACAGCGGCTGGCTCCGGCAGCCAGCCCTGGCCGGGGGCCGCGGGGGGGGCACGCACTTACGGCAATTTTGTTCTTAATGCGACTGAGTTTTTCTTGTGCCTCTGCCAGCTCGGCGTTGGCCTCCTCCAGCGCCAGCCTCTTGGGCTCCACCTCGCAGAACACCTCGTAGAAGCGGACGATGTTTAGGCACCAGGAGCACAGACCTGCGGCGGCTGTCGACTTCGACATTATGAACTCTGGATCAAAACTGGGGTCTGACTGGTAGGGCCTGGAACGGGAGAACGCGCCGCGCTGCGACACGGTGCTGCGGCTGCTCCGTCCCGCTCCTCGGGCTGCCGAGGGCAGCAGGGTGCAAGAGCAGAGCAAACGTTTTTGAAGCGTTTGCTCTGCTCTTGCAGAGCTGCGCTCGCTGGGGGGGGGGGGATGTCTCTCCTGGGTGCCATGGCCAGGGCAGCCTGGGGGCTCGGGGCTGGGGAGGGGGCAGGAGCCAGCCACGGACTCACTGAAACGCCTTGAGACAGGCCTCAGGGATGTGCTCCTTGTCAAAATTCTTTAAGGCGTCAAGGAAAGTGTCAACTTTTCCCATCATGACTTTTGCTGCCTTCCAGCTCTTATCCTTCGGTATCTTGCCCCTGGGGGCCGTCAGGACCATCACGGCCGCCGTCACGTTCACCACGGCTTGGGGCGGGGACCCGAAGGACTTCAGCTCCGTCAGGTTGTTCTGGGAAGGGACCGGGGGGGCTGCTGAGCATCGCCCCGGCACAGGGGCGCCGGCACCAGCTGGGAACCCGCTTCCCACCGAGGGGACCCCCACCTTGTTGAGCGTGTTGAGGGCTTCCTGGGCAGCCACGAGCGCCGGCTCCGCTTTCGCCAGGTCGGTCTCGCAGGCTCGCTGCTTCTCAGCCACGTTCTGGGGAGGCGAGGGGACGGGGTGGGGTGAGCAGCCGGAGCTGACAGAGCTCGCGCAGCCCCATCCCGTGTTGGACCCCGGTGCGATGGGCACCGGCTCAGCACCACGCACCGTGTTGATGGCCTGGACCTTCAGCTCCTCCTCGGCAGCGATGGCTTTCTCCTTGCTGACCTTCTCTGTCTCGACGCCCACCACGTGGATCAGTTTATCCGCATCCTCGTTTTTCTGCTTCAGCTCTGTCTCCTGGACCGCCAGCTTGGCTTTCAGGTCATCCACCTTGGTGGGGGAGAAACAGAGAGGATCCAGGGTTGGTCCTGCCGAGCCCTGCCCCGCCTCGCAGCAGTGGCTTGGCTTGGCTTGGGGACCTCATGGACACTGCGGCGCCCCGTGGGGACGCGCCTCCTCTCGCCCCCCCCAGGCCCACAGCTGGCACGATGCAGAAGGGTGCTGCGGGCAGGCACCTGTGACGCCGTGCTCTGCAGCTTTGTCAGCCCCTTCTCCAGCCTCTCGATCTTGGCGGTGAGCTCGCTCCGTTTTTTCGACAGCAGGTTTTGGTAGAGACTTATCTGCTCCAGGAAGGTCTTTGGCGTGGTGTAATTATAGCGTCTCTCCACAGCCAGGTAGGTCTTGGACATCTCCTTAACGCTCAGGTGGACGTGGGACATGAACCGGCTGATGGAAACCTTGACCTCGGGCTGCACCAGGAGCACAGCCAGTGAGCCGTGCGCCGTGCGGGCGCGGGGAGGTGCTGGGGTAGAACTGAGCCCGCCCGCAGCGTTGGTTCCACACCCAGAGGCCAGGGGGCAAAGTGCCATTTTTTGTTAAACAGCACAACGCGTGGCTGAGAAACGAAGGTGACCACGGCACTAACGGTGCTGGTTCCTGAGCTCAGCTCTGGCTTTCCTGGCTCTAATCCTCCAGGTTAACCTCAGCTGCACTGGGGAAAAGCTGCTGTTTCCAGGCTTTTATTTGTGATGGTGTTTTAAGGACAAATGAGAAATGAGGACAGGTTTGTCCTCACTGGCACGGTTTGGGGCCGCAGGCTCTGACCCCGGAGCCAGCTGTGAGCTTACCGCAGACCCCATTCCCAGCTTGGTGACCCCACACCGCCGGGTCACGCCAGACCCCCATCCCCAGGCATGTCACAACAAGGAGAGCAGCAGAAGCGCAGGTCATTCCCCCCAAAGCAGCCCGGTTTTCCCCAGCCCCCCAGGACAGAGGGCTGTGCGCAGGCACGGCGTGCGCTGACCCGGGGTCCCGGCTCACCTCAATGTCCCCCGTTTCCTCCAGGAACCTGCTGCTGACGGACACGAGCGCATCCTCCGGCCACTCGTGGAACCAGTCGATGGCCGTGCAGTTGACCACGGCGGGGAACCGCCTCGCCCGCTCCCTCAGGGTCGAGCCCACGGGGGAGAAGCAGAGGATGACCTGGGGCAGGGCACGGCGGGTGAGCGGCATGTCCCCACTGCTGGGGTCCCCGCTCACGCGTGGGGCAGCAGGAGCATCACTGTGGGCTGAGCATCGCTCGCAAACGCTTCTGCTGGAGATCAAGACTTTGCCTCCCATTAACTTCCCTTCCCGGTCCGTGGGAGATGGGCCATGACTGCACCCCCTGCCCTGCAGCGGGGCCGGGGCCGGCACCACCGGGTCCCCTGTGGTGGCTGTGGCTCGTGGCCGTGGAGGCTGCTCACACCCCTCTGCCCCAAGGGAGGTAAATATGGGGGTGAAGAGCTGCACCCCTGGGTCTGGGGGGTGCAGCGTTGTCTGGGGAGCCATTGGAAACATCTTTCACCCAAACCCATCACCCTGCAACGAAACCACGGTTTTCTGTGTCCTGTCTGCAGATAGGTTTTGGATTAGGCAAGTGAGGAGCACGGACAAAACACCGCCCTGGGCGAACACTCACCTTTAACTGACGCCTGACTTTTTCTATAAATAATTTCCAGCAGTTTTCCCTTGTATCTTGCAATCCAAGGAACTTCACTTGGGGCTTCATGGCACTCATAATGTTTTCCAGGTCATCATCCTGAAAGAGCCCCGGCACCTCCCCGGACGCCAAGTAATCATTGATTAGGACCAGGAACGATTCATCAGCAACCTGGGAGTCTGTCATCAGGAATACGGTGGGGACGTTCTTCACGGCTGCCTTGATGCACTGGGAGGCGAGGTCCAGCTGGGACAGGAGAGAGAGCCTGTCACCCCCCGCCTTTCAAACCCACCCTGAGCTGTTCTCCCAGGTGACCGGTTTGGCACAGCCCGGCACCCCTGGGCTGCCCGGGGAGGGCAGGAGGGTGCCTTTGGGGAGGTGCTGGGTGCCAGCGCCTGCCCCCCAAAGTGACTCCTGCTCGCCCCTGCCCGGGGAATGCTGCGGCCCCTCGGGGCAGGACTCGAGGCTGGTCAGAAAGGACCTTTGGATGGATCACAGGGTGCACAGACAGCGATGAGAGGAGAGCAGAGCCCCCCGCGCCCACCCCAGGCACCGGAGCCACCGCGGGGCTTGGCACCACGCCGCGTTTGCAGGATCCGTCCCGCGAGCAGGCAGCGCTGGCCCGGGGGCCGGGAGGAAAGCTGCTCTCACCTTCAGGTCTGGGATGCCGTAGCCTTTCTTCAGCGTAATCTGAAACACGTTCAGATTGCTGATAAAAGCTGCCAGCCGCGCTAGACTCTGCTTCCCGCTGCCTCCTACCCCCACCAGCAGCGCGTTGCCCCGGGGAGACTCTAAAATCCGACTAATTCTGCAAATATGAGACACCGCATCTTCAAAGAGCACCTGAAGAAAACGGGAGGGGAAGGCTCGATATTCTGAATGACGGCAGGAAGGTCGGCGAACGCCCCAAAACATACAAACCCGAGCGAGAGCGATGCTGCAGGCGCAGCTTTGCGGGGCGGATCTGCCCCTGGCAGGGCTCTCACCAGGTTCATCGCCGCGTTCATCTCGTTGTAGCTGTCCAGGGCTTCCGCCAGCAGCTTGTTCAGAGCCGGCCAGCTCGGCACCGGCATGTACCTGGGATCCCCTATGCCCTGGGCAAAGTGGCAGTAGATGTTGGGCTTGGTGAACACCAGGTCTTCGCCGAGTTCCTGGGAGAGGCAATTCCAGATGTGGGGCTCAGCCGTGGGGCTCCTGGGGGACCACTGGCCGTGCCACCGCCGAGCCCGTGCCGGGGAGCTCAGCCTGGCAGTGCAGCCTCACGGGGCTGGGGCACTCCCTCATTTTCCAGCACAACTTACATCAAAGAACTTCTTGCAGATGTCCACCAGCATCTTCCCAAAGGCCGTTTGGTCCTTTTCATCGACGAGCTTGTCCCCGTACACCCGCTCAGCTTCGTGGAGCCAGAGACGCACCAGGTCCAGGGGACTTTTCAGGCATTCGGGAGTGGAGAACAAGAGACCCTGACAGACACGCGAATCCCTCAGTCCCCTGGGGTCATTTTACTGCCACTCAGAGCTGAGTTTAAAGGTTGGCTTTGGGAAGGGGCCACGGTACTTTTCAGGGACATGGAGCACTGCAAGGTGGCATAATGAAGGAAAGAAAGGAATGAGGACGTTTGAGAGGAAACAGCCCTCCCTCTACCTGGAATATATTGGAGAGGTCCCGGAGGTTGAAGAGGTAGTGGAACTTGATGGCTGTTGGCAAGAAGGTGGAGGCGACCTTCTGGTGGAGGGCTGTTGGTGGGAAACGGGGGTGAGCGGGTGGGCAGGTCCCCCGAGACCCCGGCAGCCTCCGGCGGGACCCCTGAGCCCCGCTCGCTCTCCCCCCCGGCGGGTGGGACAAGCCCGAGGTTTTAGCCTGACAACTTCGAGGGACGCGATGCTGCGTTATGGACGTGAACCGAGGTTGCATTTGCACGGTGCCGGGGTGCGGGGGCGCGGCGCGGGGCTCCCCGGGCACTGGCCGCTTGTGCTGTGGTTGAGTTTCCCCGGTGCTGGTGGGTGAATTCCCGGGGGGCTGATGCCGATGGGTGCTGCCCCCCCCTCACCCCCACCGGCGTGGCAGGGGCTCACCCAGCGCTGCCGCTACCAGCTGGGGCTGCAGCTTCTGGACAGGCGGCGGCATCTTCTGCCGGGCCAGGTGCTGCGCGAGGATGGTGCTGTACACGGCCAGCAGAGCCTCCTGCCCGGGGAAGCTCATGGCGAAGACGCAGAAGTGACGCTGCCGCAAGGGGCAAAAATTCAGATGGGAGCTTTGTCCCGCTGGGGCCGGTGCAGCCAGTCGGCCCCCACCCCATCCCACCCGCACCGGGCTGCGGTGCCAGGGAAGGGAACCCGCCGCGGCACAGCCCCCGGCCCCGCGCCCCCCGCGTACCTGCAACCTGGAGTCGATGGTGAAGGACCCTGCGGTCGGGTTCATGCAGGCCACGTACTGGCAGTTGTGAATGTCCTTCAGGGTCAGTTTGTTCCTGTCGTACCTGCGCAGGGACCGGCAGGGTGACGCTTTCCCCGGGGATGGGTTCCTCCGCTCAGGCTCTGGCCCCACTGGCCCCGCGGAGCTGCGTCGAAGGGGGATGCGGGAGCGGGGATCCCCATTTCCCCGGTGCTCGGCAAAGCCTGTCACTGCTCTCGGTGATGCTTCCCGTGACCCACAGCCAGAGCTGGTCCCAAACCCCACTGGGGCAGCACTTGTCACCTTCCCCCCCCTTCCCAAGCGAGCCCTCCCCAGCGCCTGCACCGCGCTGCCAGGCACGGGCAGCGGGGCTGTTTGCTTTGAATGGGCTTTGGAGTTGCCAGCAGAGAGTTTTCCCATTTCTCTGCCAAAACCTTCCCTGCAGTTCTGGGGATGAGAGAGCTGGAGGGGGGGACAGGCGGCTGAGCTCCGCCGGCACCACGGGCAGGGCACGGCTGGGGTCCTGCACCGGGATGGGATGGGGGAGGCACCGGCACGGCACGGGTTTGCCGGGCAGAGGGTCACCGAGGCCCCACAGCGGGGGCCGCTGGCCGGGCACCCACCAGTGCCCGTGGTCCATGTGCTGCCGGATGAGCGTGTGCGGTGCCACGGTGCCGTACTTGTCCACCTCTGGCATGTTCATGTCGTCGATGAAGTAGACAAGCCTCCTGGTCCCGGGTGGGCCGTAGTTCCTCCCGGATTTCTTCTCCAGGGGTTTCTCGAGGACGGCTGCGGCGAGAGGAGCGGGTGGGTGGTGAGCGGGGCAGCGCCGGGCGGCACAGCCCGACACGGGGCCGGCTGCCGGCTCGCCCAGCCCTACCCTGCAGCATGGCCGAGGTGGTGTAGAAGTTAAAGGGCACAGACTGCACGAGGTATTCATCTGCGCTGAGCGCTCCGAGCTTGTCCCGCATCAGGACCGATTTTCCCGTCCCCGCGTTCCCCACCAGCATCACCGGCCTCTGCTTCTCCATCAGCAGGTCCATGAGGTAGCGAATGCGAACGGTCTCCGTCGTGTGCACCAGGGAGGCCTGGGGGAATCGTGCCCTCAAGCCCCGGAGCTCGCCTCTTGCTGCCGGGGTTGGCGTTTGCAGGCAGAGGTGGGACCTTCCGTGAGCGCAGCGGGCAGCGCGCAGGAAGCCTTGCCTGGCGTTCCCGGCAATGCCAGCTGGTCTAATGGAAGACGCTCCAACTCTGTACAAACCTCACCCCTCTCTAAAGCAAAAGGTCTCAGGTACTTGGGTATTCTAAAGGCTTTCTGACCAAAAGGAGGAGCTGCCAGAAAAACGAGTTACAGCACAGTGCAGCCCCTGAAACTGTCTCCAGTGTGTTTGTTCAGCCAATGCACGGGCCAAATTCAGCTGCAGCACCTCTCCCTTTCCCTGAAACCTTTGACACAGCCCCCCTCCCTCAGGAGAGCATTTCAAAAGACATACAAATAAAGCTTTAAAGTACATTTTTGCATTCAGGCAATAGTTCTAATTATTTTGTGAGAATCTACGAGGCCGCGTGTTAATCTGAAATGAAAAAAAGAAGAGTTGCAATGTGCAGCTCTCGCTGAGGTTTCCGCAGGGTGAAGCAGAACCAGAGAAGGCCACGGGGTTTGCCGGGTGCTGCCGGCTGCACAGCGCAGCAGAGCCAGCCCAACTCCCTGCGCTGCTCCAGGCGCGGGGTCTTGCCCAGCGTTGCTTGGGGGAAGGCCATGGAATAATGAGCAAGCAAAACACGTAAGCACAGAGAACTTGTGGGAAATACCTGTAAAGGGACATCAGGATTGAGTTCAAATTTTGGCACTTTTTCTGTCCAGAGCATGAATTTCTTTGTTTCCGGATCAATGTAATAGTCGAAAATTGTCCCCTGAGAAGGAAACTTGATGGTTTTAAACTCATTCACCCACCACTTGCTGAACTCCAGGCGGTAATCCACGAGCTGGAAGGAACCAGACAGAAAAACTCAGAAACGGGCCAACATTGTTGCTTCTTTAGTATTTTCCGAAGGGATGCGGCCGAGGGAGGAAGCTGGGCGGGATGCCCTGGCCCACGGGCAGGGGGGGCAGGCGGCCGTACCTGGTCCTGGAACATGGCCCCTCCGAAGGCCCAAGTGCAAGCGAAGACGAAGTAGAGCTCGTAGAGCTCCCGAGGTGAGTCCGGCGGGGTGGTCTGCGGCATCAGGAGGCACTCCAGCAGGTACAGCACCGTCTGTGTCATCGTGACCTCAGGGACAGGGGTGATCTTCTTGAATCCAGACCTGAGCTTCTCTAGGCACACTGGCAGGTACTTGTCAAAGAGGATCATCAAATTGGCCTTCTCAGACTGCACTGTCCTCTTCTCGATCCAGCTGGTCACAATGCTGCAGGAGAGAAGGGCAGGGCTGCAGGTGAGCGCAGGGGCCAGCACCCATCCCATCCCATCCCATCCCATCCCATCCCATCCCATCCCATCCCATCCCATCCCATCCCATCCCATCCCATCCCATCCCATCCCATCCCCATCCCATCCCATCCCCATCCCTATCCCATCCCATCCCATCCCATCCCGGTCCCCATCCCATCCCATCCCCATCCCATCCCATCCCCATCCCTATCCCCTCCCATCCCATCCCCTCCCATCCCATCCCATCCCATCCCAGTCCCCATCCCTATCCCATCCCATCCCATCCCAGTCCCCATCCCATCCCATCCCATCCCATCCCGGTCCCCATCCCATCCCATCCCATCCCATCCCTATCCCCTCCCATCCCATCCCATCCCATCCCGGTCCCCATCCCATCCCCATCCCATCCCAGTCCCCATCCCTATCCCATCCCATCCCATCCCATCCCAGTCCCCATCCCATCCCATCCCATCCCGGTCCCCATCCCATCCCATCCCATCCCATCCCATCCCTTCCCGGTCCCCATCCCATCCCCATCCTATCCCAGTCCCCATCCCATCCCGTCCCACCCTGTCCCATCCCACCCTGTCCCATCCCACCTCCCCCATCTCCCTCCCCGGGCTCACGGGTTCCAGCCCAGGTCCGTGGGGTTGATGTAGAGGATTCCCGCACGGGACACGGTTGCTGGCGTGGCCGTCCGCAGGTGGCTGACCTCGAAGAGGAGCCGCATGGTGGGGTTGAGGGGGATGCGCTCATTGCTGGCCAAGGTGAGAACCTGGGGAACCAGCCTGTCATGGGGGGGATGCCCCGATCTCGGGGCCCAGGCGTGAACACAAGCTGATCACCCCATGTTAATGAGCGAGCAAAGCTCCCGGGGTGTGATGGCACCGACCTTATTGTCATCCATAACCGTGTTCAGGGACTCGATCCACATGGGGTCAATGTCGCCATCGAGGATGATCCACTTGGGCCCTTTATGTGTGATGTTGGCCAGGTCACGCATCGTTGAAGAAAACAGACCTGCCCCACAGAGAGACGCATAGGTTTGTCTTTTGCAGCTCTTTCCACTCACGGCACGTTTGCTGAGGGACATGCAGGACCGGGTACTTCTCTGAAACACCGTCCTCCTCCCTCACGCTCCAGTAAAAAGCCCCAAGGAGGGGTCTTCCCATTCCAGCCACCGCATCACAAAGTGTTTACAGAGTCACATTTTATGAAGGTATTTGCCTGTGCACCCCCGGCTGCTGGAGGACGGTTTGTGCCAGGTCCCACCCGGGGTAAGCGGCCGCTCAGGTGGCCACGCACACAGCGCTGGGGTCTCACCATCCTTCCACTCTCGCGTGGATGGATGAATAACCCCAAACAGCTCATCGCAGGTCACAGCCTTGGGGTCAAGGTCCACGGTGACCGGCTTCCGCTTCATGGTCTTGTACGTCTTGTTGAGCGACCTCAGCACCTGCGGAGAGGGGGACGGTGCAGCCACGGCCGCTGCTCCCCCCAGGGCAGCCTTTGCCCGCAGCCGGGGGGCACGGAGCCTTGCTCCCCCCCGCTGTGGAGCCCCCCGGCCTGGGCAGCCTCCGGGAAGGCTCTGCACCCCCCTCTGTGGAGCCGGCTCCTGGCCGGGGTGTTGTGAGAGCCCAGAGCCCCGCCAGCCGGCACCGCGGCACACAGGGTGTCACAGAGCGTGCCCCTGCCTCGTCCCCGCTGTCCCCAGGGGTGTCCTGGGTGGCCCCTGAACCGTGCCACCCGGCGCAGGGACAGCCCCATCCCAGACCCGCTCAGCCCCGGGGGCTGAGCCCGGCACGAGTGGTGCTGGAGGACCTGGCCTGGCCGTGGACGCTGGCCATGCTGCCGGCCCCCGCGCAGGTGCTGCTGCTGGTGCAGCTGGGGGGGTCTGCATGGACGGGGGGGCGGCCCTGGGGTGTGCTGGGGCAGGAGGGCACCCGAGTCCTCAGGGGTGGTTTGGCTGCTACCTGGGACTTGCCACAGCCGGCGTTGCCGATGATGAAGACGGAGTGTCTCACTTGCAGCAGCTCCTCCAGCTGCACCACCTTCAGCACAAAGCTCTCCTCCGCCTGCAGCTTCAGCTCCAGCACGGACTGCTTGATGAGCTGGGGAGGAGAGCCGGCGCCGACCACAGGCAGCCGTCAGGGCCTGGGCAAGACCCCAGAGACGAGCAGCCACCCCCAGAAGTGCCGAATGGACCTTCAGCCTCTGGACCCTGCCAGGGCTGGCGCGTCTCTGGTGCTGGTGCCGCGCCTGGGCTCGCACCTTCTCAAAGTTGAGGTCCCTCTTCCTGGGGACGTCCAGGGCTGGGAACAGGTCTCCAATCAGCCCCATGAAGACGGGCAAGTCGTCTGTCACAATCTTGGGGATGTTGAAGTCTCGTAAAGCTCTCATCAGAACTTGGTCCTCGGCGCGCCCGGGGTCCCCTCTCTTCAAGGAGCCCGCTACCACCAGCACGGACTTGATAGCCCGCAGCCCCCAGTCATAGTGGTCCTGCCAACAGGCAGCAGAGTATTACACCTTCACCTTGGTGAGAGAGAGCTGCTTTAAACAACGCTACAGAGGGACGCCCTGTCCGCTGCCCCACACCCAGGTTACCCACAGCGTCCAGCAGACCGGGCCTAAGTGAGCTCCTGTCCAAGGCAGGAGGGGAGCAGCAGTCTGCTGTGCTTCCTGGAAGCACATTTTTATTGCGGATCACTGCTGCTGAGATGAATAACATCTGGACGCTCTCATCTTAACTGGCTATATTCTATTCTATTTTTGGACTTCTTGACTTATCCCAGAAGGCAGAAACATGCCACATGATGCACCAGCATAGAAGTGGAATTTGTCCCGGCAGAGACCGGAATGCAGAACGCCAGTCAGCACATTGCTACCGGCAATCCTACTACAGGCCGCCAGGTTTGAAGTTCAAATGAACTCTTTCATCTTAAGGAACCATGCAGTACTGCTAAATTACCTGTTTAGACAGTAGCTCTTTGCAGAGTGTATACAGCGTGATGAACTTTCTTGCAAGAAGCTTAGCATCAAGAAAACCTTCTGCAACAAGCATGATTTCACAGATCAGCTCAAAATCCGGGATGACCATGGCACAGGGTCTGGAGAGGAGCAGTGGCAGGTTAACAGGGCTGTGTACAGGCGTGCACGCACCCCTTGCGCTCCCACAGCCAGCAGGAATCGGCACCCGCGTTTTCAATATCAGAACTGGCCAGTGATTTGCACCAGCTGGGGTCTCTGCAAGTGTCTTGCCCAGCCTCCTGATCCAAGCAGGGCCCATGTCACGGCTGGATCCCTGGGCCTTCTCCAGGCACAGTTTGAGTCCCTCCAAGGACAGCCATCCCACAACATCCCTGGGCCACCCCTTCCAGCACTTCACCATCTTTTTTTCTTATTCTCAATTGGATTTTAGCCAAAGGTTGCAATTAGACAACCCGAGCATCCTCTTCTCCAGGCTGAGCAGCCCTGCTCAAAGCCCCTGAGATGGTCAGAGGCTGGGAGGTCCTGGGATGCCAAGATCTCCCAGACACAAGGGCTGCCAGCACACACAAATACCCTCATTTGCACTAGAAAAGGCTTAGTTCACCTTACGGCTGTAGCACACAAACGTTACTGCAGAGGTGAGGGCTGTAAGGACTCCCCCTTCGCACTGACCCCTCTGCCTACGGGTACCTGAACAGAGCTTTTAGATTTTCAGGTAGTTCTGTCCGTCCTGCGTAGCTGGGGTTCATGGTGATGAACAGCCCAACTGACGGGATCAGAGTGATCATTTCTCCAAGGAAATTGAATCTTTTCTTCTTGGCACGAATTGCGTCTTGAACACATTTCACCTGGCATGGGAGGGGAGCTGTCAGTGCTGGCAGCCCCGCGGGTCCCTGCCCTGCGCCCCCAGCTCGGCCCCGCTGCCGACCACAGCAAACGAGCCTGGAGGGTCAGTCGTGACACCGGCAACGCTGGAAATAACGCCGAGAGCTTGCTGACGCCACGGCAGCACAGCAATGCCCGGCCTCAGGAGAGCTGGCCTTAAATCAGCCTCTTCCCAGGCACCGCGACACCCTGTCCCCGGGCAGTGGCAGCACCGGCGGGGGGGTGGCGGGTCACCGGGGTGGGACACGGATGGGCTGTGTGATTTTAAACATGCCCAAAGGCCCTGTACCACTGTGCTTCCCCTCCATTTGTGTCCCCACATGGCACAGTGGAGATAACAGCAGCAAACCGTCCCTTTGAAAGTCAGGTTTAACCGAGACAACGCTCAGTACGTGAACTGGAAAGTCTCTTCCAGTCCCCACGGCACCAGGCTGCCGCTGGTTGGTATGGAGAGCACGCACCTGCACAGCAATCACAGACAAAACCTCCACTGCAATGCGATTGAATTCATCGAAACAGCCCCAGGCGCCAGTCTGAGCCAGCCCCTTGTAGATACTGCCGCAGGACTGGAGAGAAAGCACCGGGACGGGCTTCAGACACTGAGCGTTCGCACAGAGGATGCAACACGGGGATTTGTTAAGAAAGCTCCAGTGCTAGGAGCTGCTCTTGCTGCTAGGATGTGTGCCTTTCCCTAGGGAAAAGCCCTGTGGCGTTACAGCCCCTCCCCGGGCTCCCCCGGGCTCCCCAGGACACGAGCTGGCCAGGGCTGCGGTGGGGGGAAATGGCTCAGGATGGCGCCAGGAGCTGCTGCCGGACCCCCACATTTCTCGCTGGCTGTCGAGCCGGGGAGAGGAGAGAAGCTTCAGGGCATCGGCGATGGATACTGCAGCCAAACACAGGGGCTGCAGCAGTGCCTTCCGAAAGAGGGACCCCCCGCCTTGGTGGATACCCCACGGCTCTTGCCTCAGTGCCACCGTCCCGCTCCCCCGCACCCCACCTTGTAGTCCATCTGCTCGGAGCAGTTGAAGACGTAGACCATCATGCCCACTGCCCGGCCCAGGTCCTTGGTGGTCTCCGTCTTCCCGGTGCCCGCGGGGCCGGCGGGGGCCCCCCCCCATGAAGAGGTGGAGGGACTGTGTCAGGGTGATGTAGCACCTGCGGAGGGGAGGACGTCGGGGCTGAGCGGTGCCGGCAGCGCGGCACGGCCGCGGAGCCGCCCCGGTCGGCGCGGGGAGCCGAGCCCTTACCGGTCTGTCAGAGGGGTGATCACCAGCCGGGGGGTGTTCCCCAGGTACTCGTAGGAGTACTGGAGCTGCGCGTCGCAGATGTTGGCGTAGCAGTGCCTCCTGCCCTCGTCCCAGCGGTGCCGGAGCTGGGACTGCCAGGAGAACGCCTGGGCACTCTCCACCTGCGGAGCAACCGGCGGCGGTGGGCGGGTGGCCCCCGGCACCGCCAGCTCCCGCGCGCCTCGGGACCTCGTCACCCCCACGCAGGAGGAGGGCGTGCAAACGGGTCCCGGCGCAATGCTGGGGTGGGTGAGGACCGTCCCTCCCCGTGGCCCAGCCGGCTCCGTGCCGCCGACCGCGGTGCGCAGCCCTGCGCCGAGCGCCCCGGCTCCCACCGGGCGCGGCAGCGACCGGCACAACTGCTCCTGGATCTGGCTTCGCACGAGACCCAGCCGTGCCGTCACCTCCCCCGCTCCTGTGCAGCCCTAGCACCCCACGTGTGGTTTCCTCATGCAACCAGGATATTTTGAAAATATTGGAAAGTAGCAAAATAACAGGAAATCTCTGCTCAGACGTGCCAAGACACAAAGCAGTGAAAATACCCTCTTGTAACGAATACCTTGGCAAGGATCATTTTAGCCACAACATCCCTGGCGTGGACGTCAATGGTACAGATTGTCATGATCTTCATTCTGTCTCCGGCACTTAGGTTTCCAATGAGCAGTGAGATCAGTGCATTTAGCTGAGAGATCTGAGGAAGGAAAGAAATAGTAAACAGAAAAATGACATCACCATTTGCCCATCTCCCGGTGACACCCCTCAGACCAGCCCTCGCCCCTTCGGGGCAGAGAGGGGCTGCAGGACGGCCCCAGGCCAGGTCCGAGAGATCCCAACCTGCTTTTTGTTGTAATCCCTCATTGCGTTCTCGTAGCCCTCCTCCAGCCTCGAAAAGGCAATGCCGACTTCTGTCGTCCACCAGATCTGGGTGCACGTCAGAGCAACCTGCGGAGAGCCGCGGGGAGAAAATCTGACCATCGAGGGAAATACCCCGTCCCCGCCAAGGCTCGGGGCAGGCGCCTGCACCTCCCCGGGCTCTGCACTTGCTCTTCCCCCCGGACCGGGGCTCCCGGAGCCACCGGCCAGCCTGGCCCCGCTCGGCAGCTCCCACCTGCGCCGGGTAGTCGAACACCCATTGCTCCCGCGGCTTCTCCTCGTAGGTCACCATGGCCTCGGGGATCAGGTGCCGCAGGGTGGACCGCATGCTCTCCAGCACTCGGTTCAGCCACACCTCGACCTGGAGGGTCACATCCAGCAAGCCCTGAGCGCGTGGTTCCGAGCCCGCGTCCCGGCCGGCCGCACGACCCCGCGGCAGCGTGCGAGCGGCTCCCTGCAGCTCTGCGCGGCGAGCTTCGCCCTGCGCATCGCCACAGGCTGCATGGAAGTGCCCTGCGAATGGCCCCGCGGGGCTCTTCCCACGGCTGGTGGTGGGGCACGGTTCAAGCGTGGGCAGCAGAGAGGGGAAAAGCACCGTGCGGCCGCCCGCGGGGCTGCGGGCCCGGAGGGGCTTTGTGCGGCCGATACCGCTGCAGCGCTGGTCTACACCCACAAGGCAGAGCCCACTGCGGGGGGTTATTTGGCCAAAAGGCTTCACGACTGTCTTTTACGAGCGCTGCCAGCCTGTCAGTGCGCAACCAGTGAACGGTCCGTGCCCGTCTCTGTGAGCGCAGGCTCTGCGGAGCTCAGCTCACCTGGCCCGACAAGTCACAGTCTGCGTCGAGGGGCACGTACTCCTCGTCCCTACTGAACATCCCCAGGCCAACCCTCAGGGGCTTTTTGTCCGGGCTTGTCTTGAACTTCAGCTTAGCCAGACTGTCAAACAGCTTGGGGAGATGACGGGACACCTGCGAGCAGGGGCAGGCAGAGGTCAGGGACCCCCGGCCTGCGCAGGGCTGTAAGCACCGCTTGGATCAACCCCTGCGCAGCTCTCAGGGCGCCGCACCTCTGAGAAGGAGGGTACCAGTGTTCCGTCCGTTAGAATGAAAAATATATTAAAACTGCTACAACAGGTTAGCATGCAAGAGACACAGGACTTGCCTCCAGTGCTTTACACACAACCCATACCTCAGCTGGCTCGTTCCCATTAGATAAAATATCAAGCAGGTCTGCAGAGGAAACAAAGTAGAATCTGGGAAAAGCCAGTCTTTTGGTCTCGAGGTATTCAGCCAAAGCCTTCTCACAGAGTGCCAATCTAACAGAAAGCAAGGAAAAAAACCCAACCCTGTAGTTAAAACTCCCACACATTAGTTTTCATTCTTTGCTAAGTCCTTGTCACATGGAGACAGACACCGCTTTGGAGAAATCAAACACTCCCCTTGGCCCTACGACAGCTGGTGGAGGCTTCTCCATGGGCTTCACCCAGGACGACTCAAACCTCACCTTTTCTGCAAGGCTTCTAGCTTGTCATAGAGACCAGGCTTGTTTGTAGCTTCAATCACATTGGGAGTTTTTACCGTATCAGCCATTAATCTCTGCAAGAGGAAAAACGCTTCAGCTCTACCCGAACCGGCGGTGAGCTCTCGGGCACCCGGGGAGGGGACAGCCTTCGCACTTTGAAATCTTGATCAATAGCATCAAAATGCTTCGAGTCCTCTGGCAGCTGACTGCGGATGTCCTCGGAGCCGATGAAGATGCTTTCCAGGTGGCTCCACGTCCTCTGTACCTCAAACAAGATGCTGATAACGGAGTCAGTGGTCGACAGCTTCTGCTGCCAGCTTGACACCTCCTGAAGGAAGAAGGCTAGGTGCTTGGAGGTCATCAGGTTCTGCAGCTGCACTTGGTTGTCCTCCAGCGTCTCGATGAGCACCTCATCCGCCTTGAGCAGCACGATGCCGGTCCTGGCGTGGGGCTCGTGCTCGAACCGCATTGTGGCCCAGGTGGCGTCCAGGGCGTTCAGCACCTACAGACGGGGCGTGCGAAATGAGCTGGGCTCTGCGGTGCCGAGTCCCAGGCCCTGCAGAAAGGCAAGGCAGCAACAGGAATGCCTCCTCCAGGGCACGGGGGCCACGGGGGCCACGCTGCGTGTGGACTCCAGCCCCCAGCAGCAGGAACACGAGCGCTAACAGCCACAGAGCCGCACCGGAGCAGGGCTCTCAGCAAAGCAGGGCAGGGACCAAGCCCCACTTACCTTCTCCATCCCCGACTCTTTCATGGCTTTGTCCACGATACCACAAACCTCATCTTCAAACTTATGCAAGTTCAGCTGCAGCAGATCAGCGAGGGTTGTGTCCTTGGACATGGTGAAGTTCACCTGGAGCAGAACCGGCACCGTCGGGGAATGGACTCCCCTCCACGGAGAGACAGCCCAGCAACTCTCCCAAATGAGCTCATTCACACCCCTGTTTAAAGACCCTACACAAGTAGTCGTGTATGGGCAGTTTTTAAAACAGATTGCCTGTTTCCCATCATGGATGCAAATCTCAGGAGCCTCCCGGGCCAGGGCCTGGGGCCAGGGAAGGGCAGGAGGGCTGGAGCACCTTGGTTGCCTGCATGAGCTCCTGCCAGTGCCGGTCCCTGATGGCCGGGTTCTGCAGCTCGTTCACGGCGCGCAGGGACGTTATCATGTTCTTCACGTTGTTGTCCAGCCCTGTGAACGCGTCCCAGCTTCTCACCTCCTTGTCCAAGCTCCAAATGTCTTTAGCAAATTTCTTACAATCCATATCCATCTGCTCAACATTGATATCCTTCCACCGGGTGGTCTTCCAGTCGTCCATGCTTGTGTTAACCTGAATTTGGGAATATGCTTTCACAGGACACGTAATTAGCAGCAGCATTCCTGTGCAGGGTGACGAGCGACATTCCCAGCACCTGCACGTCCCGTGCACCCACACGCGCGCGCCCGGCGCCCGCACACCCGCTGTGCTTGTGCTGGGGTGCGCAGCCCCCGCGCCAGCAGACCCTCTCTAACGCTGAGACAACCCGCTCCGCGTATCATCCCACCTCTCCTGGCAATGAGACTCTCGGAGGAGCTTCAACAACTGTGCGCCTTTGGCTGGCAATGCCCAGCCGGTGCCGGGTGCCCCCGCCGGGTGCCCCCCCCAGTCCGCTGTCAAGCCCTTGCTGGAGGCAGCGTTGGGCACCGTGCACAGGGCCAGCACTGAGCCCAGGGCTCCCGGTCACTGCTCTTGACCACAGATGGCTATCGGTAGCCACCGTCTGCAGACTTCAAAACTGAGGACCAGCCCAGCACACCCCAGAAGCCCGTTCTGCGCATCCTCACGCTCCTGCCCTTCCCATCACGCTGGCTCACAGACCATGGCACGTACCAGGACGATCGTGTCCCAGAGCGCCTTCAGCAAGCGCGCTTCCCTGCGGCAAGCTTTCAGCTGTTTATAGTCGGGCACCGACACTTCGAACAGCCCGGCCGACTTGGACAGGGCTGCCATCTCACTCTCCATGGCGGTGATGCTCTTCTGTTGCTGGCCGGAGAAAAAGAAAAGGTCTCAGCCGGGGACCGTGTGCCAGGGACGTCTCTTACCGTGCCGGTGGGGACAGTGGTGGCCCTGGCATCCTCCCCTCCCTTACCTTGTTCAAGGACTTGTAGGGGTCTGGGGCAGTGTACGAAAATGGGGCTTTTTGCCGGAAGCTCTCCCGGAAGGCGTGCTGCCGGACCTGCGGGGGGGGACAGGGCTCAGGGGGGGCAGCTGGGAGCTGGCAGCCGGGGAGAGCGGCAGGGTCCTCCCGAGACTGCCGGGAAGCTGCTCGCTGGCCCCCCGCCCCCAGGGCAGGCACCTTGAACTGCTGGCACTTCTTGCGGAGGATGGTGACCTCGTTGGCTTGCAGGGGTGCCACGCTCTGCTTGACGCGCAGGCAGAGCTTCTTGGTGCTGTCCCAGTGCTCGGGGAGGTCCTGCGGCGAGCACCGCACCGTGTCGGCAGCCTGGCCTCAGGGCACCCGTGCCCGGCCCCCCGCACCCCGAGCAGCTCACGTGGAGCTGGAGGTGGATCTCCTCCGGCATCTCCTCTCCATAAGTGCTGAGCAGGGCAACCGTCTCCTTCAGAGGCTCAAACATGGTGTCAGTCGTTGCCTGCCTCTCCTTGACCCTCATCAGGTGCCCCATCACCTCCACTAACCCATCGTAGTCTCCCTCCTTCAGAGGTTTATTCAAGCCGGTGTTTGCTTTTTGGATGAAATCCTCCAGCTCCTGGAGACTGGGAGGAAGGTGCTGGTGCTCACCGGGTGTCCCCAGCGGGGCTCACAGCCGCCCCTGTGCTTGCTCTGCAGGGCACGGCCCCCCAGGGACTCTTCCCCCAGGGGGGTACCCGCACCTTCACCCACTCCTCAACGGCTCCATCCCCCGGGGCCCAGCCCTGCCCCAGCACACGGTGGTGCCTCTGCCACAGCCCAGCTGGGCTCTGGTCACCGGGAGCACCCCGTCCCCACAGCGGGGCTCACCAGGCTCCCCTACCTGGTGATGACGTGGCTGGCGAGGTGCTGCCGGAGCGCCAGACCCCGGCGCTTGATGGCACCCAGCAGCGCCTTCTTGAAGGGGCGGCAGTTGCTCTGCAGCCACCCCCCAAACACCTTGGTGTTCGAGAACCCCATCACCTCCTCGCAGAGCGCCTCGCATGCGTCAATCTGGGGACAAGAGCAGGTCACAGCCCGTGGCCGGCATGTCCCTGGGCACCCAGCATCTCCCCGGGCACCCGGTGTCCTCCTGGGCAGCTGGTGCATCCAAGCACCCAGCACCTCCCCGGGCACCCACCCCATACCTCCTGCTGAAAGAGCTGGAGGGACGGGGTCCCGTGAGTCGGGGGCTCCTCTGGCTGCAGCTCCAGCTCCAGCTCCAGCTCCTCGGGGCTGGGGGCACTGCCCAGGGTGAGGAATTGCTGCAGGAACTCCCCGGGGTCCTCCAGCCACAGGTGGGCTTGCTCCTCGAAGCCGGCGCTGTACTCCTCGCCTTCCGCCATGGTGCTGACCACCAGTGACAGCACCTCCTCCCGCATCCTGCTGAGATCCGCCTGCTCCTCCAGCATGGTCTGAAGGAATGGGCAGAGCTCTCGGGGACCGGCTGGGGGGACCGGGCATCCTCGCCCACCTCCAGCTGAGGCGGGAGGTGCCTCCCACCGCGGACTGACCTTGTAGCTCAGCTTCCCCTCCAGCAGCCGAGGCATACAGGCCGCGGGCGCGTAGGTATCGTTGAGCAGGCTCTCCATCAGCCCCAAGAAGCTGTTGTCTCCCGCCTCCAGCGAGGGATGGTACTGCACTCTGCCGTTGCTCAGCTCCATGCGCACCTCGAACAACGGGGCCACATCGGCCTGAAACGGGTCAGAGCCCCGTGTGCTGCTTCACATCACGGCATCCCTCCCGGCCCCCAGCCCCATGGCCCACCCACGGCGGGGACAAGTGGGGACACCGGCACCTCCGGCGCTCACCGCCGGGTGCTCCGGGGAACACTGGGATGGGCACGTTTGGCCACTAAAAAAAAACGCCTGAAGAAATGAACAGGGAGCAGTGGGACGTCCCGGGCACAGGCAGAGCCGGGCACCGCGCCGCAGGGAGAAGCTGCACCTACATCAGGGGCCATGTTGGTGAGCAGCAGCTGCAGAGATTTGTGGACAAGTCTGAAGAGTCTGTCCAGCACGATTCTGTCTATGCATCCCACGTAGTCCAGCCATATCTGTGAGGACTTGTCAGCCTTGAACAGCAATGCATTCTCCTGCAAGCAGGAAAAAACAACCAGTATTTATCAATAAACACCCAGCAAACACAACAGCTGCTAACACTGCGAGTGAGTCCTCTCTCATCGCCCCCGAGGGTTCGTCCCGCCTGGCTGTGGTGTGGATCCCGCATCCTTCCCCTTCTCCCAGCTGTACGACACCAGAAGCCGCAGCCCAGCCCTCACCCGTGAGGGCAGCGGATTTCTGGAGCCCGTGTGCGGAGTTCGATGGTCTTGTGCCGGACCTTCGTCTCAGCAGAGGCCGCGGGACTGCAGCCCCAGCTCGAGTCCATGGCTCGCGGTTAGGAAAGGAGGGACACTGCTGGGCTCAGCGCCGCAGCCACCGGCCACGCTCCTTGGGCAGCCAGCTCCAACCGGAGCGTCCTGGGACGCGTCTCACCTCCACCATCCCCTGGATCTTTACGCCCGCGTCCCTGACAGCAGCACAGCGCTTGGTTAAGGTGTTTGCTTTCCCATCCAGGTCCAAGAGTGCTGTCTCCTTGTTGTCCTTCCTTTCGAACAAGGGAGCGGCTGAGCACTCCTGTGGGGAGATGACAGGGCTGCTCCACGGTGCTGGGCAAGGGGAAACCTCTGCGGGAGGCTTCCCGGGAAGACACTCGTAAAGCACCAGCAAAAGCTACCTCCATCAGCTGCGCGATATTTTCCAAGTTTAGCTTTGCTTTCTGGACCCTGGTCCGCAAGTCGTACAAGATCTCTCTCATCCCTTGGATGTACTCCATGACGCCTGGGGATGAAACGCATGCCCAAGCTTGACAGGTGACGTGGACACCTCCAAGGCAGCACGCCGTGCTTGGGGCCCTCCGGGGCTATTCACCACGGGGGGGAGCCCCCTGTGTGCCCCCCCAGCTCACCCACCCACCCACACCTGCAGAGCAGGGGTCTGTGTCCTGGGTGTGATGGCTGTGGGGACCTGAGGGCGGGTGCTGGGTGGGAAACAGGACGGTGCTGGGGGCCGGGGACACCCCCCCACACCCGAAATGTGCACAGAAGATCTCGGTCCTTGGGCGGCCGAGGGTGGGTTTGTACCTTCATGGTGCCAGAACAGGGTGTGCTCTGCGCTGGCCAGCTGCCCGTCCACAGCCTCCAGCTCCCCCGTCACCAGTGGGAGCTCCACCGGCAGCAGCCTCTGCTTCACCTGGGGAGACAATGCGCCCGTGGGTGGGTGCGGCAGGCGGAGGAGGGACCCCGCTCCGGCGGAGATGGGCACCGGTTTTATGGAGCAGGGGGGGTCCCCGCTGACACAGAGCCTGGGGGGGGGTGAGGGGGCCGGTGCGAGGGCAGTGGCAGCAGCAGCTTGGCTCAGCCACAGGATGGGCAGGGACGCGGGGTGCCAACGATGTGCCTGCTGTACCCCAAATCCCCGGGGCTTCCAGGACCTATTTCATGGGAGCCGCTCCCCTGGGGGATCCCCAGCCAGTCTCAGCCTGGCCAGTGCTCAGGGCATGCAAAAACAGCCAGGTTGTCTCCCCTTTGCAACTTGCCTCATTGTACCAGCCGACGATAAGATCCAGGTTGTCCACAAAATTTTGGAATGTCTCATTTTGAGCAAAGAGTCTCTCAGCGTTGCTCGGGATATCCTGCTGCTGCTGGAAGTTCAGGTACTTCACCTCCCGCAGAACAGCGACGAGCTGTGAGACACGGTGGCCGGAGAAAAGGCTCGTTAGTAAAACCCAACACGTCCCACCCTAGACTCTGAGAAAGTTGGATTTATGTTCGGGTGAGGGATCTCTGGTGTTCCCCTGCGCCAAGCCAGCGGCCCACGCCGGCACCCACCTCTTTGCTGAAGTTCACGCTGAGGAGAGAAGAGTTGGGGTCCCTCAGGATCAGGGGCTGCTCCAGGCTGAAGTGGCAGTCCTGCCCGGCTCCGCACACCCACTCCTCGTAGACCTTCTCCCGGTAGCCCTGCAGCAGTCCCATCATTTCCTTGTGCTTGTCGGACACCAGGAGAGCTTCAGCACTGACCATCACACTGTCCAGGTCGTGACAAAGAAGCAGCTGCTGCAGCAGGGGCGCAGGAGGAGACACGCTGGGCCAGATTCTGCCCCGGCTGCTGCCCCGTGTCCCCGGGGGGTGACCGGCACGTACGGGTGGTCGATGGCGAACAAGTCCCTGTGTGTCCCCTTCAGGCGCTGCTGCAGCTCCAGAGCCCACTTCAGCCGCCCAGCCACCGGCGGCATGTTTTTGTTGATGGCCAGGGCCCCCCCGGCCTGGGTGTCGTACAGCACCTTCACGTCCTCCAGCTCAGCCTTAAACATTCCCAGCAGGGCTGAGTAACAGGGGGACACCTCGGCCTTTATCAAGGGTCGCTCCAGCAGGGAGGCAAACATGTGCACCAGCTGCGGGAAAAAGAGGCTCCAGAGCATCACCGGAGCAGCGCGGTGACGCTCCCACGGCCGCTCCCGGCGCGGGTGGCCCGGCGCGCCTGCGGGCAGGACCCGGCGAGCCGGCGGCACCTCTACCTTCAAAGCGGATGCCAGGCAGTTGCAGTCGTCAAAGCCTTGGCAGAGGATGGTGGCCAGCCGCCTGTCCACGTCCTGAATCTTCTTCTGGAACTCTGCAAAGTCTTTGTCCAATTGCTGTCAGCGAGAGCAAAACGACCTCAGCTGGCTCAGCCTCTGCGCTTCCTCCCCAGATGCTTCCGGAAGGGTTGGCCCAACCCAGCCCGCCCAGAGCCCCGTGCCCGGCCCCGAAAGCAAGCACGCGTGCTGCCGTGGGGCGGTTTTACACGCTGCTCTTCCAGCGTGTTCTGGAGAGTGATTCTTTTTCATTTAGCAAATGCTTGCACTTCCACACCAGCATTCACTCACCTCTTCCGCAGGATCCAAGGGATCATATCTGCAGTCGGCAAAACCCTTGATGATTTCCGACACCTCCTCGTAGATCTGGAGCACGTGGCTCCTGAGGATGTTTCCTCTCACGCCTCCCAGCTCTGCTTTCTCCAGCTTCAGGAGCTCCACAGCTGTGTGGTACAGCTCCTGCCGAGCACAAGCCGTTACCCAGCTCCTCTCGGAGGCAAACCCCGGCTCCCGGCGCTGCGGGTGTGGGAGCAGCAGCACTGGTGCCAGGCTGCGTCCCGTGAGTTCCCCGCTCCCGAGGAGCAGCCTTTGCAGCCTGGTTGGGGGTGCCCGTCTGGGCATGGGGAGCACTGGGGTCCTGCTGGGGACACTGCCGCTGCGCCCCCCCCAGCGACACACCACTGCTGGGCTCCCACCTCCCCTCTGCTCCTCGCCTGTGCTGGTGGCCCCAGCCCAACCGGGGCTGGAGCGGGGTTTGCCCCTGTGCTGCTCTCAGGGGACCACCTCAACCCCCCCGGGGCCGGGGGAGCCCCCACGGGCACGGTGCCATGCCCCGAAATGCTGTGCTGTCACCTCGATAGTCTTGAGCCTGTGCAAGAAGGAGTCCATTCTCCCGAAGACGAGGGACGGGGGGAACTCCCAGAGCTGCGGCTCCTCCTGGAAGTGGAGAGGGGCCATGAGCGAGCGGAGCTGGCGCGGACGGGGCCAGGCAGACCCGCACCCCCCCCCGCGCCCACCGGGAACAGTGGGGGCAGCAGGTCGGAGCAGTAAGTGCTGTAGGACTGGAAGAGCTTCTCTATGGTGCAAATGCTCAGCTGGATTCCCTCTAAGGTCTCTTCGGTTTCTCCTTGCAGCCCCTTCATCACGTCCTCGGGGTTCAGGAAGTTACGGGTCTAGGGCAGGCAGGAGCTGCTGGCAGAGGGGAGCCGGGGGGGCTCCTCCTGCCCCCGTCCACCCTCCGGCCCCGCGGGCTCCCTGCTGACTGCCTGCAGCACACATCTTCCCCAACCCCCTCCAGCCCTACGTGGGGGCTTTGCTGGTCCCTTGGCTGGGGTGTTTCTGCATCACCCCAGCTGGGCTCCCCACGCCTGCCCCGTGTCACCCTCCCGCTACCGGTCCCACAGTGGGGGGGAGGCTGGCGGGGCGGCCCCGGGGCTCTACCATCTCGATGAGGAGGTTGCAGATCTCCTGCAGGATGACGATGACGCGGGCGGGTGAGCCGTAGTGCTGGCAGCGGGCTCGGAGGAGGCGGACGGTGCACAGCGCCCTGTCCAGGCAGGGCTGCAGCTGCGGGAGCGGAGCCTCGTCAGTGCGGGGCCGTGGCTGCGCTAACGAGGGTCTGGCAGACCCGCACGCAGCCTCTGCGGCTCGGCACCGCAGCCCCTACCCGGACGAGGAAGCCAGGAGGTGCCTGGCTGTTTTGCCCCGTATAACTTACCTGGGGATAATCCGCTTGCTCCATCTCTTCCAGCAGGATCTGGAGCGGCTGCAGGTGGAGGCTGATGTCCTTGGCTTCCTCCAGGCCTGGACCAGGGGAGAAACTCCGCGTCGGCGATGGGGAAGCCTCACCGGAGGGGCGAGAGAGCCCACCGCATCGCCCGGGGCTCACCGGCACTGACATCCCTGAACATGCTCTGGAGCGCCGGCCAGTAGCAGCTGTTGGCCTTCTCCAGCATCTTGGCCAGCGCCGTCACTCGGGGCGAGAGCAGCTGGCAGGGGGAAGGTGGCGGGCTCAGCACCAGGGGCTCAGCACCAGGGACACGTGGCTGCCGGCTGCCCACGGGCAAGGCGGTACCTGGTCGTTGATGCACTGCAGGTTGACAGTCCTGGTGTGCCAGAACTCGAACTCGGCCCTGGGCAGGGGGTGCAGCCCCTCCAGCAGCGGCTGCGCCGAGTCCTTGCTCAGGATGTCCCTGATCTGGTGGGACCAGGCGATGATGATGGTCTCGGTGGTGTGCAGCACCGAAATGTCCATGGGTCCCGCCAGGCTGGAAGGCAGCCGGGTTACGGTCCAGCACTGGGACTGGCCCTGAACCACCCTGGGCGAGCCCTGGGTGCCGGCTCGTGGCCACCTCTGCCAGCACGGTGGCCTGGCACGAGCTTCTCAAAGATGCTGCTGAGGGCTGGCTGTGCCCAGGGATGCTCAGGGAGCAAGCCAGTGTCCCAGCTCCTGTCCCTCCCAGGGGGGCTCGTGCTGCCCCGGGACCCTGCCAGGCTTTGCTGGCAGCACCCACCAGTCCAGGACGGTGCTGGAGCCATCCTGGCCGTCCCGGTGCTCTGGCAGCGGGAGCAGCGGCTTCCCCTGGATCTTCCCACCCATCACGAACATCTCATTCTTCAGCCGGTGGGCTTGTTGCACGATGTCCTCCACCACCACCCTGGGCCAGCCCGCCACGTTCTCCTCGCTCAGGAGCAGGGGGCACATCACCTGGAGGAGAGGCCTTTGTCGGGAGCTCGGCTGGGCGCTTGGCTGGGCGCTCGCCGGGTGCTCAGCCGGGCGCTCCCGCTGAAGGGCAGCGTGCAGCCGCTCTGGTTTGCAGTGTCCCCTCTTGCAGCCCAGCTGCAGCTCCCGCAGCCCCTGATGGGTTTTGCTGCTGTTTTTCTCGTCAGCACGAGCAGGCATCCCCTCAGCCTCTGGTGGGTTTCCAGCTCTCGTGGGTTGGGAAGTGCCGGGAGCGGCACCGTCAGTGTGCCCAGCGGGGTTGGGGGCTGGCGCACGAGCAAAAGCCCCTGGCACTGAGGAGGAGGAATCTCAGGGGCTCAGGCGGCCCGACTCAGATTTTGGGTGCTCTGGGCTGGCAGTCGTCTGAGAGGGAATATTTATGGGACATCTGAGAGGAATCCATTCGGATGTTTCCCAGCTGTGGGGCAGAGGGGAGGGGGAATTATGCTGAGTTTTTAAAATTGCAGGGAGGAAGTGATGCAGCTGGGACCCGGGAGAAAACTGGGCTTGTGGCCTTCACCCAGCTCTGTGCCCCGGTGGGGCTCAGCCAGCCCACCAGCACAGCAGGGTAGGTGTCTGGGAGCCACTGCGAGGCCGGGGCCAGTGCCTGGGGCAATTTTTCTTCTATTAATTTAATTTCGTTTCTTTTTGAGCCCACCTAAAGTTTTGGCTACAGCAGCCTGCAGCGGGCGCCCAGGCGGCAGCGGCGTGTGCGGGGAGCTCAGCTCGTCCCCGCTTGCCTCACGCCTGCGCCCGGTGCCCACCCGTGTGGGCAACCCACCTCATCCACCACGGTGATGAGCTGCTCCACGGGCGAGGGGCCGATGTCTCCCACCAGCAGCCCATTCCAGCAGTTCTCCCCAGTGATGTTCTCCCTCTTCTTCTTCACGAAATAGACGCCCTTGCCCCTGAGGGCTGGCGGGAAGCAGGCGGTGGGCAGGAGCTGCCCGGCGGGGTTCAGCCCCAGCACCAGCTCCAGCACGTCCCGCTGCTTGAAGAACTCGTCCAGCACGGCCGCGGCCTCGTCGCTGCCCATGAACTTGCTCCACTTGCCCGGCGGGACGCGCAGCAGCAGCGTGGCGAAGCTCCCCAGGAAGCCGTGCAGCTCGGCCGTCCCGGCCGTCATCCCGCCGGGACGGGGCTCGGCCACGGCTCCCGGCGCCTGGAGCGGGACCAGGCAAAGCCCGGCTCAGCCGGGGGCTGCGCAGACCCCGCACCCCAACCCCTCCACACTCCCCGCCCTGCGCCCCCCCCGCCCTCAGCCTTCCCCCTGTGCACTGCCGGCGCCGTCCCTGCCCGGCCCCACGGCCCCATTGCCCCCCAGCCCACCCCAGTCCTGCCTGGCCCTACCGCTCCCCCACCCTGTCGCACCCCTCAGCCCCCCCAGCAGTCTCCAGCCACTGGCTGCAGTCCAACTGACACCAGCACCAGCCCAACCGGCACCAGCACCAGCCCAAACGGCACCAGCACCAGCCCAACCGGCACCAGCACCAGCCCAACTGACACCAGCACCAGCCCAACTGACACCAGCACCAGCCCAGCCGGCACCAGCACCAGCCCAACTGACACCAGCACCAGCCCAACTGACACCAGCCCCAACCTGAACTGACACCAGCACCAGCCCAGCCGGCACCAGCACCAGCCCAACTGGCACCAGCACCAGCCCAACTGGCACCAGCACCAGCCCAACTGACACCAGCCCCAACCTGAACTGACACCAGCACCAGCCCAGCCGGCACCAGCACCAGCCCAACTGGCACCAGCACCAGCCCAACCGGCACCAGCCCCAACCTGAACTGACACCAGCACCAGCCCAACTGGCACCAGCACCAGCCCAACCGGCACCAGCACCAGCCCAACTGACACCAGCACCAGCCCAACTGGCACCAGCACCAGCCCAACTGGCACCAGCACCAGCCCAACCGGCACCAGCACCAGCCCAACTGACACCAGCACCAGCCCAACTGACACCAGCCCCAACCTGAACTGACACCAGCACCAGCCCAGCCGGCACCAGCACCAGCCCAACTGGCACCAGCACCAGCCCAACCGGCACCAGCCCCAACCTGAACTGACACCAGCACCAGCCCAACTGGCACCAGCACCAGCCCAACCGGCACCAGCACCAGCCCCAGCCTGAACTGGCACCAGCCCCAGCCCCAGCCTGAACTGGCACCAGCCCAACCGCCTCGGCACTGCAGAGCTGCCCCCCGCCCCCCTGCCCATCGTCCCTCGGCGGGGGCTCTTTGCCCACACACCCACCGCCCCGGCTGGACACCGGCCGTGGCACCGAGGGCTGCCCCATCGAGGCATGGGGCAGGCAGCGATGGTGGCAGGGGCCGCCCCGGCTCTGCCAGGCTCCCCACCACAGCCCCAGTCGCTGCATGAGCGTGCGGGCGGCCGGACCAGTGTCCCCCACCCCGGTGGCAGCGGCACGGCCAGCACAGGCTCCGCAGTTCCCCGCCCCACGGCACGCCAATGGCACACCGAGGAACGGGAGGCCTTGGACAGGAGCAGGCGGAGGCTCAGACCAGGACCAGTTTGATCCAACACGGTGTCGCTACAGTGCTGGGCACCAAAATCTTGGGGCTGGGAGAAGCATGAGGCCGGTTGCAAAGCTGGGGCAGAAGGCAGGGGGGCCGGGAGGGGCTAGGGGCTCCTGCCCGTCCTCAGCCGCACACAGACCACAGGAGGCTGAGGCTGAGCGCAGTTCAGTGTTTATTTGTTGCAGATCCTCAGCACTAGTTTACAAGGCCGTGGCAAAAAAAAAAAAAAAAAAAAAAAAAAAAAGTTAGAATAAAAAATCCTGCCACCCCCCACCCTCTGGAGAGGCCTCTGCACAGAACAACCCGACATACAAAATAATCTAAAAGGAGAAAACTATACAGGAGTATTTACACCTCTGATAAATAGACTAATACTGATCCAGGCGCCTCTCTCCAGACCGCGCGCGGTGGCTGGGGGAACAGGACAAGACACGGGCGTTTGCAAGGCAGAGGCAGGGGGGGCTGCACCCCCGGCCCGGCCGGACCCCCCGGCACACCCCACCTCCTGCTCGGCAGCGAGGGCTCGTGCTCGAGGTGGCAGTGGCCACCCCCGGCGTGACGTCCCCTGCCCCTGGCCGAGGGGCTCGTGCTGCAAGGATGTGCCGGGGGCGATGCCACCTCGTGCTGCCGGATCGGGGCACCGAGGACGTGTCTGTGCCGCCCACGGTGACGGTGACACCTCCCCGCGCCCGCGGGGACCGTCCCTGGTGCCGGGGAGGGCCCAAGGCAGCAGCGTGGGGAATCCCAGCACAGACCCAGACCCGCTACAACGAGGGCCAGCAGTTGTGTCTCTGCGGGGCCCCCCAGACACCCTGGGGCCGCCGCCCTTCACCCCGGCACCTGCAGCACCCCAAAACTGCCAGCTGCTAACCGCCAGCCGCTCACCTTCCTGATGGGACACCCCAAATGCTTCAGGACATGGGGGCTGGGGGCGGGGGGGAGGAACCAGCAGCACGTGCAGCCGCACGCTTGCTGGGGGATGGGGAGCCGGGGGGGTGCCCGCGGTGCCCCGGCTGGCCGGGGCGGGAGGAACGATGGTGCACACGCGTGGCCCAGCCCGGGGCAGGACGGGGGGTGTCGGTGTCCCAGCTCCAGCCTGTGGAGATGGCATCCTGGAGATGAGGCGGGGGCCAGAGCCACCGAGATGCTTGCGCCACCTCCCTCACCCCACGGTAAAGAAACTGCGAAGCTGAAGCTGGGTCCCGGGCCCCGAGGGCCAGGCTGCAGCGCAGCCCCAGCCCTGCAGCCCTCCTGGGAGGGGAGACGCTCGGGCTGCCGGGGGCACGCCGGCCTCGCGGGGCCAGCGCGGGCGGCTAGTGCCTCTTGGTGGAGGAGACCTTCTTCTTCCGGGCAGCCAGCATCTCGTAGAAAGGGTCCCGGCTGATCGCTGCCCTGGCAGGGGGAGCGAGGGCTCGCGTTAGCTGTACAGCCAGGCAAAATCGGCTGTAGGGTCGGGGCTGACCTGCTCGGGTAGGTCCCTTCGTGCCCCTGGGAGAGCTCGTTCCCTTCCCCCCCCCAATTTGCGGGGTGCCCCAGGAAGCACTGCCCCCCCCCCACCCCACGCAGCAGACAGGGCCGGGCGGTGCCCCTGCCCCACGCGCTGCCTCTTCCCAGCACTCACTTGATGCACTTGATCCACTCCTCCTTCTCCTCGGGCGTGGGGGCGGAGATGCGGTACACCGTGTGGTTCCCTTCCACAACGCGCCCGTCCGCCTCCGTCTTGCAGGCCTTGATCACCTGGTCCTTGTTGTCGGGGATGTAGAGCTCAAAGCAGTTCTGGGAGGGAGGACACCGCTCAGAGGCAGCCCCCGCTTCCAAAGGGGGGACCCCAGGCTGGGGGGGGGGGGGAGGATGACGAGGCAGAGCACTGGTACTGCAGGCGCTGCCCTGGCACAGCCGCCCCCCGTGCAGCAGAGCGGGATGGACACGCTGTGACCATCACCCCACGGCCCCCGGGCCCCGCCACCAGCCCTGCACACTGTGGTGACCGGCCCCGGCTCTGCACCCGAGCGCTGCGGGGGCCCTCCCGCCTCCCCCAGGGGCATCCCTGGGGGGGCTGCAGCACCCCCCTGGCTTGTCCCATCCCACTCCTGCCCCTCCAGCCCCGGGGGACCCTGGCACGGCACTCACGGGCTTCTTCGAGTCCTCCACCTCACGGATGCTCAGGTTCTCCAGGGGGATGATGCCACGGGGCTCTTTATCCTGGTGGGGCCAAGCAAAGGCTTCAGCTGCAGGCTGGACCCCGCCACCCCCCGCCCGCCTGTCCCAGGCAGGGCTGCCGGCTGCCAACACCCCTCTCCCCAGCACCCCCCCGGCACAGGCATCCTGGGGCCGCATCCTGCACCCCTACAGCCACCCGCACCCCAGCACGGCAGGAGGCAAGCGGGGTGCTGCGCCCGGTCTGTGCCACGCAGGCAGAGCCCGGCGCCTTCCCCTGCCCCGGCTCGGCACCCCCCCGAGCAAACGTCACTGACCGTCGTGTACTCGAAGTAGTAAAGGCAGTTGTCGGTCAGGATGAACCAGCGCCGCTTCCACGTCTTCACCCTGCCTCCTGGGAGCGGAGAGGGGCGGGTTGGGCGCAGCCCCCGGCACAGCGCGGCCGGGGCACGCGGCGCACGGGGGCTGCGGCGGAGCCGGAGCCCCCACGGACACGGACAGACAAGCACCGGGCGCCGGGGCGCAAGCAGAGGCAGGCAGCACACACCACGCCAGGCAGGGCACGAGCAGGAGCGGAAAGCGGATGGATGAGGATGGAGGCAGTGGGGGTGCCGGGGCTGGGAGCGCTGCGCCCCTTCCCACCCGAAACACGGATGCAGCGCGGGCAGAGGACGCTGCGGCCAGGCAGCCCCCGCGGGGGGGGACGGACACGTGGGGATTTTCTGTCCACACTGACCACGGTCCCGCTGCGTCCCGGCCAGCGCAGCCCGGTGCCGGGGCAAAGCACGAGCCCAGGGCCACGGCTCGCCGACTTTTGGTCAGAGGGAGTTTCCCAACTGCCACCAGAGAGGGAGAAGCTGCTCCCCCCCCCCCCCCACGCTGGCGTGCTCTGGCCGTGGCAGCAGTGCCGGATGCGCTGCTGCTGTGGGACCGGCACCGTGGGTCCGGCACGGAGGCACTGTGTGTGCGCTGGGGGCCATGCTCACCCCCCTGCAACCCCGCCGGGAAGGCTGCTGCCCCCCCAGCTCCCCACAGCCTGCCCCAGAGCCAGGCAGGGGCCAGCACTTCCTAGCAAAAGCCCCCCGCCTCCCTCCAGCCAAGCCCACCCCAAAACCCGGGGCTTGACCCTCTCCAGCCCCCGGCCCAAACCAGGGCCCCGCGGCACGGGGAGCGCGGGAGGAGCCGGGGGTTGGGGGCCCCCAGGGCTCCGCGGGGGGGGGTCGGGCAGCGCCTGCAGAGCCATAGGGGGCCGAGAGCCAGCACGGGCCCGGGGGGAGCACCAACACCCCCCGGCACCCCGCGGCTGCAGGCAGTGGAGCCGGGGCAGCACCGGCACCCAGCACGGGGACTGCGGGCGCTGCGCAGACGGCTCCTGCCCGCTCCCACCCAGCTCCAGGCGCTCAGCACCCCCCCGACCACAGGCTGGGGCCCTTCCTGGGGACACCCCAAACCCGTCCCCATCCCCTGTGGCACCGGAGGCAAAGACCCGTCGCGGCCGGGCCGCGCTGCCTGCGAACACGGCGAAGCACGGACCGGCGGGCAGCCCCTGCCAGCGGCCGGGCAAGGGGCGGCCGTGGCCCCGTCCGTCCCCACGCCGGGGGGTGCGCCGGGGCAGCGGAGGGGGTCAGCGGGCCTCGGGGAGCGTTCGGCGTCGCGGGGCCGGTACCCCACGTCCCTGCCCCAGCGGCGGCGGGAGCAGGGCTGTCCCCTCGGCGGGCGAGGTCCCCAGGGCGGTGCGGGTGGTTAGCAGCGGCAGCAATGAGACTAATCACCAGCAATTAAAAACGAAAAGGAAACGAAGCCCCAGCGGCGAGAGCAGAGCAGGGAGAGGGGTACGTACCTCCTGGAGTTGGGGGGCAAGGAAAGGAAGAGCCAAAATCATGGAAACATACAAATGAGGGAGAAAAGAAAATTAAAAAAAAAAGGAAAAAAAAAAATAAAATAAAAAGAGGAACCCCAAAGAACCCCCCTCACCCCGCGCGGGTCAGTGGGGCAGGGCTGCAGCAGGGAAGCCGTGAGGGGCCGGGGGGGCGGCACCGCTGCGGGGGCCAACCTGCCCTGGCTCGCTGTGGCTCTGTGGGACGGATCTCCTCGGCTCGGGGGGCGCGGGGCCTGGCTCCCCCCGCCCCATGACCTCCCTGCGGGCTCCCTCCCTGCCCCACGAGTGGGCTGGGACCCACAGCTGCTCTGCCGCCTCTCCACCCCCCCCAGCCTCCGCCGACCTGCCGTGCGCGGGGCCCTTGGGCCAGCGGAGCGCTGGGCTTGCTCAGGGGCGGGAGAGGCAGGTCTGGGGCTCTCCCCCGCGTCCCCCCACCCCAGAGCTGGGGGGAAGATGGCCCTTGCTCAGCGCCAGGGCTGGGCACTGCACCGGTCAGGGCACAGTGCGTGTGTAAGGTCCCTCTCCCATCCCAAGGGGGTGGCAATATGGCAGAAACACGCCCCCCCGGTGACAGAACAGAGTCCTGACCCCAGCGAGAGCCCCGGGGAAAGGCCCCCACCAGACCCTGCTCCTGCCAGCGCCCCGTCATCCCCCCTCGCTTAACCCGGGCAGAGGATTCCCCAGAGCTGCCGAGAGGAGAAGCCACAGGAGCCAGGGCGTGGGGCAGGCTCGCCGGCCTCGAGAGCCGGGCTGTGCAGCGGGGCCGCGGGGATGCCATGCACGCTGCCTGCACGTGGAGCCGGGATGCGGAGGTGATAATGCCGTGGGAAGGTGAGGCAGGGACTGGTCTGTGGCATGGAGGGGGGGGGACGCACGCAGCCTGGGGCAGCTCGCCGCTCGCTCCCGGGGGCCTGCTCCGACAGGACCCTGCTGTGACTCAGTGACGAGAAGGCCCTCGTGGTCTCTGTGCTCCGACACCAGACCCCGGTGCCAGCTCTGCACCCTGGGGCTTGCCCAACCTGGAGGCAGAATCCCCTGGGACGCTCACCCAGCCGCGCCGCAGGGCCTCACCGGCTGTGAGTCCGCTCCTGCTGACCAGCCCGGGGACGATGGAGTGCTGCTGGACCTACGGACGCCTTCCCCAGGGGGGCTGTGCCCCCATCTCCAGCCTCTCGCCCCTCCGCAGGGCCACGCTCCGAGGAGCCAGGCCAGCAGGAGGACTGGCAGCCCGGGGGCATCGCACCCAGCTCCTCCCCGGGCCGCGGCTGCCAGCACTCACCTAGCTTCAGGAGCCAGCCCTCACGGTCGGGGTTGAAGAAGGTGTGGGTGAGGTCATTGCCGTCGTCCTCAGGGATTTTGAAGGGTTCGTTCTTGATGCTCTCGTAGAGGTTCTGGTACAAGGACACGCAGCGTCAGTCAGCTCAGGAGCCCCGCGACGGGCCAGCTCCGCAGCCCCGGCCCCTCTGCGGCCCCTCCCTCACCCGCAGCAGCTCCTCGGGCAGGTCCCCCCCGTCGTTGATGCCACGGTTCATGGCGATGAAGCGCTCCGCCGTGGGCTTGTCCTTGACGTTGGGGTTGTGCAGGCTGGTGTTCAGCATGATGATAGCGAAGGAGAGCACGTAGCAGGTGTCTACAGGGGCGGAGGGGGAGAGTCAGCCGCGAGGCAGCGGGGCCGGGCAGCGGGGCCGGGGCCAGGGCTCACCTGTGGACTGGAAGACGCCGGGGTTGCACTGGCAGTACCGCTGGGCGAAGGCTTCCATCATCCGGTCGATCTTCTGCGCCTCCCCGGGCAGGCGGAAGCTCCACAGGAACTGCCTGCGAAGAGCGAGGCGTCGCGCTGCTTCGGGGGCTCCCCGCGCCCCCCCGGCCACGCTCACATCGCTACGGCCCCCCGCCAGCCCCCTCCCCGCCATGGGGCACGGCTCAGCCCCTCGCCCCCTTGGCTCACCGCAGCGCCTGCACGAGGTTGAGGTCGGTGAACTCGTGCAGCTCCACGAAGGCATGCAGGACTTGGATGTTGAACTCATCCCTGCGGGAACAAAGCCAGAGCACGAGGGATGCATGATCAGCAAGTCCTGTGACTGACGAGCGGCCCCACGTCTCCCTGCCCCGCTCCAGACTCTGCTCATCTGTGGGGGGAAGCCTGCAGCTGCCCCCCCTACTCGAGTCCCGGGCTGGTTTGGACACACCAGCCTCCTGCAAGTGCCAGCCGTGGATCACACAGCCCCCCGTGCACCCCCACTCCGCTGCCCCATAAGCTCCCAGAGCTGCCGTGGCCCATCTCGCGGGTGGTGAGAGCCCAGGGCACCCTGAGGAGACCCGAGCCGCCCCAGGCCAGCGTACCTCTCGCCCAGGTAGTCGCCGATGGCTGTCTTGTTGAGGCCCTCTCCCTTGTAAAGGAACTGAGCGATGTCCTCGCACGTGTTCTTCAGCAGATCGTTTTCGATCAGGAACTGGATGCCCTGGAGCGGTGCAAGAGGTGCTGCTCTGGGGCTTGCTGCTGACCCCGCCAGCCGGCCCACTGCCTCCCCAGCCCCTGCCCTGGGTGCTGGCCCTGCCCTGGCCCCCCCCCGGGCAGCCAGGCACCCCAGCTGTGAGGCAGCAGAGCCCAGCACAGCCCCAGACAGGCTGGTGAACTGCCCCGCTCCCGCCCCGGCCCACCCCGCAGTACCTTCTTGGGATCCATGTTGAACTTCTTCCTGCCCATGGCCACCTGCTTGTTCCTCTGCATGTTTTTCCTGCGAGGCACAAAGCAGCTCTGAGCACCCAGGAGGGACCTGGCTGCCTCCTGCCCACCCCCTCGCCCCTCGGGACCAAACGGGAGCCGAGCAGCTTGGCCCGGCCCGGGCCCCCTGCGCCAAACCTGCACAGGGCGAAGCTGGCACGCTGCTCCCCGTCCCTGCCCCGCTCACGGCGGAACGGCACGGGGCTGCTCTCGGCCTGCCGGGCCCCAGAGCAAAGAGGAGCCGCCGAGCCCCCTCCACGGGGTCACCCCATGCAGGAGGGGTGCCGGGCACAGCGTCCCGGCAGGTCCCCTCTGCACGCGGGGGGGGACAGGGCAAGCTGGATGCGGTGCAGGGTCTGGGGGGAGCAGCCTCGAGGCTGCGGTGGGGCCGGCGTGAGGGGGACAGCTTTCATGCCCCAGTGAGTAACTGGAAACGACGCTGGGAGTCAGATCCCATCGGCTGCCGGGACCCCCTAATCCCAGGCTGGCACCGCGGGCGCCAGCTCAGAATAACAAAGCCCAGCAGTCGCCGTGGCCAGACAAGAGAGGCTGAGGCTTGGAAAAACAGACCTTGAAGCAGCAGTTCAGACCAGGATTCTGCTACCGCTCCAAGGAACTGAGAGTGCCTGGGAAAGCCACCCACACCAGCGCCCACGGGACGGGGCTGCACCGCTCAGCTGCCCACGGCTCCCACGGGCTGCAGGTCAGCCAGTGTCCAGGCTGGGGGGGGGGCTCAGCGGAGGACTCACCTCTCCTCCGTGGACCCCAGGTTCTCAATCTCATTCGTCACTTCTGCTATCTCATCTTTCAGCCGCTGAGGGGAGAGAATGCACTGAGACAGGAGGTGCCTCCCTCCCTCCCTCCCAAACCCTCCAGCCCTGGGGCCCGGGGCTGCCCTCCCCTCCCGGGAGCAGGCAGGGCACCCCCACGGACCGGGGACGAGGAGGCTGGAGCTGGCCTCCCTCCCTCCCTCCCTCCCTCCCTCCCTTCTTCCCTCCCTTCTTCCCTCCCTCCCTCCCTCCCTCCCTCCCTTCCTTCCTTCCTTCCCTTCTCCTTCCCTCCTTCCTTCCCACTCCAAGCACTGCCCAGAGGCTGAGCCAGCTTGGGGGGCACTTGCAGTGGGGGCTGGCTGCACCCCACTGGTAATCCCCTGCAGCATCGCCGTGCTGTGAGCATGAAGGAAGGGATTCAGAGGTCAACAAAATTACCCCTTAATCCCTTTAGATCATGCCCAGCATATGGCAGTAATTAGCCTCTGCCGCTTTAATCAGGGACACGACTGACGAGTGTCCCAGATGAGCCCTGACCTCGCAGTCGCTTGCCAGGGCAGTGGCCTGGCCCAGAGACATGGTCCCTGCCCGTGCCAGGGAGGGACTGGCACGGAGACGCCAGTGCCCTGGGCTGCGGGGAATGGCACAAATGCACAGCCTGGAGCTCTGCGGCGGGCAAGGAAAAGCCGTGTCTGCCAGCCCGAGCCCACGTCCCCCGCTGGGACCCTCTCCCCTCTGCAGAGGCAGTGCCATCGGGCAGCGGGGAGGCAGATCGTGGGCTCCCTGCAGCAGCTCACCCTGCCCCATGGTTCCAGCAGCCCCGATGTTCTGCCCCAGCAGGTCCACGAGAGCCCCGACGGGCTGCGAGGAGCCGGGGGCTGGCGAGGGAAGGGGACGGGAGCACAAACCCGACCCACGGCCCAGCCTGGCCCTGCTCCTGCACGGGCTCTGCAGGTCTGGGGCACTGCACCCCCATCCCACAGCCATTATGGACAGCCTCTCCTGGGCCACCCTCCCCTTTCCCAGCAGCGGGGCCAGGGACCCTGGGTGGGGCTGCAGGGACCCTGCCCAGTGACACGGGCAGGGAGATTGTCCCCTGCCTCCCAGGGGACAGCCCCGAGCGGGGGGCCGCCGTGTCCGGGCCAGGGGGATTGTGCGCGGGCGCTGGCCCTCAGCATCACACCTGTATGTCAGCCAGCAGCTCCTGCTTGCGGCGGCGGATGTTCTCCAGCTCCTGGCACTCCTCCGGGGTCAGGTCACTGGGCACTGAGCAGAGACACGGCCAGGTCAGCACGCGTGGCCGTGGGAATCATCCCCGCCAGGCTCCGGGCGCAGCCTCTGCTCCCGGCCGGCAGCCCGGGGCCCGTCAGGAGCTGGGATGTGGAGCTACCGGGAGCCCGGAGGAGCCGGGCTGGCGAGCAGCATCCCCAGCCCCACGCAGCGGCCAAGTGCCACCGACGGCACGCGAGGAATGCGAGGGCCAGGGCACGGCCCCGCCGGGCAGCGGCGGTGGCTGCAGCGGGGGAGCCGGGCACCGCCGGTTCCTGCTGATTCAGCCCGCGGTGGCTGGGCAGCGAGGACCAGCACGGCCCCTGGACCTGCTCCAGCACTCCTCCCCGCTGCCCCGGCCCTGCTGCCCCACCAAGTCCCGTTCAACTCCGCTCAAGCCCAGCTGGGCTGGTGTCGGTGCCTGTCCCGGTCCCTGCTGTGCCCCGCGCAGACCTGGAGCCCCACAAGTCGCTCTGACGCACCGGGCCACCCCTGGAGAAAACCAGCTCCCGGCCGCCCTTGCAGCCCCCTCCGCGCTGGATCCATCCTTCCGAGCCAGGGCCCGTAGCCAGCACACCCTCCAGACAAACCTCGCCTGCGCACGGTGACATCCACACCTCCCCGTCACCCCGCGGGGGCCGGGCACCCCCTCCCCAACACCATCCCCCAGGCTCACACCCGGGGCTGCCGCACCCCCCCCCTTGCTCCCGAGCCCCACAGCTCCCAGGACATTCCCGGTGCTCCCCGGCGCGTGACCTCCCGCTCCGCAGCGACACGGCATCCCAGTCCTGTTCCCTCCCGGCCCCAAGGTCACCCGCTCCTCCAGCAGCGCTCCCGGCCCCTCGTCTGCCTCCCACCTCCGCCGGCGGGTTCCAGCAGCTCCCTCGCACAACACACCAAGGTCACCCCCGAGAACGCCAAAACACGGTCCCTCCAGAGCGCTGTCCCCGAGGGAGGTGGCAGCAGCACCCGCCGGCTCGGCCCTCCCGCCGCCTCCCGCCCCGGGGTGCCGGGGACAGGCACCCGGCAGGGCCAACACCGTCCTCTCCCTCCCTAAACGCTCCGGCTCTGCTCTGCCAGCGCCCCGGGACACCACGCGCCTTCGGACCGGCACCGTCCTCAAGCCCTGCAACGTTTCTCCCCTCCTCCGTGGGAGCCGCAGGGGCCCCTGGGGCGATCGCGACCACGCAAACCGAATCTCTGAACTCAGCACTTCCCTGGCTCCGCTCAGGCTTTCTGACGAGCTTCCTCCTTCGCAAAAATCCCCCACTGCCAAGGTTGGAGGCAGCCTCGGCTTGCGACACCATCCCTCCAGACGCGGCGGCAAGACTTCCCAATATTTTCAGTCTCTGACACCAGGAAGCATGAACCAGACAGCCCGGCTCATGGCACCAGGTTAAAAGTTATTTAAGCTTAAAATACCAGAGGCCTTGCCTTATCGATACACCCAAGCACCCTCCGTGCACCCCTGTGCCGAGCCCGCGGGTGCTTGGCCGCTCCTGCCCGGCGCCCAGGGCACCCGGCGAGCCCAGGCTTGCTGCGGGAGGGCCGAGCTGCACCGCACGCCCGTTGCCAGACACAAAAACCCCCAAATCCCTGGGCCGCAGCGTGGGCTGCGGGACCCCAGGGGGGATGGAATTCGGTGCCAGGGGAGCGGGCAGGGGTCTCGGCGGGCCCTGGCGCAGGCGCAGCACAAGATGCCGGGGGGGTCTGTGCCGGGGCCTGGGAAGGTCCCTGCCCGCCTGCGCTGCTGCGGCTGAGGGCGAGCACTCGTGACACCGGCCCGGCCGTGTCAGCAGCAGCCGGAGGAAGAGAAACCCCAGACGCAAGAGCTTTTCTGGGGAAGGAAGAAGGCGTTAACCCTTCCCCAGCACACGGCACCCGCCCTGCAGCACCCGAACGGCTCCCGAGCCCGGCGAGCCTCGCCGCGGGCAGAGCAGTGCCGCAGGGAAGGGGAGCCTGAAGCAGGCGCTGCCTGCCCTGGCTTCAGCCCGGCACGGGAGTTGGGGTGCAGCCCCTGCTCCCCGCCAGCACGCAGCCCCAGAGCAGGCGGCCTGGGGGGCTCCTGACAGCCGAGCCCCAGCACCCCACACACCGGTGGCTGCAGGAGGGCAGCGAGGGGCGCTGGCAGGATTTGTCCGTCTGTCCTGGGCTCCAGGGTGGCTGGGAGCAACAGCATGCCCCACCCCCTCCCACCACGCCCAAAGCAAAGCCCCCCCGGGACACGCAGAGGCCATGCTCCCCCCCCGTGCTCCCTCCCACCCCGCTGCCCCCAGACAAGCAGGCACGGCTGGTGGCACAGGAGTGGGGCAGACATGGGGGTGCCACCCCCCGCCCTCGCCCCAGCCCCCCCGCACCCCCAGGCCGAGCTCACCGCTGCCCTCCGCCCTCAGCACCATCCTGGCAGGCCGTCTCCAGCAGCTCTGTCGGCCGTGCCTGCGCTGCCTGTGTCTCCGGAGTGGTGCTGCTGTTTTTTGGGGCGCGGACACCTGCCCGACCCGGTGCTTCCTGGGGTGAGTCAGGGCTGTGCCAGGCCAATGAGCTCCGGGGCCGCCCGGGCGTCATCCCGGCCTCGCTGGGAGCCAGCACCACCAACACCCTGTTCCTGCCGCAGCGAGCCCGGGGCTGCCAGTGCCTTAACTCCTCTGCTCCCGGCCGGGTGGGGGAACGGGGCAGGCAGGGCCCTGCTCACCCTCCTCGGCCCCGGGGGTGGGAGATGTGATGTGTTGGGGTCCCAGCCGGGCAGGCACTGGGGGCCGGCCCAGCCCGCCCTTCCCTAGGACACTCAACCTGGCACATCTTGAGCTTGCTGTGGCAACGCGGGGCCCCCACCCACCCCCGCAGCAGACCCCCAGCTCTGCCCCGCAGGTCCCCCTCCAGCCCCCCCACTGCAGTTCCTGTAAGGACCGAGCCCTGGGCAGGCCTGGGCGGGCTGTGGGGACCACCAGTGCCTGCTGCTCTCTGCAGGCTCACACGGCTGGACGGGACCAGGACGGGGACCAGGAGCAGGGCCAGGAGTGGGGCTGGTCCCCGTGGGAAGTTGCTCCCCACTGTCTTGCCCCCTTGTTCCGGGGTGCCTGTACGGACCCCACCTCTCCATACGGGATCACTGTGCGGCACAGTCCGGGACGCACGGGGCCGTGCCTGCAGTGAGAGCAAACCCCGGGCACGGCCCCATCCCGCTGTCAGCTGCCTGGAGACGCTGCGTGAGCCTCGGCCACCTTGACTCAGCTAAATCCTGCTCGGCAGCGTGAGATGGAGAAACAGCACCCAGAGCGCCGGCTACGGCGCGTGGGGAGGAAGGGCTTCGGAAGCCTCGCGTCGGTCCTTCGGCCCGCAGCTGGGCTGCAGCACTAGCCAGCCCTCCCACCGGCCCACGCCGGAGGGGCAAAGGCACCGGGTCTGGGGAGACCACGGGGCCGAGCCCAGGGTGCTGCCGGCAGCTGTCGCTGGGCTCTGCTGTGGGGTGCTGCTGCCTGCTCCCGCCGTGCCCCACGGCCGGGGGGCCCATGGGGCCCCCAGAAACTTCCTGCCCGTCTCCGCACACCACATCCTGTTTTCACCACCCCGCGCGCATCCTGGGTTGCGTCAGCCCCATCCTTCCCCAGCGACAGCCGAGGTGCGTCAGGACAAGGGTTTGGGGACAGGCAACACTAGGAAAGACCCCCCCCCGAGCAGGCTGGGACCCTCGTCCTGCTTTCTGAGCGCCCTCCCCGTTACCCCTGCTCCCTGTGCCCAGAGCCCTGCACGGAACCCACGTCCACAGCCACTGCCTCGCTCCGTGGCAGCCCCAGGCTCCTGTGCTCCCCATGCAAGGACCCCCGGCCCACGGTACAGCCGGGCGAGCACCGGCTCGGCCACGTCCATACGCAGCGAGCGCTGTGCCAGTGCCGGGGGCGCAGCCTGGCAGGCACCTCGCGTGCTCCCCGCACCGAGCTGGGCCTGGGGAGGAGCAGAGCCGCAGCTGCTCGGGCTCAGCTGCCAGCAGAGCGCAGGGGTGGCCGGAGGAGGCCTTGCAGCCCCGTGCCCCACCACACAGCCACCCTGGGGCCATGCACAGGCAGGAACCCGCAGCCAGCAGCACCTCACCCGGGCGGCCAGCCCCCCAGCAGCACCCCCAGTGCGGCAGGCACTGGGCTTTCCCACACAGATTTCGGTTTGGAGAGTGCCGCCCCGAGCTGCCCGTGCGGCGGGGAGGGTGGCCGAGTGCTCACCCCATCGCCCGGGGCAGGGCAGGAGGGCGAGGGGCTGGGTCAGGGACTTGCCATGGCCACACCGGGCTGCGAGCATCCTCCTGGCCACTGCCACTGGCTCCCAGCACCCGGGGTGGCACCGGGCACTGGTGCGGGGCAACGCCACACGAGGCAGCCCGGTGCCCAGCTGTCCTGCCGGGGCTCAGCTTGCGGAGGCCTGAGACCGGGGAGGCTGGCGGTGCGTGGGGGAAGGAGGCGGCGAGACAGCGAGGACTCTCTGCCACTGTCAGCACGAGCCGTACAGAGCCGTGGCCGCGGGCACTGCCACATCTGCCAGGGGGACAGGGACCCCGCGGCGAGCAGAGGGGAGGGCACAAAGCGCCTACCTGCCTTGGCAGCCACCGAGGGGCAGAGGAAGGCCTGGAAACTGGAGGCACAGAGCTCGCTGACCGTCCCCATGCTGCGGAGGTCTGGTGCAGGACGCTGCCAGCTCCGACGGGACAGGCAGAGGCCTGGCAGGCGCCGTGCGGCTGAGCAGCAGGCTCGCCGGGGCCGGGGCCCGCGGGCAGAGTGCAGGCAGGGCAGCTGGAGGACTCCCCACTCCGGCAGGAGCCGGGGAAGGCGGCTCTGGCAGGGGAGCTCCAGCTGCCGGAGCCCACGCGTCAGCCCCAGCCAATCCCCGCCGCTCCCCGCCTGCACCCCAGTCCGCGCCGCTCCCAACGCTCCAGCCGCCGGCTCAAAGCCACTTAGAGGACGAGGAGTTTGGGAAGTCCCCGGCAGCCCCTCCTCGCCCTGGGTCACCTGCCCCCTGGCAGCCCCCTTGCCCCCGCGGGGGGCTGGCAGCGGGGTATTTTTAGAGCGGATTTATCCCTCCGTATTAGAGCATTAAGCATCAGGAGCCGGCGGTCGCGTAGCAACCAGCACTGCATAAAGGAAGGTGCACCAAGAGACAACGCGGCTCCGGCGAGGCGTGGGGAGCGGGGGGTGCCGCCGCCACGGCCCCCGCTCGTGGGGCGCCGATCCCGGCACAGCCCCGACAGGCTCAGCCCACCCCACGGGCTGTGCACGGGCAGGCCCGCTGCGCCTTCTGCCAGTCCCACGGTGACACCGGTCAGTCGGCTGAGCTCCGGGCAGTGGAGGTGCCTCCTGAGGCCCTGGGGGGCTCCAGCAGCAGGACCCGGGGGGGGGGGGTCCTGCCTGGGATCCCGCCCTCAGAGCCGGCTGCGAGCTGGGGGGAAGGCGCAGCTCTCCCACCCCCCCAGCCCCACAGGTGCCAAGCGAACCCAAACCGGACTGACGGCTCTTTGCCTCAAAGCGGGAGCGATCCCCAAGCGCAGGGCTCGGCTGTGAGTAACAAACCCCAGAGCCTGTCGGGGCACGAGGCCGCGTCCTGTGGCCAGCCCGCCTGCCGGCTCTCGGCTGCCAGGAGCCAGCAAGCTCCGCTCGCCTGCGCCGGCAAAGGGACGCGCTGAGCTAGGAAAAACCCGAGCAGGGCAGGCAGCGGGGAAGGGCACCCTGGGAGGAAGCCACCCTCACAGGCAGGAGGGGACCCCGGCGCCCAGGAGGGGAGGGAGGAAAGGTGGAGGAGACGGGCAGCTCCCGGGGCTGCGAGGGCAGCCAGGCAATCGCCGCTGATGTGACTGACCTTCTGGTTTCGGCACCGCTTCCCCTTTCCCAGGGACCGAAGCGGTGGTTGCCTCATCGACAGGAGGCAAAAGGGCAGGCGAGAGGAGCCAGGGGTTGGGGGGGCCGACCCGGGCACGTGGTGGGGCAAGCACCTGCCCAGAGCCTGGACCAGCATCTGCAGAAACCCCCGTGTTGCAAAGGCACCCATGGGCGCTCTGGCCGGCTCGACCCTCGCACCCTGCCCGGGCAAGGGGTGGTGTTTACAAACACCCTGGGGTTATGTTAACCACAGCTCCAGGTCCTGACCCTCTGCCTCCCGGAAAGCAGCGCCCCAGAGAACAACCTCCCCCCCCAGCCTCGGCCCCCCCCTCAGGCCCAGAGCAGAAACGTCCCACCCCAACCCCCTGCGACAGCCGAGCCGAAACAGCCGCTCGCTCGGGGGGACACGCAGGCCCGGCTGTGTCCCTGACGTGCAATTGCTGAGTGTCAGCAATGTGGCTTATCACTCTCCGCTCCTGCACATCTCAGGAGAGGAACCAGCTCACTGCCTCTGCCCAGCGCCGCGCTGCCTGAGCCCCACCGGCCCCAGGCCCTGGCTCTGCGCTCCGAGCCCGGTGCCACCCCTGCACCGTCCCCGGGTCTTCAAGAGCCCTGTGGAAGAGCCGCTCCCCCAGCCAGGCCCAGCAACCTGCCCCGGCTCACCCCTGCGCCAGCCCAGGGCCTGGCTGGTGCGTCACCGGCAGCTCCGCCGGCAGCGTCCCCCGCCCTCATCCCCTGTCTCCTCGGTGCACACCACGGTCCTGGGCTGCCTCCAAAACAGCCGGGCCCATGCCTGAGCCTGCCGGCAAACTGGGGCTGTGTGGGCTGGCAACCAAGAGAGGGCGGGGATCCCCCTGGGTGGGGAGTCCCCCACGCTGCCAGGGAACCCGACAGCCCACTCTCCTTCGGGGATCTCCCGCACCCCGCACAGCCCACCCCGCCTCCTGGCACCAGCCACGCTGCCCCAGACAGCGAGTCCCCCCCTGCACAAGCCGCTTTGCAGGAGGCTTCATCAGCCCTGCTTAGAGAAATCCATTAATCCCCCAGGCCAGAGTGAGCAGTAATCCCTCGGGTGCAGCAGGATTACCAGTGCTGCCCAATCCCCCTCGCCCTGGGGCTGGGCCTGAGCCAAGACAGGGCCCAGCTCAGGACACAGCCCCAGGACAGGATTGTGCTCACCGGTGCTGCAGCTCAGCGGGGCAGGAGCAGCTGGGCTGGTTCCCCGCCACGACACTGCTCTGGTGTCCAGGCGTTTGCCCCCCACACCACCACACTGGGGATGGCTTCGGTCTCACCACTGTCCCCACAGGGACATGCTGGGAAGGGGGTGGGAGCGCAGCCCCGTGCCCTGGCAGGAGCGGGGGGAGCCCACATCTGTGCCGCCAGCTGCTCGCCCCAGGATTTGCTCTCTGCTGAGGCAGATGGCAGGAGAGGGGCCGCGGAGTGTGGGGCAGACACTGGCGTCAGCACAATCCCCCCAGCAAGAGCCTCCCACCACGCTGAGGCCTCGGCAGACCATCCTCTGCGAAACCAACAGAGCTCAGGCGCTTGGGGACAGCTGCAGGTCGCGACGCCCCCGCAGCGGGGATTCGGAGGTGGCTGTGCCGCCCCAACTGCACTCTGCCCGGCGAGCAGGCAATTTCTGACGCAGACAGACAACCCGGGACATCTTCCAGGCGATTGCGGGAAGCAGCGAAAGGCTGCTCGCACAATCGCTCCCCGCAGCGCTCTCCTGCTAATGGGCTGCATCTGGCAACGCCCGTGCCAGGCCACGCACCAGCAGGGCCGGGCGCTCGCACCTTATCTCGCACCGCGAAGGCCCCGCTGCCGAGCGCGGTCACGCCTGGGGTGGGACAGCAGCTTCCTCATCGGCTGCCTTGCACAAACGCGGCGGGCAGGAAGCCGGCCCGTGAACCGGCGGCGTCCTCACCAGTGTCCGGGTGACCGCCGGGCAGCACGGTCACCGGGGACCTCGGTTCCAGATCTCACGCAGACAAGGCTCCAACAAAGCCCTACGCTCGTGGAAAACCCACCTGCCAACCCACAGGACCCTGCCTCCGAGGGTCAGGGCACCCGCAGCACCTCCCTGCCCGGTTCCGCTCCTCGGCACCGGGAGGGAACGCTCTGCGGACGCGGGGGGACGGAGGAAAGCGAGGAAGCAAGGCGCCCGCGGGAACCTGCAGCTCCTGAGCCCTGGGCGCAGGCCCGGGGAGACGCCGAACGGGCGGCACCGACAGGTCGAGCGTGGGCGGCGGAGGGAGGCGCGCGGGCCGCGGGCCCGGCGGGGGCTCAGCCCCGGGGAAGGATGAGGCCGTGCCGCCGGGGAAGCGGCAGCTCCCCGCGCAGGCCGCGGGCACCGGGGCCCGGCTCCCCCCCCCCCTCCCCGGCCCTTCCTCCGCCGGCCCCGCCCGGCTGGTGCCGCCGCGGAGGCCGCGGCCACGCGTGGGCGAGCAGCCGCTCTGACACCTGCGGGCCGCGGGGCCCCGCCGCCCCCGATCTCGCACCCGGGAGCGCCCCCCCCCCCCGCCGCCGATCACCCCAGCCCCTCGCCCGGTCCCCGGCGGGGGTCCCACAGCCCCCCCCCCCCCGGGCCCGCACTGACCGTAGCCGCCCTCCTCCTCCATCCCGCCGCCGCTCCGGCCCCGCCCGCGTGACGGGGGCGCCGAGGCCGCCACGGGCGGCGGCACGTGACGCGGGAAAGGGGCGGCGCCCAGCCGGCTCCTCCCTCCGCCCCGGCCCTCGCCCCGCCGAACCGAGCCCAGCCCGGTCACAGGCACCACGAGTTTATTTTATCGCCCGCGGTCGGGCGGCAGCGCCCCGGCCCCGCGGGGACCCGCCGCCTCCCGCGACCAGCGCGAGGGGCCCAACGGTTTCATTGCGACTTGCACAGGGGGGAGCGGGAGAGGGGCTGGGAAGGGGGGGGGGGGTGTGTGTGTCAGCCAGGCACGGTGCAGGGGGGGGTCCTGAGGGGCAGGCGGGGTTGGAGCATCCCCAAGCCCGGCGATGAACACCAGCCCGGGTACTGCACAGGGACCAGTGCCCCCAGCGCTCCCACTGGGGCCGGTGCACCCCCCCCCCCCCCAGTGAACCCCGAGCAGCAGGGACAACCTACAGGCACTTTCCAGGGGTCCCCCCAAGCCTTAAACTCGAGGCTGCGGGTGGGAGAAGGGGCTGCTCCAGCCCCAGGCAGAGGCACAGAGGAGCCGGCAGAGCCTGGGCAGGGCTGGTCAGAGGCTGCTCCTCAGCTGGAGAGCAGAGGGCAGCAGGGCCAGCCCCCAGGGACAGCAGCTGGGAGCAGGGGAGCCCGGGGACCTGACCCCAGCACCGTGTGGGATCAGCATCCCCTCCGCAGCAGGGTCCAGGCCAGTGCTCCCCGGCCCGTCCTTGACCCGGGCCTGCTCCACGTGCCGGCCGGGGGACAGGGATCTCCACCTGGGAGGAAAGGAGCGGCGTTAGCACCCCGCCAGGCAGCCACCCCCCTCCCCTCCCTGTCCCCCCGGGCTCGCTCACCTCAGAGCCGGCGGCTCAGGCTGGCCACCTTGGCAGGATGCGTCACCGACCAGAAGTTGCGCTTGCTCTGCAGCTGCTGGAAGGGATTGAAGTGGTGTCTCCGCTCCTGCTTCAGTTTTTTAATCTTCTTTACCTGTGCAGGGGCAGGAAAGCTCTTGTGGTCAGAGCACAGAGTCCTCTGCCTCCTCCCACCCACCCCAGCCCAGGACACGGCCAGCACCCACCTTCCCTCTGTCAAACGCCTCGTCCCACTCGTCGACAACAGTCTCGCTGCGGGCCCGCGCCGCATCCTGAATGGCGTCCTGGCTGACAGCCGAGACCTCGCCGCCCCAGGTCAAGACTGCGGAGCGGCGCGGTCAGCGGGGAGCCCATGCTGTGCCCCGCTGCACCCACCTGTGCAGGGCCCCCACTCTGGGCCTGGAGCCCCTCACTCTAGCACCCCGCTCTGTGACACCCCTAACAGCCCCTCAGCCGGGTGCATCTGCTCAGCTCCAGGAGCCTGCACTGGTGCTGGGGGGGCTCAGGCCCCAGCACGGGGGGGTCTGCCCAGGTCCAGGGCTCAAGGCAGGGGAGCCATGGGGCTGTTTGCCCACCCAGGCAAGCAGAGGTTACCTTGTTTGCCATAAGCCTTGTCCATGGAGTTCCTGAGCAGCTCATCCACCACGCTAGACTCCTCCTGGGTCCTGGGTGCTGTGCCAGCCCCGTGGCCATCTCCAGCCTGGCTGGCCCAGGCACATGATGCCACTGCGGAAACATGCAGGGTGAGGACAAGCCCGAGAGAGCCCCTGTGTCACTCCATCTCCAAGGCAGATCTCGCCCCAGGAGACACTGTCGGGACTAGCAAGGTCCTGATGGCACTGGGGCCTGTTCTGGGGGGTAAATCTTCACCCCTCGAAGGGCCCATCGCCATGAGTCTGGAGAAGAGCACGCCCTCAGGCAGGGTAGAACCGGGCAGCTCCTGCAGGAGCAGCAGGCAGGCCTGAGGCAGCTCAGCCAGGGCTGGGGAGATGGGTCAGGAAGGTGGGCACCCCCAGGCAGTTGTGGGGACCAGCAAGCACTGGGGTGTGCACAGCAGTGCTCTGAGGGGCAGGTGAGCAGGCAGCTCTCCCCTGCCAGGCAGGCAGGGTGGAGGCACACCGTCGTACCTGGGGTGCTGTCTGTGGCACGGGCGCTGTTGGCAGCTGGCCGCTCCAAGCTCGGGCTGCTGAGGCTTTCCCTCCACTTGCGCTTGCGGTGCTCGCTCTCCCCAGCCCCAGACTCCACCCTCCGCCGCTGCTTTGTCCTCCGGGGCCTCGACTCAGCCGTCCTAGAGCTGGGGAAGGCAGCGGGGGTCAGACCTGAAGGGGAAGTCTGAGCATCTTGCAGGGCAATGGGACACAGGGACACCAGCACCCTAGGGCTGCACTCGGGGAGGGGTGAAACCACCCCTGGCAAGCCGGTGCTTCAGCCAGCTCCATGCAAATCTCATCCCACCCACAGAAAGACAAGAGGCACCCGACCGCAGCCCTGGGAGCCTGACTTTGGGCAGAGGGGAGGTACGCAGGGCTCTCGCGTGACCTTAGCCCCTCACCTGCCCGAGGACAGCATCCCGGAGCAGCGTTCTTCTGTCTCCTCCATTCTCCTCTTTTTCTTCTTCTTCTTGAGAGGGAAGGTGGGCTCCACATCCAGGTAAGTACCGGGGTCTGACACTTGCTGCTTGGGTCTGCTCTCCAGATCCCAGCAGCCTGGCCCATCCCCACCACTGCTGGGACCTTTGCCTGCCGCCTCCTTCCCCGCAAGCGACACCGAGCCCTCCTGAGTGAGATTCTTCTTCTTCCTAGGGGGGCTGGGGACTTCATCCTTGCCCTTCACAGCCACAGCACAAGGGCTGCTGTCTGTTCCATGATGCTGCTTTCTCCGTTTCTTTTTGGAGGAACCAGCGGTGACCTGGCTGGGCCCCTTCTCCTTGCTGCAGGGAGGAAGGTGGTGTGAAGGGTGGGCAGTGGAACCGTTGGTTGGGGGGGAGGCTGGGAGCTGAGGGGCTGAGTTGAGGATGAAGCTGAAGGCAGGCTTTTCAGGATTTGGCAGTTTGAGAGCAGACGAGGACAGTCTGAAGGACAGGAAAAGAGGCTGACATGATCTGAAAACCAGGTCAGGAGCGAGAGCCCCTCTCTTCCTCCCCACCCCGAGGTGCATGAGCACAGCACCCAACTGCTACCGTCTCAGCCAGGAAACCTGAATCGGGCTCTGCTCTCGGAGCAGCAGCTGCGAGCATAGTGACCCTGCACCTGCCCAGTGCCAGCCACACACAGGGCACATGCTGTCCCATGGGGGATTAGGAAAGAGTGAGTGCTGCTGCAGCACATGCCGATGGTGAAGGTTACAAGGGAGACCCGGAGCAAGATCTAGACCAGACTGGTGCCTCTGATCCCACGGGACACTAGTACATGGTCAGAGCCTGAAAAGCTTCCCCCGACCCTGTGCCGACATTCAGAGAACCCACTTTGTTTCTAGAATCCAGAGCAAGCCCTGCCAGCCCAGGAGAACAGGCTGACAAAATCATCCCCTGAGCTGGCTGCGGTACCAGACAGTTGCCTCGTGGAGTACCCCAAGGCTGCCACTGGACTGGCTGCTGTGCAGGAGCCCGGGAACGACAGGCAGTGCTTACCTCGGCTTGCCGAAAGGCCAGGGAGTGGAGTCGGGGTGGGTGGTGGTGGTGGTGGTGCGGTCAGCAAATTGTGGGTGAGGTTGTGCGTGGCGGTCACTTCCGCTCGCCTTCCGCGGGGTGCTGCCCTGCAGTTATTGACATAAATAAAAACTTGGTGGTCTAAAGAAAAGAGGTTTCCGTGAGCCGAGAGGAGAAAATAAAAAGGGGAGCCCAGAGAAAGGGGAGGGGAACAGACACAGATGGGGGGGAGGGAAGTGGGGGGTGGTAGAAGAAGAATCAGAAGTGTTTTCAGTTAGAAGCACAAAGGAAAAAAGGAAGGAAGGAAATTTAAAGAACAGAAAGCCCAGCGCACCGTCCTGAGCCCTGGCTGCCCGGTAGTGCCCAGAGGGCCGGGCCCACACCGCTGCCCAGGGGGAGGCGGCTCCGCAGCCCTCCAGCTGCGACATCACCTGCTCCCACTCACCCCAGGGGACACGCTACCCGGGGAGGGGGGGCTGGCGAGGCTGCCCCGCTGCAGGGACTGGCACTGCCACCCCTCCCTCCTGAGCAAGAAGGCAGGAGTGATTTCTCCTGTATCACTCAGGGATGTGAACACCAGTGGCAGCCTGGCCCTGCATCCCGACCCAGAGGGAGGGCAGAGCAGCCCCGGGGGCTGAGGAGCTCTCCCCACCCACCTCCAGCTTAGCAAGCCACCCAGCATTAACTCTACAGTTGCCCCCAGCACAAGCCCCAGTGCAGAAGGCACAAGGCACCTACTGAAGCCTCTGGGCAGCAGCTCAGTCTCACCTTTTTGGCAGAGAGCGCCAGCTTCTTGGCCGGTGGCGGTGACGTGGTGCTGCTTGGCTCCAGAGTGGCACTGGCCAACAGGGAGGATTTCAGTTTTGCTGGCTTGGAGTCTTTGGGGGCAGTCGGCTTGGCACTGGGGCCAGCAGGGAGGTCTGCGCCACAGTCCGTTTCCTGAGAGGTGTGGAAGCTGCTGGTTCCACTCTTGGCCTTCTGGGACAGTTTGGCCAGCTTCCCTGCTGCACTGTGTGCTGGGCTAGCAGCACTGCTGCCAGAGGAGTCCCTCTCCGGGGTCCCGGCGTTCTCCCCACTGCCCCTGGGCTCCTGGCTGGGGCTCGGCTCCAGCAGCGGTTTGGATGAGGTAGGTGGCTGCTTGCCCTCCCAGGATTTCTGCCGCGGCAGTTCCGAGTTGGCCCCATTTGCATTGCTGGTGTCACAAAAGCCCTGAACTGCTTTGGGCATGGGAGGCAGCTGCGGGAAGGAGAAGGGCTTCTTGGGTCTCTGGGCGGCGTCATCAGGCAGTGCTGTGGCCGTGTGGGTGGCTTTGAGGGGCAGTTTGGGTGACAGGAACCCAGTGGGCAGCTTTGGCGGAGCAGTTCCATTCGGCAGCTTCGGCCCCTTCCCGAATGTGCTGCGGGCCACAGGGACTCCGACCTCCTCTGGCCCTGGCAGCTTCTTCCCCGGCAGCACATCTGGTCTCTAGACAAAGAGAAAGGAAAGTTCAGCAAGGAGAGAACTCAAGAAGCCAAGAACACAGGGCGATACTGCCCCCCCCGTCCCTCCCCAGGCCCGCACAGGATCCCTCCCGCCTGCCCTCGCAGAGTGCAGAGGGGCAGCAGCTCCCGGGAGCAGCACCCGAGAGCAGCCTTGAGGACTCACCCGGCCCAGCAGCGGTGAAAACAGGGGCCCGTTGGTCACGGTTTTGTTGACCTGACTGGAGATGCTGCCAGTACGGCCAGGCAGGCTGGAGGCAGCTTTGGCAATGGGCCCCTCTGAGCTCTTCCTGGGGCTGGGGATTCTGAGGAAGGCACAGAAATACATGTGTTAACTGTGAGGGTTTGAACAGCTGGAACACCCTCATCAGAGATGGACAGGAGAAACGGGAGCCAGAAGCTCTGAGGAGGTGAGGTGCTCTTGGTCTACAGCAAAACCATGACAAAGGGCTGGACCTCTCTGGGTTACCCTCCTCCAAGCCAGTGCATGCACATGGGCACTGGGGCTGCTTGGGCCAAGCTCCGTCCCACACCCAGGCATGTGCTACCAGCCCTGCCCCACACGCTGAGACGGGGGGCAGAGGGGCCGTGGGTCGCAGGGCACGCTCACCTCAGGTAGAACAGCACGTAGGCCTGCTGGTTGAGGACCACTTTGATGTTGCTGGAGCGGACCAAGTCATCGTTCATTTGATACCACTGCCCATTGCTGGCCTGCAGAAGGGGAAGAGAAAACAGGGTTGGGCTGTGCCCGGGGACCCTCCTGGCACGAAAAGCAGCACCAACAGCACCCATCAGCAGAGCTAGGCTCCCCAAAACCCACAGGCATCCCAGGGCAGGCAAGGGAACTCTGTGAGAGCAGATCTCCACACTTCCTGCAGCACAGCACAGCCTGTATGCCCTGTTCAGTGCTCCACATCATGCACATCTGCTGAGCACCCTCCTTTCTGCGCGCTAAAGGGACCCACAAGCACCCACACCAGCGCCCAGACCGGGGAAGGTGCCCAGAGTGCCCTGGGCTCACCTTCACGTAGCAGTAGTAGTGCCCTGCGTGGCAGCTGTACCCAGAGTGCACCAGCACTGCATAGAGGCTGTACACGACAGGATCCCCCTTCTTCTGAGACATGTAAGGGCGGATGTTCAAGAACTCAGGGTACCCCACGTCCTGCAGAAAGAAGATGTCTCAGGTGCCTGCACAGCAGATGGTTTTCTTGCTACAGCACGAGCAGCTCAGCTGCCCTATGAGTCCCATCTCTCAAGAGAGGGCTCCTGCTCTCCCCATGCAGAGGTCACGGAGAGGGAGATGCCAGGATGAGCTGAAGTCCCACCACACCACACAGCTAGGGAAGGGCTGCAGGACTGCAGCAGAGCTCCCACTGCACGCAGGGCCACCCCCCACCCCGCTCTGGGCAGCAGGGCCTCAGGCCAGGACAGCCCCAGCTCTGGATTGCTGAGCACTCACCTTTGTGATTTTGCCTCCACCGAAGTCAGCAAAGCGCTTCAGCGAGAGCGTGAGAACATTGGAGGCTCGGTGGATGGTGAAGCGTTTGCTGGCCGACACTTTCTTCTTGCATCTGCACAGGAAAAGCTTGAGCTGTTCAAGCTGTTCCACCACCCAGATGATTGCCAGCCCTGGCCAAGCGGCAAACCTCACGGAAATGACCCTGCTGACACCAGGCACCGCTCCAGGGCACCTGCTCACGGCCACGTCTGCTGGCCCAGGTCCTCCTCACGAGAGGAGGGAGATGAGGAGTGGCCGGCTTCATCACAGGCTTCCACGGCCACGTACCTGACGGTTTAGCCATGAAGCAGGTAGAAAAGCCCTCCCAGATTGCAGCAAGCTTTCCTCCCACTTCCCACCAGCGCGCCCAGGGACGCCCTCCCGCCCGCAGCAGCCCCACGCACTCACTTGGCACACATGTAGGCGTTCTCCCCACCCAGCACGTCTGGCCTCACAAACAGCTCCAGCGCCCGCACTATGTTTGCGGTTTGCTGCAAGGACAGAGGAGAGGTCAAGGCACGAGTGGTTTGCCCACGCGACAGCCCGGCTCCCTGCCGAAACGCTGGCCCCGAGAGATAACACAGAGCACAGAAACAGGGCCAGAAGCTACACCAACCCCCCAAGCCTGCCAGCAGCCAGGCACTGGCCAGCATGCTGCAAGGGACGGCAGCACTGCCCCCCAACACCACGGAGCCTCAACGGAGGAGTCGTGGCTCCGCTCAGGCAGCAGGCATTGTTCTGCCAGGCTAAGGCAGCACAACAATGGGAGCTGCTTCTCTTTTGCCTGCACTGTGCCTTGACACTGGCAGGCTAATGAGCCTTGAGAACAGTAATGGTGCAGCTGCAGGAACAGCCCCCACAAGAACAGAGCTCCTCGCCATCCCTGACCCTGCCACAGTACCCTGATCTCCAGCGCCAGGTCCAGGTAAGGGTCATAGGTGTCTGAGACAGTCTTGCACACCGAGCACTTCACTGCAAAAGAGAGAGCGGTGAGCACAGCCTGGCACAACACCCACACCCACCACCACCCCAAGCACAGCACTGGCAGCTGCAGCATTCCCCCTCTCCGGGCTCTGGGGTGTGAGCACCAGGATTCACAGCCTGGCAATTCCACTCCGTGCTGGGACAGCAAGTGCTGCTAGACAGCTGGCAACACGGGTTTCCTTTGCTGGTGGCAGTGAGCTGGGGAACCACAGCTAACAGCTTTTTCCATTGCCACAGCAGGGGTCACAACCCACAGGTACCACAAGACTGACCAACTGCAGCTCTGGATAATTTACACACGCGTAGCAATTTTCCCCAGATTTACTCTAGGGGAAACAGCAGCCGCAAGAGTCACAGGCCCAGGACCTGGCAGCCAGCACTCACCACGGGATCGCAGGTAACCGCCGAAGATCTGGTGAACCAGCGTCGTGGCCTGGGTCTGGCGATCCAACCTAGAGAGAGAGAGCAGCACTGGATCTCACACCGCCCCTCCGGCCACCCCCCTGCCCTCAGGACAGCTCCCCTGCGTGCTCCGGCCAGCACATGGGCTGCAGAGCTCCAGGAGCAGAGGGAAATCGCAGCCTCCGCCAGCCTGCTCTCCCAGTGCCAGAGCTCAAAGGGTGGCACTGGGCTCCGATGCGCACCTTCCTCTAGAAGGAGCAGAAACTCCTGGCTGGAGCTCAGAGCTGGGCACTGCAGACAGAGGCAACGCAGGCTTCCCAGGATGGAGGGCCCAGGGGAAAGCTGCCCACCCACAGCCCCAGAGCTGGGGCTGAGCTAGCAAGCACGTCTGGATTCCTCAGCAACTGGGGCAGGATCCAAACCCATAGCAGCCACGGGATTTGGGGACAGGACCACAGCTATGCTGGGGCGGAGGAGTCAGAAGGCAGACAACAGACCAGAGCTGTGTCACAGAGGGGCAGAGAGCTAGGCCATCCACCCGAGGCCCCTGGAGTCAGCACCTCCCTCCAGGAGTCTGAGCTGGGGGACATGTCCACCCCAGAGTCCCCTCCCATGGGCACACGGGACCAGTGAGGGGACAGAGGAGAAGAGCAGCAACGGGCGATCAGAGGCCCCACATACTTGGTACAGCCACTCAGGCAGGCCTTCTGCATGGCATCAATGGTGTAACGCAGGAACTCGTGCGCATCCTCCTGTCTCCCGAAGTGGATGTGCTGGGCAATCTCTGCCAGAGAGGGAGGAATCAGCCCCAGCACGTGCTGCAGCAGATGCAGGCCCTCCCTCCCTCGGGGCAGGGACTCCGGGGTTTGAGCCCCCTCAACCCAAACCAGATGTCAGACTCATGCTGGCCACGAGGGAAGCCCCATGCAGCCCATGAAGTCACCAGCCCCTGGCAGGCTCAGTGAGTCATCTCAGAAGAGCCGTCTGCCAAGACCTGCCCCGATCTCAAAGGTTCTGCTCCTGCATTAGTCACCGCTCTCCAGCACAGCTACGGGAGGGGAGGGCAGCCATCCTTACTCTTGAGGTTTCGGATGAAGGACACTGGTTTTATTGTGTTGCCGCTGTTGGCAAAAGCCTGGATCGTGTGGTTCTGCATAATGCACATCATGCAAAAGCCTCCTTGGTGACCTGGAGCAGGAGAGGAGAGGACGTTGGGGACAAACCCAGGAGAGATGGAAGCAGTACAGGGGATGGGGGATCTCTGGTCCAACACAGCTCAGCCACGCTCTGTTTTCCCTGTGAGCTCTGTGCTACAGTACAGCTCTGGGGCATCCCGGGCACACGGGGTCCAGCGCACGCTCCCCCCGCTGGCACGGCCCCAGTCACAGTACCAGCCACTGCAACCGCTCCGGGTGAGACGTGGATGGAAACCAGGTCACAGGGACTTGCTGGAGGAGCCCACGGGTTGGCCCTGAGGGGCAGATCCCCCCGGAGCCCTAAGGATGGGGCTGTGAGCCCAGCGACTCCCCTTAGTTACAGCTCGGAGCGGTGCCCACTGGACTTCCCTTTCAAAGCCACCCATAAACAGCACCTGCTGCCCTGCCCTCATGCCATCCCCACAGGCAGGGGCTGTTTGGGACCCCCAGCTCAGCCCCCAGGAAGCCAGCAGACCCCATCGGACCCATCTTAGCCCTGGCTACACCCAGCAGAGACAAAGCCACCCCAGACAGAAGAACGCAGAGCTCGGGAACACTGCTAAGGCCAGGAAAAGTGAGCCATACGCATCCTCTAAATGGAAAAGCGGGCAGCAGGGAGCAGAGAAGGCGCATCCTGACACCCGCACACCCTTTGCCAGAGCCATGCGCAGCAGTGCTGAGCGCAGCACTGTGAGCGGGACAGGCAGGCAGGCAGGCAGGCACTCCTCCTCCTCCTCCTCCTCCTCCTCCTCCTCCCCGCTGGCGCGGCCGCCCCGGCCCTGCTGCCCGCCGAGCCCGGCCTCCCCACTCACAGCTGCGGCTGTGCTCCTTGGAGAGCAGGTAGTTGGTGAGGGGCGGCGTGTAGGTCAGGCACTGCACCGTGGAGTTGAGGAAGCAAGTGTTCCCCAGGTTGTGCAGCCCGGCGCCGACCCGGTAGATCCGCTCCCACTTCATGGAGAGGCGCTCTGCGGGAAAAAGCACCTTCTGGGGCGCGGGGATCCCGTCCCCCGGCCCCCGCGGCGCACGGTCGCTGCCTGCGGGGAGACGGGCGGTGAGCCGTGGGGTGCGGGGAGCGGGAAGGGGCCCCCCTCGCCCTCGCTACCTACCCTGCCTGCCGGGCAGCCCCTCCGCGGGGCCGCGCTGGCGGCCGGCGGGCTCGGCCCGGGGGTTGAGCAGCACGTACTTCCCCCGCAGCAGCTCCAGCTGGCCGGAGAAGTCGCGGCTGGCGGGCTCGAACTCGATCTTCTGCAGCAGCACCTTCTTGGAGGCGGCGGCCAGCCGCCGGCCCAGCTCCGCGCCCTCGCCCGCGTCCCGCCGGCCCGGCTTCAGCGCCTCCCTCAGCTTCTCCACGATCGGCATGGCGGGGCCCGGCGGGCCCGGCTGCGGGGAGGGGGCGGCCGGTTCAGCGTGGGCGCTGGCCCGGCCGCGGGGCCGCGCGTTGCCAGGGCAACAGGCCGCGGCCTACGCCCCGCCGCAGGCCCGCCGCCGCGGGCCCCGGGGCGGGGGGGCCCGGCCCGCCCGCCCGCCCGCCCGCCCGCGCCCTCAAGCGCCGCCGCCGCGCAGCCCCCGCCCGGCCCCGGCCGCGGGGGGAGCCGGGGGGAGCGGAACGGAGCGGAGCGGGGGGGAGCGGAGCGCAGGCCCCGGCGCGGCCCCACTCACCATCCGGGTCCCCGCCGCGCGCACGTGGAGCCGCCTCACAGAGACGCCGCCCCCCGCGCGCCCGCCACCGCACGCGCTTCCGCGACGGTCCCTCGAAGGGGGGCGGGGCCGGCGGGCGCTCCGCCCACCCCCCCCCCACCCCGGCGCGCCGGGCCCCGCCTCCCGGCGTGAGGGGAGGAGCCGGGAAGCGCGGTGAGGGGGCGGGGCGCTGTGACGTTGGGGGCGCGCAGGCGCGCGGCGCGGCGGCCCCGCCCCCGGTCCCGGTCCCGGTCCCGGTCCCGGTCCCGGTCCCGGTCCCGGTCCCGGTCCCGGTCCTGTTCCCGTTCCGGACGTGGGTCAGCCCTGCCGGGAGCCGCCGCCCCGGGGCCCGCGTTAGCTCCCAGCGGGGATCCCGCCTCTCCTCGGCGGGGACGGCACCGGCACCGGCACCGGCCCCGGCCCCGGGGGGCTGAGCCGCCCCGCCGCCGCCCGGGAGCTGCCGGCGCAGACACCCCGCGCGAAACCGGCGCGATTCCAGCGCCTGACGAGGAGAGACAGAAATTACAGCACAGGGACCATAGAGCCGGTGGCAAAACAAGTGGAAATATTAAAACTCAAAGATAGACTACCAGCAGAGACAGGAGTAAATGGCACATATGATATAACCATACAGTAAGCGAACGGGAGTCGTATATGGGATTGAGTAGAGGTTGGGGATTTTTTTTTCTTTTTCTTTCTTTTTAATTTTTCTCTTTAATACGTTGAAATTGCCCAGACTGGTCCAGTACGACATCTCAAACCTGACAGGGCCGCGGGGATTCGTCCCGCCGCGCTCCCCACGCTGCGGCGAGGGCAGACGTGCCGGTGGGCGTCACGGGCGGGCAGGCCCCGCGGCACACGGCCAGCGCCGTGCGACGCGACGGGGGAATGGCTCAGAGACGGCGGGGCCCACGGCACGCGGCGGGGAGGTGGAGGGGGTTCACCGGACGGGACGGGCGGTGCTGCCTGCGCCCGGTGGGAACGGGCACCCCACGCCCCGCCCCCCCCCGGGGGCGATCCCGGGGAGGGTGGTGAACCCCCACGCTCACCTCCGTGGGGAGAGGGGCGGCAGCACCTGGGTGCATGCGGGGTGGGGGGGGCGTCACTCCAGCCACGCTAACGTGCCCCTCCAGCTTTTTGGGGACGACAGGCCCCCCAGCCCCGCAGACGCAGCTGGGGCGGGGGGGCTCTGCCACACGGTAAAGCCCCCCCGCAGCCCCTGCCTGGAGGGCTGCACCCTTCCTGCACCCCAATGGGAACGGCGGGCAGCAAGCAGGGAGGGGGACAGCGGGGTCCCCGGTGCTGGGGGGTGGCTGGGGACGCTGCGGTGGGGAGGGGCTGCCTGGCAAGAGCTGCTGGGGCGACCCCCCCCCCGCGGCGGGGGCACTGGTAGACCTGCTACGCAGACGGGGCAGCTCCCGCCACTCGCGAGGGTCCGATTCCTTCACAGCTACCAGGGCTGAGGGGGGCCAGGCGGGGAGGCAGCCCCGGCAGCGGGGTCCCCCCCCCGCACCCCGCTCAGCCCTGCCAGGTGCCCGTGACAGAGGGGGTCCCCGTCCCTGCCCCCCCGCACGCGTGGGGCAGCCACCGCAGCCCGGGGACCCCCGCGGCCGAGCGGATTTTCATGCTGTCTCCAGGAATTGATATCAGCGTGGACCAGTCTAACATCTCGCAGGTTTTTTTTTTTTTCTACTGGCTACTGGAATGCGCTCGTTTGGCTTAGGGGTCCTCGATGTCGAGAAACTCTTGCTTGGGGGGGGCCATGCCGCGGTACCAGGCGCACGAGCCGTCGCTCCTCTTGATGCAAGCGTAGTGCTTCGCCTGCCGCCCGTCCACGTTGTTCTTCTCCATCGCCCAGTCTGTCCAGAGACACTCGTCCGAGGAGGATACGAAGCAGGGGATGGAGAGGCAGCGCGAGATCTGCACACAACAGAGACCGTCACCGACCGCCCCGGGGGGGGGGGGGGACACGCCGGGGCGGGAAGAAGCAGCACAGCCCTGCTTCACCCGCCCCCCCAGCGCCGCACCAGGGCTGCCCCTTCCCTGCGGGGCACGGTGGGGATGCGACCCCGGTGCGAGGGAGCTGGGTGCACCCCTGGGTGCGGGTCCCGGGGCTGGACTGTTTCCAGCCGGAGAGAGCCGGCAGCTCGGCCGCCCCTCCCGTACCCCCGGCCGCGTGCTGTGCCCCCTGCACAGCCTCAGCCTCGAAGGACGGGGGAGAGCCTCTCTCCGCAGAGCCCACGCCCGCCTCGGGGCTGCAGACCCCACGGGCACGGGGAGCGGGGCGCAGCCCGTGCTCGGGGGCCGCCCGGCCGCTCACCTTGCACTCGCAGCCCATCTGGTACCGCTGGTTTAGGCTCTTCTTCTGGGTCGGGCTCAGCGAGTCCCAGGTGGAGACCAAGTCGCAGAGCGTGATGTGCATCTTGCCGTTGCCCTCTGACTTGCCTGGGGAGAGGCCAGACAGCCCGCTCAGAGGGTCCCCCCCGGCGCTCCGGGGCCTGACTCTGACTCGGGGTGCCCGGGGCTCAGCCCAGCTTGGGGGGGGCTGGTGGTCGCTGCAATCCGGCCCCTCCCACCATGCCCTGTCCCCAGTGACCCCCGGGGAGCAGAGCCTCGGCCCCCCGCTGCCCCTGCCACAGCCCGGGGCTGCCGAGCACGGCCAGGGCATGGTCCCTCGAGGGCTGGGGTGGGAGCAGGAGCAGGAGCCGGGGGGGGCCCGTGCCCGGGGAGCAGGCACACACGTCCCAGGCGCCTCGGGAGGCAGCAGGGCCAGCAGAGAGCCATCCCTCGCGGCCACCCACCTGCGATGAGATACTCCTTCTTCCCGCCGGTGTCCAGCAGCCGGCCGCACACGGCGGTGGACGGAGCCGTGTAGATGAACTCGATGTCCTTGTCGGGGCCCTTAAACATCTGCGGGGAAGGAGCGGGAGTGAGTGCCCGGCATGGCGGCTGCCCCGGCCCCCCCGCCTCCTGCCCCGATGCGCCCCGTTACCTTGATCTGCTTGATTTCATACTGGATTCGTTTGATCGGATTCCCGTATATATCATTCCCCGAATCCACCTCTTTCGCAGAGACGGCCTTTGCTCGGATCACTGCAAGGGAGAGGTGTCAAGGTCAGGAGGGCTGGCCGGGGACCGGAGGTGTCACCAGTGCCACGGGAGCTGCCCCGGCGGGAGGGTCCCGCTCAGCCCCCCCACCCCACGGGGGCTCGCACGGGGCCGGCCGCCCGCAGCGAACCCAGCAGCCCGTGGAGCTGGCTGTCACACGCTGTCCCCGAGGGGACAGGGCTCTGGCACGCACAGGACGGCGACAGGCAGCGTTGCAGCAGCACCCTCACTGATAAGGTGATAAGGAAAGGTCAGCCCTGGCTCGCCCGGCCCCACCATCGCCAGCCATGCCGGACCAGTCGCCCTTGGCCAGCGCTGGCCCGGTCTCTGCCCAGACCCTGCGGACCCGTGGGTGCAGGCTGACCCTGCCTGGGCTCGTGCCCGTCACCCGGATGGCACCGGGACAACTAAAATCTGCCAGCAGCATCCTGGGAGCACCGCGGTATTTGCCCCACTGTCATTAATTAATCCGGTCTCTGATGAGGGCCCCAGCCAAACGCCCGCGTGGCCTGGCTGGGCTGGAGGAGAAGAGGGCAGAGGGAGCTCTTTGGGGGGTCACCTTTGGGTGCAGAGGGAGGTGGGAGTCGCGTCCCCACGGCACCGTCCCAGCTGCCTGCCCCGCTGCCTGCACAGGCAGCTCACACCGGGGTCCCCAGCCCCACCGGCCCTTGCCAGCCCCTCTGCACTCCCACACCGGGGAAGCTGGGGGGGCCCAGGACCTTCGCACTCCCCAGCCAGAGCGTGGGGTCCCCGTCCCCCCACGGAGGGGTCCCGGCTGCTGCGGGGCGATGCTCTGGCTGCCGGCTCCCTGCCAGACCTCAGCTACTGCTGCGCGGGGCCTCCTCATGCCGTGCAGGCGCAGAAACCGCATCCTCCGGGGGCTGGGGGGTGCCACTACCAGCCCTCGCCACGTGCAGAAATAACCCGGGGACGCCGAGGGCTGGGGCAGTGGAAAAACACGACCCGGTGAGGGGAGGCAGCGACCTCCCCAGCCGGCAGCCCCCAGCGGTCCCAGCACCGAGGGACAAGGTCGGGTGCCCCAGGGCCGGCGAGGACGCAGCACCCCGGAGCCAGCGACACGGGGCCAGCTCTGCCGTGGAAGGGTCCCTGCGGTCACGCTGCCAGCACAGCCCGGGGAAACACAAACCGGCATGTGAGCGCTCGGCACGTGGCAGCGACCCGCGGGGCGGGCAGCGGGCAGCCAGCTCACCCTTACTCACCGGCTCGGGGCAGAGCGGCTGGCTGGGCGCTGTGCAGGTCGCAGCCATGCCCGGCTCCCTGCGCCGAGCCCCGCAGCTCCCTGCCCTGCCCGGCCCCCTCCGCCGGCACCGGGACGGGCACTCCCGGCCGGCCCCAGGCAGCACCGGGGCCGCTGACGGCGCAGGGGGCACTGGCAGCCCCAAAGCCGCAGCTCCAGCTCAGCACCCTCCCAGCTGGGCGCAGGGCAGGGGCTCACAGGGCTCCCCGCTCTGCTGGGGGTACCCCATCCCAGGGGGAGGCCAGCCCCCCGTCCCTCGGGGGCACCCTGGTGCCCTGCCAGCCCCAGCTCCGCGTGCCTGCCGGTGGCGGGAGGGCAAGTGCCAGCCAAGCTGGGGACCCGGCCCCCAGTGAAGGGTGCTGAGGTGGGAGCAGCCAGGGACGCGCAGGGGCCGCCTGCCAGCCCGGCACAGCAAGGAGAGGGAATCTGACCGTGCTCTATAAATACCGCGGGGCGCGGGGGCACGCGGATGGGCTATTTAAGCTGAAGGTCAGGGGGGCATGGCCCCACGTGGGTGCCGGCAAGTGCCAACTGAGTTTACTCTGGAAGGGACAGGATGGCCACCAGCCCGAACAGGGGCCGCGGGAGAGACCTCCCAAAACAGCCGCCCCCGGTCAGTGCGGGCGCTCGCTCGGTGCAGGGCAGGTGGATGCAATGCCCAACCGTACCGTGGCCCTTCCCAGCCGAGAAGCCCTCCCAGGGGTACCCCCCGCCCCGGCCCCTCCCCAGGCTGGAGGAGCTCCACTTGGCACGCTGTCCCTGCGCCTGCTCCTCTGCCAGCAGCGCACCGGGGTCACCGCGGGCACCGGCCGCCCCTCGCCCCAAAACCCAGCCGCTGCCGCGTCCTCTGGCGTGCCGGGCCCTTCGCTGCTCCGCGCGCGCCTGCGGCGTAATTCGGGTGTAATTCGGGTGCAACCGAGCAGGAGCCGCGCGCCGGCTCCGGCCCCGCGGAGGAACGGTTACTGGTTCAGTGGGCTCCAGCCTTTTCCATTCACGTGCTGATGAATCACTTGACAAAAATGCAGCCCAATTCTAGGCGGATTTGTTCTGAACAGTGCGGCTTTGTGGAAGGGGACGGCTGCGCTGCGCTTTCCCCGCCAAGACCCCAGCAGCGCAGCCAAGCTGCTCCGCGCCAGCCAGGAACCGGAGCGGCGAGGAGGGCGAGCCGCAGGGACCGCGGAGGGAGCCCGGCTGAGATCCCGGGTGATGGGGAGGCAGGGCCGAGGGGCGGCGGGAAGGAAAGCCCCGGGTGCTCAGTCAGACCTCCCCAAACGCCAACGCTCCCGTCGGGCGCGTCGCCCACCAGCCGCGGGAGCCCAGACCCGGCGCGAGGCCGAGCCCAGGCTCTGGGCTCCCGGGGCGCGTGGCCGGCACAGCACTGTCCGACCGGGCAGGACAGGCTGCCGCGAGAAGATGCGCCGTGGGGTGACACCCCCCCCCCCAGCCCCATCCCAGCAGCGTGGGAGTCCCACCGGTGACAAGCCCTGTGCTGGCCCCCAGGGCTGCAAGCCATGGCCACCTCACAGTGAGGATGCCGGAGCGATCCGGGGCCAGACCCCGGCGAGGCAGCGGGTCCCCTCGCCGCCCTCTGCTACCAGAATTGATCCCACCGCCCCGGCCGAACTGACCCCCGCGCCGAGGCTGCCCGCCTCCTGCCTCAGCACCGGGAGAAGCGCCAGCCTCCGCCTTCACCTCCGCACAGAAGCTGCTGCGGGAGCAGGGCTGCGCTCGCAGCCGGGGCCCTTGGAGCCCCCCTGCACACGCCTGCTGCCTCGGGGGGCTCAGGACCGGGGCTGGGTTCAAGGGCTTTCAGTAACACCCCCCCCCCTCACTGCAGCTGCCTCGGCACGGCCCGTGGCCGCCGGCTGCCCCCCAGCACCGCTCCTCGCTGCCCTGTCCTCCTGCCAGCGGCGGGATGCGGGAACAGGCATGAGGGCAGGCGAGGGGCATCCGTCCCGGCTGCAGAGGGGTGGGGGTATATGGGGAGCTGGTGAATTCCCAGCCCGGGAATCCCACCACAGAGCAGTCCCCACGTCACGGTGGGCAGCGGTGCCATGGTCCCCACGTCACGGTGGGCAGCGGTGCCACAGGAAGGTCGCCGCCTCACCCTGCACCGCTCCCCCCAGCTGGGCGACGGGTACACGACCAACTGGGACAGACTGGGGCTGCGGTGCAGCTCCAGGAGCAAAGCTGGGGGCAAAGGGAGTCACCCAGTGCCACGACCCCACCGGGACGTCCCTCTGGGTTTGCCAGCCGGTGGGATGCTGCCCCCCCTGGCCCTCGCCACACGGCTCCCCCAGCTTGGGGGCTGCGCCCCACGTTTCTGTCTGCTGACCGGGGGGTTCCTGCTGTGGACAGTTGCCATCGCAGCAGGAACCGCCGGGGGGAGATGCTGCAGCCCCAGGTTCTCCCCAGGGAAGGAGGAAAGGGGTCCTGGAGGAGAGCTGCCGAAGGGGAGAAGCTGTGTGGGTGCTGCCCTGCACCCGGGGTGGATCCTGCCACGGCCCGCCCCAGCTCGGGGGAGCTGCTGAGAAGCGCATGCCTGCGTGTGCCCCACGGGCAGAGGGGCAGCACGAGGAGCCTCGGCCCCGGGACGTGCCCAACAGCCGCCCCTTCCACCGCCATCCCACCCCGGACCCCACCAGCACCCACCTACAGCTGCCCGGGAAGCGCCGGTGCCCGCAGACCGCGGGGGCTGCTGCCGGGCTGAACGGCCAGGGAACAAAGCTCCCTTCTCCGGGGATGCTGGCAGCCGGCTGAGCGGGGGGGCCGGCTGCCCGTGCCAGCGCTGCCCACCCCGCACTGCCCGCCCGGGTGCCTGTCCCCTCAGCGGGGGCAGCCCCGGGGTCACTCCAGCCCCGCTGGAGGCCAGCGGAGATGGAGACCCAGCAAACCCACCCCGGGGAGGGGGGACTCAGCCCCAGCCCTGCCTGGCACCCCGGCAGCACCCGAGCAGGGCACCCCCACCCCGGCCCAGCGGCAGGGCAGTTTTGGGGACGGGGAGGCCGGAGGGATGCGGAGCTGAGCCGCGGTGGAGTCGCGGCAGAGGCCGTGGGGGGCTCGGCCGGCGTGTGGCAGCGCCCCGGGGGGGGTGCGGGAGGCAGTGCCGGGGTGCCAGGCCCCGCTCGCCCACCGGCCTGCGCGGGAGCCGCGGGTTCGGCGCTGCCGTGGCCGCGTGCGTCATCCCGGCCCTCTGACGGGAGCGGGAGGGGGCCCAATCAGCGTCGGCCCCAGCAGTCAGCCCACAGCCCCTCCGCGCCACCGCACGGGAACGGCTCCGACTGCCGGGGCGGCACCGGGGACCGGCGGCCCCCCCAGCCCCGGCAGAGCCCGCCGGGCAGCTGCGCTCCCCCCCCTGCCCCGGCACGGACTGCTCCCGCCGCCCTCCCCAGACCCCCTCCTCTGCCTGGCCCCTGCCCGCAGCCCCCACCTTTCCTCCCCTCCCTCCCCGCTGCCTGCACCCCGGCCCGAGGAACCAAGCCCTGGGCCAACTGGGATCGGTGCAATGGTGGCAGCGGCCGCGTCCAAGGTGCCCCCTGTCCCAGGCGGCACCCCGAGCCCCCGCTCTCCACTGCCCCATCGATCCCTCCTGGAGCCGGCACTGCCGCACAAGGCCAAAGCCACGGCCGTGCCCAGAAGGGCCGAGCATCACCTCCCTCACCCCACACATCCCCATGGCGCTCCAGAGGAGACCAAGCAGAAGCCGGGTCTCCTGCTGTGGCCCCGGCCCGGCCACGTCCCCGCCTGGCAGCCGAGTGGCCCCAGCAGAGAAACCCCCCCAGGCAGGCCCCAGTGAGGAACAGCAACTGGGGGAGAAGGGGGTAGCCCTGAGCCCTCTGGCCCTGCAGAACCCCGCTGCCTGTCTCATGGGGCGGGAGGCGCAAGTGCAGACAGGCCAGGTCACCTGTTCCAAGTCACCAGGTCCGGTGACACGAGTCCCAGCCCCACGGGCACCCCGTGCCCAAAGCAGAGCTGCATCCGCCTCCCCCTGCGCTGCCTGGAAATGCAGCCCTGGGCTCCGGCTGCTCCGGCCCTGCTGTGGGGGAGATCCGACCGCAGGGGTACGAGCGAGGGCCGTGGGGAGGCACAGACGGACGTGGCAGGCATTTCCCGTGCTACGGAGCAGGGATCCCAGCCCCGCAGGGCCAGGGCCCTGCACTGCGCTCCCCCAGCTCCCCACTACCGAGGGCTGAGCACGAGCCTTGGGGCTCATCAGCCACCTCGGGTGCACCCAGCAGCACAGGGCATCAGCCACCACCACAGCACCACTTCCCCACCGAGGGCCCAGCCTGGACACGGGCTGCTCCGTCCACGGCGGCTGGGGAAGGGCCCAGCAGCACCCAGCACCACACGGTCTCCCTGGGCTCCACGCACCCACAGGGAGGGAGCTGGCTGAGGAGCCTCCCAGCTCCAGAGCATCCAGGGGGAAGCGAAGAAGCAGCGAGAAGGCCAGGGATCCCAGGCTGCAGGAGATGGATCTGTGTTGTGCGGGACGAGAAGGCTGGGGAGCTCATCCCGGGCTGAGCCCTGCTCCCCCGAGCCCAGCGCTGTCCCCGGCCGGGCTCATGCGAGGCGAGACTGATCGAGATGAGCCGCACCGAGGACTCGGGCTGGGAGCCAGAAGGTGCCAGTGCTGCAGGCAGCGGAGCCCGGGAGGAGGCTGCCGCGGCAGGACGGGCTCCGGGCGCCCGCGGGACAGGCACCTGCCGAGGGCAGCGGGGCAGCCCGACCCGCAGCAGCCCGCTGCCTGGCCACGCCGTGCCCTCCCAGGGGACAGCCGAGACAGCCGGGGCCGCCGAGACAGACGGTGACTCAGCAGCTGAGTCACGGCTGAGCCGGCACCCCGGGACGGGCAGTGAGTCACGAGTGCCCCGAAAGCTGATCCGGACGAGAGCGTGACGGGAAGCTGCAGCCCCGCTCCCAGAGCGGGCGCGGGGGATCCCGCAGCCCAGGGACGCCGGCTCGAGCAGCAGCTCCGAAAACTCAGCGCTCCATTTTGTCTAGAAACCTCCCTGTGCCCAACATGCTCCACGGCGCACTGTGCTGAGCGGCAAGGCCGAGCAGAGCCGGGGCACACGGGGCAGCAGCCAGGCGCTGTGGGAGTTGCCCACGCAGAGGGGAAGGGCCGGGAGAGGGGTCTGGAAGGGGCGAGGGGAGCCTGGGAATCCATCAGGAGCATCCTGACTCAGGGGCAGGGGAGAGGGCAGGGCCGCCCAGAGGCTGGGGCTGCCTAAGTGTTTGGGAATGTTACCTCTCCAGCTGAGCCCAGGAACAGCCCCGCAAAGGAGAGCGTCAGGAACTGGGGCTGGTCTGTTTGTTTAATATGTTAAAATTTAATAAGGGCATTATTCATAGAAAGAGGAATCCAGATCCCGGCGCTGCCAAGCCCTCCCTTTCAGCAGCATCCAAGCCGAACAAAGTGGGACGGGGGAGAGGAAATGCCTGGAAATAAGGAGCAGACGGGAGGTGACCGAGCCTTGGGCGGCTGGCTCCCCGGGGCTGGGTGCGAGAGGCGGCGGCACTCGGAGGGCCCCGGCCTCCCCCCGGGGCCGAGCGCTCCCCGCGCTGCCACGTCCCATCGCGGTTCGACCCAAGTTGGAAGAGGCCCGGGCTCACCCGTGTCACCGGGGCTGCGCGGCGGGGACCGACCCACCCGCGCTCCGGCAGCTCCTCGCATCGCCCGGGCGCGGCCGCGGGGGTCCCCCCCCGAGAGACGGCGAGACGCGCGGGGAGGGACGGACACACCCCGGGCGGACGGACGGACGGACGGACGGACAGACCGCGCCCGGGCGCGCATCTGCTCCCGCCGACACACCCCCGGGCCGGCCGGGGCGCGGAGCCCGTCCCGGCGCGGGGCTGCGGGCAGGTGCCGGGGGCCGGGGGCGGCTCTGCCCGCTCCCCTCCCGCCCCGCCGCAACTTTCCGCCCCTTCCCCCGCCGGGAAGTTCGCGCGGGCCGGGCCGGGGCTGCGGGGCCCCGCGGGGACAAAGCACGGGGGGGGCGCTCACCTACGTCCGCGTTGCAGAAGGCCTGTTGCGGGTGGATGGGCGAGCAGCTGCAGGCGTCGGCCGGGCGGGCCCTGCCGAGCAGCAGCACCGCCAGCCAGGCCAGCAGGCTGGGCAGCGCGGCGAGCATCTTGCGGCGGGGCTGCAGGCTCAGCGACCCGGCCGAGAAACCCGCATCCACCGCCGGGCCCGGCCGAGCCGCCGCCGGGAAGTCCGGGTCCGGCAGCCGCGGCCCCTGCGCGGCGTTGCGGGCGCTGCTGCGGCCGCTCCTCCGCTGCTGCCTTCTAGGGAGGTGTTTTCTTCCTTCCCCGGCTGCCGCTCAGCCTCCGCTTTTTAATGTGCTCCGGGGATTTGCTGCTCCTCCTCTGCGTGGCGCGGGGCCAGCCCGGCTGCTCCCGCCCCTCCGCAGGATGCGGTTCCGCGCCGCGATCGCCTCCCCCGGCCCGGCCCGGCCCGGCCCGGCCCCCGCCGCGGGCACCGGCCGCCCCCCCCCCGCCCCCCGCGCATCCCGCCCGCCCCGGGACCCCTCGGCCCGGGGCCGCGGGCGGGGAAGGCGCCGGGGGCCGGCCCGGGAGCGCGGCCCCGCTCCGCAGCCCTGGCGCCCGGCCTGCGCCGAGCGGAGCGAGAAATTGCAGGGGAAGGCTGCGATTATGGCCGTGGCCAAGCACTGCCTCGCCTCCCGGCTCCTCCAGCTCGGCTCGTCCCACCCCACCCCCGTGCCCCCTCGCCTGCTCCCTCCGGGGCGCCCACGGCAGCGCTCCCCCGGGGGTCCCGTGACGCGCCCGCGGACTCCGGGCTTCTCCCCCCCTTGGGCAGCGCCCCTCTGCCCTGGTGCACACCTCAAAATCCCCACCTCGCCCCCGTCCCGGCTGCATCGCCGCGGCGGGGTCACGGTGCTGCTGGTCCCGCCGTAGCCCTGGTCCCGTGTCCCGCCGGCTGCGGGAACGTGCTCCATCTCTCCAGCGGCGCCTTCGTCCCGGCGAAGCGGGCAGGGAGCCCAGCTCTGCCTCTGGGCGCGGACGGGGCTTCTGAGTGCGGCTGAGCCGGGCGCTGCGGGCACACGTTGGCAGGGACGGCCGACACCGCGACCACAAAACCTGCTCCTGAGCCAGCCTCCTGCCGCAGAGCTGCCCTGCCGCGGCCACTCACATCTGAGGGAGCTGCCAGAACCGCCTGCCCTTCAGGATGAGAGCAAGCGGAAACGTGGGCAGCCAAACCCAGCCCAAGCCCTGCTCGAGACTGCAGGGAGCCTGCGGGAGGTGGCGGCATCCACAGCGCTGGGGTGTTGGATGAAACCTGGAAACGGGGCTCCAGGTCCCCGGCCCCACTGCAGCGTGCATGGTTCGCAGACGCTTCGGCCGCAGTCGCCAGGAGCCCTCCCAGCCTGGCTGCTCGAGGTGCCGGGTGCTGCCGGGTGCTTGCACGGGGCCGGGGGCCCAGGGACGCTGCAGCCTGCTCCCGTTTGTGGCAAGACAGGGCTGACGGTCCTGCTGCCCCGGCACCCGCCCAGGCCCCCGATACCCTGCCTGCACGAGGGGCGGTGGGACGGGGCCCAGCTGGGAAAGGGTCGGGCAGGTAGGGCGGCCAGTGGGACGGTCTGGGGGTGCAGGGGGACATGGTACAGGGAGACCCCGCTTCTCAGTAGGGTGTGGAGCTCCCTGCCTGGCTGAGCCCAGGGGACAAGCAGGGACAGACAGCGGGACAGCCACCGGGACAGCCCAGGGCCAAGACAGGTGCTGTGGAGCCACCGGCCCCAGGCCAGGAGAGGCTGTGCCAAGTGAAGCGCAGGCAAAGGCCGAGTGGCTGACGTGGCCCGTGGCCAGCTGGCACCCAGCGTGGGCTGGGGACACACCCCGGGCGCCCGGGGCCGGGTGCTGCACGGTCCCCGAGGCCACGTGCACGGGACAGGGCCAGCTCTGCCCGCAGCGCTGGGGACAGGTCCGTGCCCGGGACAGAGCTGCCCCGCAGAGGAGATGAGCGCGTCTGCTCGCAGTCCAGCGCCGGCGTGAGTCATTGTCTGGGCTAAACGAAAACACGTGTCCCGCCTCGTATGGGCTCCTCGCTCGGCTCGCGGAGGTGCCGGACACTGTAAACAGGGCCTGGGGGGGGGGGGGGGGCAGCCTGGCTGGGCTCTCCAGAGGGCCCCCAGCCCCACCAGCAAGCTGCTCCGTGGGTCAGCCCACTCCCTGACAGCCCGGCTGCCGCAGCAGCAGGCCCCCTCCCCACCCCGAGCACGGCCGGTGCCCACAGCAGGGCAGGCAGGGGAGGCACGGGGGGGCCCAAGGCCCCCCTGAACCACAGTAGCCAGTTGCTGAAGCCCTGCCTGCTGGCAGAGCTGCCTGAGGGGCAGGGTGTTAACAGGGCCCCCTGGCCGCAGGGGGACACCCGGACACCCCTGACGTGTGTTGGTGTCAGCTGGGGGCTTGTGCCTGCAGCTACAAGGCAGCCGCTTACCCGGCTGCACCTCTGCCCCCCCAACCACGGCTCCGCTGGCAGCGTCCCCAAAATGACCCGGGGCTGCCGCAAGGGTCAACCCAGCATCGCCCTGGCCCCGTCCCCGGGGGGCCCTGGACCGCAGCCCGGCTCTGGGGAGGGGAGGGAAGTCCCGCTCCTGCAGTCAGGGCTGTGGGGAGTCCCGGCACCGTGGTCACCCCGTCCCCCACCAGCTGCCCTGCGCCTGCAGCTCTCCCCTCCCACACCGGAGCCAGGCACGGGTGCCGGCGCCTCGCTGGGGGCTGGTGTGAAGCCGTGCTGCCCCACCAACTGGGGCAGGGGCTCGGCTGCGCGGGGGGAGTGTGGGCCAGGCCAGGAGCTGCAGTCCCCGCGGTTAGCGGGGTGGGAAGGAGGCCCTGGGGGGCCTGCAGAGGCCCGCGTTTCGCACTTTTGGCTCCCGAGGCCTGTGCAAGTTCCTCCAGGGGGGCGATTTCACAACACCACTGGCGAGCTGGGGAAAGGCTGCCTGGCCAGCAAAACCCCGGGCTGCTGCGAACGCTTCCCAGCTGCTGCTGGCCCTGGGAAGCCAAGCTGGTGCTTCTGGCTGTCCCCCCTGCACTGAGCACAGCAGCCCATGCAGCAGGCACGGCCACGCCGCCTGCCAGCTCCCGGCACCTTCCGTCCAGGTCCTGGCTCTCCCCGGAGGTGACAGCTCTGGGTCTAGAGGCACCTCCGGGGCCCGAGTTGTGCACAGCCAGGGCTGGGAGAAGACCCACAGCCAGCAAACCTCATCCCTCCTTGGGGTGCAGGCTGGGAATGCTGCAGGAAAGACTGCCAGCGCTTGAGGCCACTAAAAGCCTTGTCCACCAGCAATGTGGGAACTGCTGCGTCCCCCTTGGTGACAGGGACAGAGGGACAATGCTGCAGTCCCCTCCCATATGAGATTTTCCCCAGAAAACGGTGCTGAGGGCCGTGTGTCACCCCGGTCGTCACCTTACCCAGTTTACAGGAAAAGGGAAGGAAGATCAGCTTCTGGGAAAAAAGCCTGATGAAATCCCCCGTGGCTGTGACATCTTAAGGTGGCCCTCACCCGCCCTGGCTGTGACACACTGCTGTGGCACCGTCCCCCTAGTCACCTTGATGCCATGAGGGTCAGGAATGGGGCAGGAGTCAGCCAATCGCGCCCTCAAGGATGCTCCTCCCCACAGGGATGCTTGTCCCCATGTCTCCGGTACATTCCCAGTCAGGTGCTGGGGACACAGTTCGGAGGTTCCCCTGCAGGGTGGCCCCGGGACAGGCTGTCAGCGCAGCTGGGCTCCAGGGCCTGGGTCAGTCCCGCTCCCCCAGGTACTGGGACACCCCCTCCTCCACCCGGGGAGCACAAGGAGAGCAGCAGAGCTGGGGCTCAGGCTCCTCCTCGGCTGCAAACGCAGAGCCCGGATGTCACCAGAGCCACCAACTCACCACAGAGCGTTTCTGTCGCAATGAGGGGCCGGGCACTAAGGGCTGCAGCGCGGGGCCAGCCCGGGGAGCCGGCGCACCGGGACTTCACCGTCTGCCTCCCGGGCTGGGGCTCACAGCACCCTGTGGTGGCAGTCCCTTGCCACCAGGTGCCACTGCCGAAACACTCGCACCACGCCTGCTGCAGCAGAGCCAACGCTTTACAGGAGATGCCAAGGCCAACTACAGAGCTGGGAGCGCTGCCCAGCATCCCTCGGCCGAGCCCGGGGCGTGCGCCCGGCCAGGAGCTGCTGGCAGGGCCTGCCCCAGCGCCCCTCGGCCTGCCTCGCCCCTCCGGTCCAGTGCAAAAGTTGGTTAAATAAACTCGATGCCCTCGTATTTCACGCTCCCGATCCTGGTCTCGGGCAGGAGGAAGCGCCCGTCCAGCGTGAAGGCCATGATGTAGCTGGCGATCTTGCCGTTGTCCTCTTCCGACTTCAGCGCCACGATGATCTGGTCGTCTGTGTTCGGGATGAACTTGAAGGAGGAGAAGCCGTGGGTGGGGACCACCTCGCCCACCCGTCCCACCGTCACGTCCCCGAAGTCCTGGGTGGAGCTCAGCAGCAGGTTGGTGCCGCGCCGCTCGTCCGCCTTCTCGCTGTAGCGCTCGTGGCTGGCGCGGCGCGGCAGGAAGAACCAGCGCTGCAGGGTGTCGCTCCAGGAGGCCGACTCGTGGATCAGGTAACCTGCGGCAGGGAGCAGCGTCTGACGGCACGGGGCGAGCGGGGCACCCGCCGGGCTGCGACCCCGCTCCCCAAGGCACCGCGGCCGGACAGGCCACAGCCCCACGCAGGCAACCGCTGAGAATGCTTCCATCTCCTCCTGCCCCTCTGCCCAGGCAGCTGCCCCCACAATCCCCCCCAGAGCCAGGCAGGGGCACCCCGGCACTGCCCGAGGGCCTGGCTACCAGGCACAGTGCTGGCCGAGCCACCTTCCAGCAGCTCGTGGCACAGACAGGGGAGAAAACTGGCCAGGGTAGGCTCCGGCCTCTCTGCCAGGACAGGGGGAGATCTCTGGCCTCCAGCGCCCTTTAAATCCCGTACCAGTCCCAGTACCTACGGGGAAGGAGACCTCAGCCCCGGAGCCGCAGAGGGTGTGGGACAGAGGGTGGCAGGGGGGAACCTCGCTCAGTACCTGGGGGTCGGATCCCCGCCGCAGCCCTCAGCGCGTTGTAGTTCGCCACCCAGTTCTCATGGCCCACGTCGCCCTTGTAGCCGATGACCTTCACCCACTCGGGGTTCTCATTCACCACCTCCCCCGTCGTGGTGGTCCACTCCTTGCCCAGTCCCCCCACGTAGAGGTGCTCGTCCTTCACCGCCAGCCACTCTGCCTTGAAGCCTGTGGTGGAGAAAACATCATGAGCTGGGACTTGGCCAGCACGCAGACATCAGGCCAGCCCCCACTCCCCCCAAACACCACACCAGACAGCCCAGCGCTGGGCACAGCCTTCCCCCACACAGCCAGCCGGCCCCCAGGCAAGAATTGCCCCGGCCCAGCTGGGCTTATGGGGTCACAGAAAAGGGGCTCCCCACCCTGGTGAGCTGCAAAAAAGGGCTTCACTGCTCTGTGTCTGCAGGGCAGGACGGGGGAGATCACCTTTCCCCACTGTGCCGTCGCCGTCCGGGAGGATCACCCAGGGCACCACCTTGTTGCCCTCAATCTGGTAGACCACTCCTGTCCGGTCGTCCACGGCGTACAGCTTCCCGTTGAAGACGACCAGCTCGGAGAGCTCCATGCCCCTGCCCTTCTCGGCCAGGTGGGACTGCAGCACGCTCTCGTCTTTGTCCCACTCCACCATCACGCTGTCCCCGCTGTCCGACAGCACCAGGTAGCCCTTCTTCAGGTAACTGAACCAGGTGTGCTCCTCAGAGCCCTGGGACTGCGTGTCCAGGTCCGCGATGACCCCGATGCGGTAGCGCACGCCCTCGGGGTTTCTCTGGGGTGGGGACAGGGGGTAGGTGTCATTGTAGCGGTCCCCTGCCTGCAGGCTGAGCTGCCAGTTGCGAGGATTGGGTGGGACGGGCCGTGCCGGGGAGGAGCGGTGCAGGCAGAAGAGCAGCAGCACAAACCCCACGCAGGCCGATGACAGCACGATGGCCTTCCAGCGCAGTCGGAAGCGGGGGTCAGCACCCTTGGTCATGGACGCGAGGACAGGCAGACCACCCACGCTGATCCGGAGGGGGCTCATAGACTCATGGCAGGGCGGGACGGGCATCAGACTGGGGGCGAGGAGACCCTGGTGGAAAGAGGGGAGGGAGCAGGTCAGAGAGCTGGAGCCTGGCGCTGCACTGAGCTCGGGGGACGGGAGGGCACAGCCGCGAGGGAGGGGCGAGGGGCCCCATCCCCTCTCCCGCAGCAGGAGAAGGTGCTGCCGCCTCGCGCAGGGAAGAGCCAGCACGCCGAGGGGGCTGCTCTGCTGTTGGAGCCCCTCTCAGCCCCTTCTCACCCCCTCTCTGCACTCACAGACCAGCCCCAGCATGCCGGCAGGACCTGCACGACCTGCTCAGCACCTCTACCTGCCCCAGGACCCCCAGCAGCCCAGGTAAGGAGCTGAGGCACCCCGGCCTGGGGCGAGCCCCCGGGACCTGTGTTGGGGTGTCCTGGTGAGCAGTGTCCCCGCACAGTCCCAGGAGGAAGGAGATTCCCCTCCGGCAGCGAGGACGACCCTTGCTGCCCCTGGAGCGGCCGGCCGACCCAGCCCGACTCCCACGGTCCCTGGGAACCAGCCCGGCCAGTGAGCATGTCCCCGAGCCCCACGGGGACACTGGGAGACACGTGGCAGCTCCGCCCGAGCAGGATGCCAACGCCTGAGCAGGAAGCGCAGCACCTGGGTCCAAGGGACAAACATCCCAATCCGCCCAGCCTCCAACCCGCAGCATCCCCCCGCCCCAAACCCCTGCCAGGCCTGCCCACGGCCACAGCATCTCCTCCGGGAAGGACTCGCATACGGGCACCCTCAGGCTGTGCCCCCCTCCCCGGACTGGAAGCTGCCCCAGCACCACCCACTCTCACCCCGTGCTGTGCCCCACGGGGCAGGGACCCCCAGCCCGGGGTAGGGGGGTCCCCAGCTGCCAGCCCAGGGCTGTCACCGGCCGCGGCGGGGGCCCCAGGCCTGGCGCTGGGCACGGGCCACGCTCCCCGCGGGCAGCCACACCGCCCGGCTCTCAATGTGCCTTTCAGCAGCCCGAGGTGCGAACAGAGGCTGCATTGAGCGTGGGGGGCCGAGCCCCGGGCAGGCGGGCGGGCTCCCGCCGCTGGCGGCTGGGACACGGGAGAGCCCAAGAAGGACGGTTGCTGAGCCCCGGGGCCCCACTGCACCCCTCCGTCCTGCCAGGACCCCAGAGCATCGTCCTCGCAGGGTGCTGGGGACCCCGCTCCGCGCACCGGCCCCCACTGCAGCTGTAGGGACCCCAGCACCTGCCCTGAGCACGGCCACGCGGACCCCCTGGCCACAGACACGGGAACCCCGGCCTCTTCAGGCATGAACACGGGGACCCCCAGCCCCCCCGGGCCCGGGGACAGGGAACCCCAGCCTCTCTGGGCACGGACACGGGGACCCCCACCCGCCTTGCACATAGACACGGGGACCCCTCAGCTTCGCCGGGCGCGTCCTCGGGGACCTCCGAGCCCCCTCCCCGAGCGAGCCGCCGGGACGGCGGCGCAACGACCGGCCTGAGCGGGGCCTTGCGGGCCTCCGCGCTCCCGGGACCCTCCGCCCCGGGGCACAGCCCGGGGACCCCGATGCTCCGGCCCGAGCAGGGTGCTGGGGGCCTGCGGTGCTCCCGCCGCAGCCCGGCAGGACCCCCCCGCGCTGCAGGCCCGGCCCCCGGCCCCCCCCGAGCCCCGCGCCCGCCGCCCCGGGCCCCCCCGGCCCCGCTCACCGCCCGAGCGCCGCCGCCGCCGCCGCCGCCTACAGCTCCCGGCAGGCCCCGCGCGCCACCACGGCGGCCGGCCGCGGCCAAACCCACGGCGCTGGGCACGGGAACTACAACTCCCAGTAGCCCTTGCGCGCCACCCACCTCCCGCCGCCCCGCGGGGGCCGCTGGGAGTTGTAGTCCGCTCCGCAGCCGAACCGAACCGGGCCGGGAGAGCAGCGGCGGGGGCGGGGGCCGAGCCGGCTCTGCCCCGGGTGGTCTCAGCCCGGTTGCCCCGGAGGACACGACCCCAACCCCCCAGCGCAGCCCCTCGGTGCAGCCCGGCCCCAGCCCGCGGCTCCTTCTGGAGCTGCCCCGCGTCCCCCTCCCGCGGGGACAAATCCTGCCCAGCGCGGCGGGACGCGTGTGCGTGTCCGGCTGCCGCCCGCCAAAGCCCCATCCCCGGTTGGCTCCGGTGCCCCCCCTCCCCACCCCCAGGGCCGGGGAACGGCCGGCGGCGCTCCCGGAGTGGGGCAGGGTCCTGCCCCGGGGCGCAGCTGCACCCACCGGCGCCGCAGACCCCACTCTCCCCGTGCCGATGCCGGTGAAGCCCCCGGCGTGTACCGGCCCCGGGCGGGAGCACAGATGGTTAACGGCGTCCGCCCGCGCTGCCGGGCTCGCAGCCGGCGGTGGGAGGGCTGCGCGCCCCGGCCCGCTCCTCCGCTGCCTCCTTCGCCTTCCAAAAAGTGCATTTCCGCCCGGGCCGGCGGAGGGGAGGCTGTCGGAGCGGGAGGCAGCCGCTCCGCCGCGGGCAGGCTCTGCCCCGGGACCGGGGGCCGGCGCGGCGGCACCGGGGGGGATGCTCTAGGGGAGGAAAGGCAGCGGCGGGAGGGAGCAGCCCTACCCCGGAGGTAGGTTTTGGGGTGCGGGGGGGGGGGTTCCTGCAGGCTTGGGGACCGGCCCCCCGCAGCTGCACCCATCTGTGGGTGCAGACTCGCACAGGAGGTGGCTCTGACTCGCCAGACGCAGGGGTGCCCCAGGGCACGTCCAGCGAGGGGGACCCCAGTCTGGTCGGCCAAGTGACAGGGACCCTCACGGGCCTCCGAGGGCACGGCGCGACCCACAGCAGCTCCGGGAGGAAGGGTGCTGGGAGGGGGGGTCACTGCTGGAGCCCACGGCACAGATCCACCACCGCTCCCCCAGCCCTGCGCCCAAAAAGCCAGTCCCCACGAGCATGTTGAACCCAGGGCTGGGCCGCGCCTGGGCACATCTGGGAAGGGGACACAGTGGCTGCTGGGGTCCCCAGCATGTCTCACTGGTGCCGCTGGGTGCTGCGGGAACTGGGGGGGGGGGGGGGGGCTGCGACCACCCCGCTGGTCCTTCACCACAGCTGCTCCATGCAGCTCCCAACCCAGCTGCCCACTGGGTCTGTGCTGCCCTGCGTGTGCAAACAGCTCTGCAAGCGTTCCAGCTGCTGCGGCAAAAGGCAGGGGGAGCCGCCCCACCAGCACAACCCCAGAGGCATCCCAGCTCCAGCTGGTGTGGCTCAGGGCAGGCTGTACCCACCACCCGGACCGGGGAGGGCGAGGTGGGTGCGCGCGTCCTGCCGCCTCCACGCCGCCCCGCTGCTCTGAGCCCCCTCGTATTTCCCCCCTGGGGTTTGCTCTTGTTTCATCCCGTTTTTTACTGCTGCCTGGAATGTATTTCAGGATGTTTTGACTTGCAGTCCCAAGGCTTTAGCAGCCACTGATTTTAAATCTCCAAACGGCTCCTGGAAATCATCCAACCCCAACAGGAAAAAACAGCATCCCCTCAGCAGGACTGTATATGCCCGAGCATATACGGGCACCTCCCACCCCGCCTGCCTGGGGGGTGCAGGGGGAGATGCACACTCGGGGGCCCAGTGAGCCCCACACGCTGCTGGTGAGTGCACCATGCCACTGCCACGCGTGCCCGCCTCCATTTCCAGCCCTACAACCGCCTGGGAAGCATGCTGCCTTTCTCGGTGGGAATTTCCTGGTGAAGGATTTCTCCTCCTTGTGGAACAGTTCCCCGCCAAGCTGCGTTTTCCCCAGAGTTGAGCCTACTGGGGGTCCCAGGGGAATGTCTGGTTTGATGGTCCCAGAACTGAGGGAGAGCCACGGGCTTCCCAAAACCCCAGTGGGCTGCGTGCCATGCTTGCTGGCATGTGGCTGGCACAGCTGGAGGCCAAGCAGGGTGAAGAAAGCCAGGGCTAAGGCTCCCCTGGATGATATCTGCTCACAAGCCCCTGACCAACCTCCTCCACGCTTCTGTCTGTGGATCTGTTTTCCCCCTGCCCACAGAGCCGAGCGTGGGCAGGCACCAGGCCAGGGCACGGAGGATGCGGCGCCAGGCTGCCTGCGCACGGTGCCCACAGCCCTGCCTCTCCCCACAGCCGGCAGTGCCAGCAGGACGCAGGGGAGATAACGGGGTGAGAGGGGTGGGGGGAGAACAGAGGCACCCCGGAACCGTGTGAAGGGACAGAGGGTGCAAACAGCGGGAAAGCCCTTTGGAGCCTTTCCCCACCCCTCCGCCCCTCCCCGGCCCCAGTGAAGGTGACTCATGAGCCAGGCATCCATCCTGGCCTCGAACGCCCTCCGTGGAGCACACCCGGCCGGTCCCCCGGCCCCACCAGCCCCCACTTTCAGGGGACAACAGTACCAGCCTGCCCAGAGACTGTCCCAGTCTGGTGATCACTGACTGGGGACCCCCATGCTCAGAGAGCAGGCGTTCACCAAAAGAAGAGGATTCTGCCTCAAAATCCTTCCCCATGGCCTGGCCCACCCCCAGGACATGGGGCTGTGCTGTGTGGGGCCCTTTGCCCCTTGGGGATCCGGGCAGACAGCGTAGGAGGAGGCTGTTTGGGGAGAAAGGGAAAGGCTGCGCCCCTGGGGTACCCTGACCGAGACAGGCGCCTGGCGAGTGGCCTTCCCCACCCCAGCGCTGCAAGGCCCCAGCACGGCAGGGGGGTGCGCGACCAGGCAGCCCCCGCCTGCAGCCCCATGCCTGTCCGGTCGTGCCCCAGCACCACTGCAGGACACCGAGCGGCTGGGCGGTGCCGCACGCGTGTTTGGCCATGGCCATGGTCACCCTGGTGCCTTTGGGGCCTCAGCCCCACGCCTCGAGCAGCTACGGCTGTGATAAGGCAGGGAGGGGCAGTGGGGTCCTGCCCAGGTTGGCCATGGTGCCACCGGCTGCTGCAAATATTAGCTTTGGCCCCACGCAGGATGTGGGGCCTCAGGAAGGTTTCTCCCCATGCTGGCCAGCTCCCAGCTGGGGCTACCAGCCCACATCCACGTCTCTGGGAGGAGTGGGTCTTGTCTTCTTGCAACCCCCCCAGGACTGAGGGCCCAGGCACAGGGGTGGGGGCTGAGTGCTGGCAGCTCCCAGGGCACAGGAGCCCCTTACCCGGGGTCTGCGCAGCCTGTTCTGTGGACATCCCTGCACGCTCTGGGGCAGGAGGAGAGATGCAGACACCCTCCCCAGGCAGGGCTGGGGTCCCCCACAACAGGCAGGGCTGCACCCTGACATTTGCCCCATGGTATCTGGAGCTGCCTGTAATGTTTTCAGGCACTGACACCTCAAGTTGCTGCTCTTAGGCATCCATGGGAGGCAGCTGAAGCCCGGCTGAGTAGGAGCAGCAGCGCTTGGCCCAGGGCTTGGACAGTCAGAGGCTGCTGCTCCACTCCACCCTTGGCTCATCCAGGTAATTCTCCCTCCCATGCCCGCCAGGGCTCTGGGGGCTGCGTGGGCCCCCCTCCCAGCTAGTTGGTGAGCCCAGAGCCCCCGCACTGCACCACACATGGGTCTCTCCAGGCGTTCGCTGGAGTGTCACCAAGGCACACAGCTCAGCTAAAAGCAGCTATTTAGGTACAGCTGGTCCCCGCAGCTGCATGAGTTGCATGTGCCCACGCTGCGGGGAAAGGGCTGCTGTAAGAGCAATGTTTTGGGGCTGGAAATGCAGCTGTGCCCTGCCTGGGGCTGCGTGGTGCACCAGGTTCTGTCCTGGGGACAGTGTCTGGCACAGCCAGGCTGGCACAGCACAGCAGGGCATCTCTGCCAGGCCTTGTTGTCCCTGGCATTTCCCAGGGCATTTCCACACCATGGAGGGGCTTTGGGTGCTCGGTGTCCTGCTGCTTTCCTGCCTGATGCTGCCCTTCCCCACGAGGAGTCAGACCAGCCCCGACCAGCGTTTGCAGACGGACCCCGAGGAGGCACCGTCCCAGCACCACGCTGCCAGGTGAGGGGACTCCGGGGCCGGGGCATTTTGCAGCGGGGGGCCGGGGCAGCCCTGGCACCACAAAGGGCCCCGTCCCCCACCCGTAGCTCCCTGTTGCGCTTTGCTTTCTGCCCTCCCCAGGGCCACGCAGGAGCAGAAGGCTGGCGGTGCCCAGGAGGGGCTGCCCCCGCGGCCCCGCTGCGTTCGCTGCTGTGAGCCGCCCGACCAGCGCTTCTCCTACCCCCGGTACCAGCCCCTGCCTCAGATCAACATGACCATCCTCAAAGGTGAGAGCTGGCGGAACCCCACATTGCGGCACTGCCCGCGGCCAAACCCGCAGCCCAGGCACCCCGTGCTGCTGGGCACCATCAGCCTGCCTGGTCTGCCAGCATCACCCCAGGGCCAGCCTTGCACAGGCTGGAGGCAGCATCAGAGCCCAGGGAGGGGGCAGGGGGGCGCGGGTCCCTGCTGTCTCCATCCCTTTCTGTCAGAAAAAAGGGCTTCCTGGGCACTGGGTTTAGAGATGGTTCCCGGATCTGACGGCACAATTGTCCCTCCTGCTTTGCCCAGGCGAGAAGGGGGACCGCGGCGAGCGAGGCATGCAGGGCAAGTTCGGCAAGACGGGGGTGGCCGGCAGCAGGGGCCACGCGGGGCCCAAGGGACAGAAGGGCAGCGTGGGCGCCCCAGGGGAGCGCTGCAAGAGCCACTACGCCGCCTTCTCGGTGGGCCGCAAGAAACCCCTGCACAGCAACGACTACTACCAGACCCTCATCTTCGACACGGAGTTTGTCAACCTCTACGACCACTTCAACATGTTCACAGGAAAGTTCTACTGCTACGTCCCCGGGATCTACTACTTCAGCCTCAATGTGCACACCTGGAACCAGAAGGAGACATACCTGCACATCATGCACAACGGGGCGGAGGTAGTGATCCTCTACGCCCAGGTGAGCGACCGCAGCATCATGCAGAGCCAGAGCGTCATGCTGGAGCTGCGGGAGCAGGACGAGGTCTGGGTGCGTCTCTACAAGGGCGAGCGCGAGAACGCCGTCTTCAGCGACGAGTACGACACTTACATCACCTTCAGCGGCCACCTCATCAAGTACAGCGGTGACCCCTGAGCCCCTGGTGCACCCTGCTCCTCCTCCCCTGGGGCGGGGGTCCGAGGAGCCCCCGCCACCCTCTCACCCCGGGCACCTTGCCCACCACTGAGCTGTTAGCCCTTCTCCATGCCACTACCCCCAGCAGCTGTGTGAGCATGTGAATACCCCAACCCCAGCTCCTCGAGGCCGATCGGATGCACCTGGAGGGATTGGAGCCATTTCCATCCTCTGCTGCAATAGCGACCCAGGAATCAGCTTTTCCAGAGCCGGGTTTGCAGGGGCACAGGTGCTGGTGGCACTGGCTGTAAGCTGGCACGAGCTGGACGGGTTTGACAGCCCATGCTCTGGTGCGAGGCAGTGCAGACACAGGCACTGCGTTCCGCCCTTGCCTGGCCTGCATTGTGCCACACTCTGCAAGCTCTTTCTCCCAGAAAAGGGCAAAGGGTGCTCAGCATCCGGCAGGAAAAGCAGTAAAACCACTACAGGCCTCCCGTTCCTCCTGCAGAGCTCCCAGCAGCACAGGTGGTGCAGCATGGTGCTGGGTACCCTCTGGGCTGACACTTCCCCAAGGGCTCCCACGAGGGAGCGGATTGAATCAGTTCCCATCTGCACGTCCCCGTCAGAGTTTCCCCTGCCGCAGCCTCTGCTCGGTGCCGATGCTGCCGAGGAGGAGCTGGCTCCCCGCCGGCAGCCCTGGGTGCGGGGCCTTTGGCCTCAGCTGCTTCCTCTTCAGTTAGATTAGCTGCTGGCCAGGCTTTGTATTTTTGTAGATGCAATAGCAGAGCGGGGCCCAGGGCGGCATGCTGACCCCCCCCCCCCCCCCCCCCGCCCTCTGCACAGCTTGTGACCACATTAAACACCCCACGATTTCGAGCCCTACTCACGCTTTCAGTGCGTCCTCTTGCTTTGCCTGGGCGGAAGCGCCGAGCAGCTCAGGGCGGGTTCCCGCACCCAGAGCGCGGGGGCACCCCGTGAGCCCTGGGCTGGCACGGTGCTGCCGAGCTGGTGGGGGGAAGGGAAGGGCATGGGAGGGCAGAGGGTCCCTGCAGAGCCAGGGAGACCCGAGCCAGGCTCTGCGAGGGCCAGGGAGCTGAGCGCAGTGACAGACCCGGCAGCCTGCGAGCAGGGCAGGCTGGGGGTGGTGGCCAGGTTTGTCCAGTCCAGATCATCCAACAAGCCCACGGCGATGGGGCAGGTCTGAGGCCAACGCAGGAAGCCGGTGGTCAGGGTCTGGGCTGGGGGGGGGTCCGTGGCTGGGCAGAGCAGGGCAGGGCTGCAGCTGGAGATCAGCACCCCCAAGCACTGCAGGGAGGGGAGAGGGGGCTCAGGGCTGAGCTTAAATAGAGCTCTGGCCCCGGGGGTGGGAGCCCAGGTGAGGCTGGTCAGGCTGTCAAGGGCTGGTAGTGCCTGCAGGGTCCTGGCACTGCTGTCCCCGTGGGGCTGGCCCCAGGGCCCCCACAGCAGGGCTGGGGCACCGCCCCTGCCCCAGTCTGCACAGCAAGGCCAGTTCTGGGACACGCACCCCGGCACACATGTCCCATCCTGCGACACAAAGTCCGTTCTGGAGCACATGGGCCCTTCCCGGGACTCACAGCCCGTCCCTGTACACACGTCCCATCCCAGCACATGTGTCCCATCCCAGCACACACATGTCCTGTCCCAGCACACACACGTGTCCCGTCCCAGCACACACACGTGTACCATCCCAGCACACACACGTGTCCCGTCCCAGCACACACATGTCCCATCCCAGCACACCCGTCCCGTCCCAGCACACACATGTGTCCCATCCCAGCACACACACACGTCTCGTCCCAGCACACACATGTCCCATCCCAGCACACACATGTCCCATCCCAGCACACACACATGTCCCATCCCAGCACACACATGTCCCGTCCCAGCACACACACATGTCCCATCCCAGCACACACACATGTCCCATCCCAGCACACCCGTCCCGTCCCAGCACACACACATGTCCCATCCCAGCACACACATGTCCCATCCCAGCACACACACATGTCCCATCCCAGCACACCCGTCCCGTCCCAGCACACACACATGTCCCGTCCCAGCACACACACATGTCCCATCCCAGCACACCCGTCCCGTCCCAGCACACACACATGTCCCATCCCAGCACACACATGTCCCATCCCAGCACACACACATGTCCCATCCCAGCACACACATGTCCCATCCCAGCACACACACTTGTCCCATCCCAGCACACACATGTCCCATCCCAGCACACACACATGTCCCATCCCAGCACACACATGTCCCATCCCAGCACACACACTTGTCCCATCCCAGCACACACATGTCCCATCCCAGCACACACATGTCCCATCCCAGCACACCCGTCCGGTCCCAGCAGACCCGTCCCCTCCCGGGGCGGGCCGGGGCCGGGGCCGGGGGCGGTGCGGGGCCGGGGGCGGTGCGGGGGCGGTGCGGGGGCGGTGCGGGGCCGGGGCCGGGGCCGGGGCCGGGGCCGGGGCGGGCGGAGCTCCGCGGGCCGCGCCTCCGGGAGAGCCGGGCCGGGCCGCGGCCGGGGCCGCCGGCAGTGCGGGCAGCGGCGGCAGCGCCATGGCGGAGCCGGAGGCGGCGGCGGCGGCGGCGGAGGCGGAGGCGGAGGCGGAGGCCGGGCCCGGGCGGCGCGGGAAGAGGCCCGGGGAGGAGGAACCGGCCGAGGCGGCGGCGGAACGGGGCGGCCGGCGGCGGCGGAGGTGGGCGGCGGGCCGGGCCGGGAGCGGGGCCGGGCCGGGAGCGGGGCCGGGGTCGGCATCGGGGCCGGGATCGGGATCGGGACCGGGATCGGGATCGGGACCGGGATCGGGGTCGGGATCGGGACCGGGATCGGGACCGGGATCGGGATCGGGACCGGGATCGGGATCGGGATCGGGGCCGGGACCAGGATCGGGATCGGCATCGGGATCGGGGCCGGGATCGGGACCGGAACCGGGATCGAGATCGGAGTCGGCATCGGGATGGGGATCGCTCCGGGATCGGGGCCGGGGCTCGGCGGCGCTCGGCGGGCGCTGGCCGCGGTGCTGTCCCGGCCCGGCCCGGCAAGCACCGAGTCACCCCGTCCCCGGGCAGCTTCCCGCCGGCGGCGGAGCCCCGCGGAACCACCGTCCTGCACGACACCGTCAGCACCCGCCCGCAGCCCCTCTCGGGTGAGACATTGCGGGGAGGGCGCCCGCTGCGCCCGGGGCCCCACCGGCCCGGTGCCGGTGCCGGTGCCGGTGCCGGTGCCGAGCCGCACAGGCAGCGCTCCTCGCTGACCCCGTCCCCCCTCTCCCCACCCGCCCCAGCGAGGCACTTCGACATCAAGACGACGGAGCCCATCAGCTTCTTCTTGTCCGGCCTGGAGGAGCTGCTGGCCTGGCAGCCCGACAGCAACGACGACTTCAACGTCTCCGCCGTGCCGCTGGCGAAGCGCCAGCCGCCGCTCGGCAGCGGGAGGCCCCGGACGCTGGTGTGCCACGACATGCGCGGCGGGTACCTGGAGGACAGGTACGTGCCGGGTGGAGGGCAGACGCGGCAGCGGGGCTCGACAACTCAAACCCCAAACCCCTTCCGTTCCTGCTGGCTCGGCCGCGGGTGGGTGGGGACGGGAGGGCTCGGCTCTTGGTGCTGGAGTGTGGTGACTTTGCTCGGGCGAGCCCCAGCCGGGGTCCGCAGGGGTGGCTCAGTGCCACAGCTCTGCCCGGCCCCCGGGCCGTGAGTCAGGCTCCTGCCCAGCCCCGCAGCCGTCTGCCAGCGCCCTGCCCGCATTGCCCAACGCTCTTCCCTCTCTGCCGCCGCAGGTTCATCCAGGGCTCAGCCGCACGCAACCCCTACGTCTTCTACCACTGGCGCTACATCGACATCTTCGTCTACTTCAGCCACCACACCGTCACCATCCCGCCCGTGTGCTGGACCAACGCGGCGCACAGGAACGGCGTCCCCGTGCTGGGTGAGGGCCGGGCCGGTGGCTGCGGGACCGGGACCGGGGCAGCTGCAGGCGCACGGTGGGTTTGCCGGGGCCTGCGGCTGACGCTGCTCTCTTGCTGCGTCCCCAGGCACGTTCATCACGGAGTGGACAGACGGGGAGAAGCTGTGCGAGGCGTTCCTGGCCGGCGGGGAGGAGGCGTACGGCGCCGTGAGCGAGCAGCTGGCCCGTGTCGCCCAGCACTACGGCTTCGACGGCTGGCTGGTCAACATCGAGAACATGCTGAGTGTGAGCTGCCATCGCGCCCTGCCCGCCCCCCTGCCCACCCCCCTTCCTTCCCCCTGCCTGCCCCCCTGCCCGCCCCCCTGCCCGCCCCCCTGCCCGCCCCCCGGCCCTCACACTGCTCCCACCCCGGGCTGACCCGTCCCTGCTCTCTCCGGCCAGGCGGCAGCGGTGGGGAACCTGGTCCCCTTCCTGCGGCACTTGACGACGCGGGTGCACGGCGCCGTGCCGGGGGGGCTGGTGATCTGGTACGACAGCGTCCTGCGGGACGGCGCACTGAAATGGCAGAATGAGCTGAACGAGGAGAATAGGTGAGGCCGGGCCCTGCCCCTCCGCCTTGCTCTGGCAAAACGGGCCTCGGGGCCGGGGGGGGCATCAGCCCACCCCAAACCCAGTGCTGGCAGGGCGGGGGTCAGGGAGTGGCCTGCACAGCCCTCGGTGGGGTGGTCTGCAGGGGACCGCCACAGTGTCTGCCCTGCCACCGTGAACCCCCGTCCCCAGGGTGTTCTTCGACGCCTGTGACGGGCTGTTCACCAACTACAACTGGAAGGAGGAGCACCTGGAGCGCACCCGCGCGCTGGCGGGGCCGCGGGACACCGACGTCTACGTCGGCATCGACGTCTTTGGCCGCGGGGACGTGATCGGTGGTGGCTTCGACACCAACAAGGTGAGTGCCGGGGCAGGGCCAGAGCAGGACCCTTGGCCTCCCCCTGGCACAGGGCTCTGCGCTCCCAGCGACGGCCGTGCCGGGGCCGTGCCGCACCGCACCATGCCGTGCCGCTCCCCCGGGGATGCAGCGGTGAGGGGCGGGGGAACCCAGGGCCGCTGGGCTGCCAGCCGTGCCGGGGAGGGAGCCGGGCGATCCCGGTGCCGCGGGAGATGCCGCAGCACATCCCCACGGTGTTCTCCGGCCCCACCATGGGGCCAGGGGGACCTGGGGGAGCGGGGACTGGGCAGGTGACAAGGGGACTGCCTGGCCCCGCCCGTGCTGCTCACCACTCGTCTCTGCAGTCCCTGCGCCTGATCCGCCAGCACGGCCTCTCCGCAGCCATCTTCGCTCCCGGCTGGGTCTACGAGCACCTGGGGGAGGAAAACTTCCTGCAAAATGAGAACAAGTGAGGGCGGCTCAGCAGGGCGGGGGGCCTGGGCGGAGCACCCCGGGCCTGGAGGGCTGCCGGGTGGTGGGACAGGGCTGCTGGGGGACCGTGGCTGGCAGCCAGGACCAGGCTGGCCCTGCTGCGCCCCAGCTGAGGTGATGCCCGAGGCAGTGCCAGGGCAGTGGCCGTAGCCGGGGGCTCTGCTCTGACTCCTGCCTGTTCCCCCAGGTTCTGGGGCTCGCTGGCCGAGTACCTGCCCACGCACAGCATCTGCACGCTGCCCCTCGCCACCTCCTTCAGCCTGGGCATGGGCACCAGCAGGTTCCTGGCTGGCAAGGTGGGTGCGGGGTGATGGCTCGGCTCCGGCTGGGCAGGGGTGGGCTAGTCAGGGGGGGGCCCTGCTCCCTGCTCCCCTCCCAGCCCAGCTCGCCCTGTCCCGCAGGAGGAAGAGGCCGGGCCCTGGTACGACCTGAGCGCGCAGGAGATCCAGCCCCTGTACCCGGAGCGTGAGGGCAGGCTGAGCACCAGCTGCTGCCTGCAGGACGCCTGGTGCGGGGGCAGCTCCCTGAGGCTGCAGGGGACCATCCCCCCCGGCGAGGAGCGCGTGGCTATCCGGTGAGTCGGGGGCAAAGCCCCCTTGCCACCCCCTCAGCGCCGGGCTGTCACCGTGCCGGCACAGCGTGGCCCCCATGGCCCGGGCAGAGCTGTGCGGCCCCGCGGCCTCGTGGTGAGCGTGCCACGGGGCGCTGTGCCCGCACTGCCCTGCGGACCTAACCCGATGCATCTTCTCTTTCTCTCCTCTCTCTCTCTCTCTGTCTCTCTCTGGGTGGATCTGGGGTCATCAGCCTTTTCTCTTTGCAGATGCCGGCGCCCCCCAAGCTCTTCCTGACCCTGCTCTACAAGCTGGAGGGGCCGCACCCCGACGAGTTTGCAATTGCGCTGGAGCTCACCACCTGGGACTCGGGTAGCTGCCACGAGGGCAACGTCACCTCCCTGCCTGGTGAGGGCCCTGCCACCCCCACCGCTGCGCTCTCTCTGCCGTGAGCACCCGCTGTGGGGCACGGGACCAGCTCAGCACCTCACCCTGCACAACCCTGCTCCCCCCGGCAGAGCCCAACGGCCGGCACCACCCCCGGTTCCTCCCGGCGCCGCCACCCAGCCTCGCCAAGCTGCTCGCCGCCTGCGACCGCGGCTCCCACGGCTGGACCAGCCGGTGAGTGCCCTGCCAGCACCCTGCACCCGCGGGCAGGCGTGGGCACCCCGGGGCCCCCCCGGCACCGTGCCCACCCTGCCCCGCCCCTCTCAGGTGCTACGAGCTGGACCTGCAGGACTGCAGCCTGCGAGACCTCTCCCTGCTCGTGTCCCGCCACCAGCCCAGCCCGCAGGAGACCCCCTTCACCTGCCTCCTCGGGGAGGTCCGGGTGAGTGCCCGCCGCTGCCAGGGCCGGGAGCCACCCGCCCCGGTGCCACCCGGTGCCAGGAGGGTGGGTGAGCGCCCGCCGCTCCCGGCCCCCGCAGCTTTGTGGTTCCCTCCGCAGGTGCTGGATGCGGCCGGCGCGGCAGCCTCCCCGCCGCAGGTGCAGGGCCTGGCGGCCTCGCAGCTCTGGTGGCAGGAGGGCCCCGACGCGGAGCAGCTCTCGCTCAGCCTCACCCTCCGCTGGGTTTTCCCGCCCGGCCGGGCCGGCTGCTTCCGCGTCCTCAGCCAGGGTGCTGGGTGCCACCGGGGCCGGCGGCCGCCGCAGCTCCTGGGGCTGGCGCACGCCTGCCTGTACCGCGCCGTGGGGCTGGTAGTGCCGCGGCCAGCGGCCGGCCAGTCCTGCCAGCTGGAGCTGCTGGTGGAACCGGTGCTGCGCGACCAGCTGCCCGTGGCCCTGGACCACTGGGGACGGCTGGTGCTGGTCTACTCCGAGCCAGCCAGCGGCACCGGCCGCGACGGGCATTAAAGGCAAGCGTGGTGCAGCGCCGCGTCCGTGTCTCCTCCGTGCTGGCGGGCGGGCGGGGGGCTCACAGGCTGGAGGCTGCATCTCATCACCCTGGTTCGGTGGGTCCCTCTCCTCCCATCCCTGTGGCTGGGATGTGAGCAGCCCTCACCGTGGGGGCCTGCTGGGTGCTGCCCAGGGACCCTCCCCCCCCCAGCTCCTGCACCCGGGCTGTGCCCATGCTGCCTCCCCTGGATAGCTTATGCGGAGAAGGGGAGAAAATTTATAGCAGCAATTATTTTCTCACAGTCTGGTGAGCAAGCAATTAGCAGGCAGGGAGGCAGGCAAGCGCACGGCGCAGCGGGGTCGCCCAGCCCCAGCTCCCTCCGAGCGCCGGCCCCGGGCCCACAAACAATGCTGGCTCCCGGTCAGGAAAATTAATATGTCAGCAGTTAAGCTGCTGCTCCTCTGGTGAGGGACTCGCTCTGAAATGAATTAACTGACGGTTTGAAAAATGAAGGGCTTGGCACAGCCAGGGGAGGGCTCCTGCCGTGCCGGCACCCCGCTCCCTTGCTATGGCGAGGCCGGGGGTCCTGGCAGGTTCCCCCTGCGCCTGCCGCAGCCTGCAGCCCCCTGCCCAGAGGTGTGCCAGGACAGCCGGACCCGCCGTGCCAGCCACGGCCCCGCGCCAGCACCCCAGTCAAAACCTGAGTCGCCCTGGTTGAAGAAAGAAATCTTTATTAATAATTTCAATAATAATAATAATAATCCTTGTAATAATAATAATAATAATAATAATAATAATAATAATAATAATAATAATACTGTTTATTAGAATGGTCACACCTTTGAAGCATACAGGATGGGCCGGCGCCAGCCTGCGCGCCGGCGGCCGGCGCAGGGGTTTGCTGTAAGGAAGAAGCCAGTACAGCGATGGACGGAGCTTTGTACAGGGGCGGGGGCGCGGGGCTGGGGCGGCCGGGGCTATGTACACCGGGAATAGAAAAGGGGGAGCTCGTCACTGGAGCATCGGGGGCGTCTGCAGACTAGAAAGTGAGGTTTGAGGAGTGGCGGAGCCACGCGGGGCAGGGGGGCTGGGGGGGGGGGGGGGGCCGAGGCTGCGGGACGGGGGCTGCACCCCGGGGTGGGCGCTGCGCAGAGCCCCGCGCCACCGGGCACCGGACCCGGTGTGCCGGCTGCCGCAGACCGACCCCGGGGCTCGGGCCGGTCCCCGCCGGCGATGCAATGGTGAGACCCCACGCCGAGGGCTGGCGGGGTCCCGCTGTCTTGGGCAGGGACGGGTGGCCGGGACCGTGTCCCGCACCACGGAGCAGGAGCAGGATTGGGGCAGTCCCCGTCCCGGCTCAGCGCGGGGGGGGGGGCCGCGAGCGGCGTCGGCCTTGGCTGCTCCCTGCAGGGTGGGAGCCCCGGGTGCGTCAGGGGATGGACGGGGAGGGAGGGGAAAGGGATCGCAAGCGAGTTGCAAGCTCCTCTTAACAAAAATTCCCTTTAAAAGGCAGAGGCTCGTCCCCCTGCAACGCCCAGCGCCTCAGCAAAGCGGCTGCGCCGCCGCCCCAGCTCCACGCGGGAGCCGAGGCCTCGCACACTCGACACGCTGATGACCGGCAAGCGCCGGAGCTCGGAAAACACGAAGCCGGGTTTCCACGCCGGCGCCCGGTCCCCCGAGCCGGGGAAGGGGTGGCGTGCCGCAGCTCCGCGCCGGGGCTGAAAGGAAGACGTGGTGCCCAGGCCCTGCGCCCGGGCGGCGGGGGCCCCTCCGGACACCCCCGCGCTCGGTGGGGTGCCGGCTCCCCTCGCTGCCGTGGGCTGCGGGGCCGGGGCGGAGGGGGGCCCCTCGGGCGTGTCCGGCCGGTCCGCGCTCCTCCGGGACTCGCTCGCTCGGTGCGTGTGTGGACAGTACGGGACGTTCACTCGGCTGTTACCGCTTTGCTTTTTGTTGTTGTTGTTGTTGTTGCTTTGCTTTTAATTTTTTTATTTTTGATTTTTTTTTTTGGGGTGTGTGTGTGTGTGTGGATTTTTTTTTCTTTTTTTTTTTCTTTTTTTTTTTTTGCCCTTCCTGGTCCCAGAAGGAAACGGCCGCGGTTTCACTACAACAGAAACAGAGAGGCAGGTCTTTCGCTGGAGCGGCGTGCGGGGCAGCCCGGCCGAGCTGCGGGCCGGGGGGGGACACGGCCACCAGCCCGGTCCCCCCGAGCCCCACACCGCGCCCCACGCCTGCTGCACCAGAGCTCCGCTACTGCCCGGGGGGCCGCCCCGGGGTTTGGGGGGGCTGTCCCCGGGGTCCTGCACCCGCCCCAGCCCAGCTCCATCCCCGGAGCTTGCAGCAGCCCCCGCCAGCTCCTGTCTCTCCTATGGGGGGGCGAGGGGCTGCTCCGGGGCTGCCGTCAGCGCCGTGCCCCCATCCCCTCCTGCCTCGTGGGGGGACGAGCCCCCTGCACCCCCCGGCAAGGGCAGCGCCCGCCGGGGGCTCGGGCCAGCGTGGAGCTGCACGGGGACCCCCGCGCCCCGGCTCCGGGAAACGGGGTGCCGCCGGGGCCGAGGGCTGGCCCCGCTCGCGGGGGACCCCGGAGCGCCGGGGCAGCACCGGGGCGCGGGGCAGGCGGACGGCGCAGGAGACGCGGGCGGGCGGCGGGACGGAGCGGCGGGAGGTGACCCTACGGGGGTGGGCAGCCGCCGAGCCCGGCCCGCGGTTCCTCCGGAGGCCCGGCCCCGGCTCTGGCTGCCCGGTTTGGTTTGGTGCTAGTGAGCGGCAGTGTTAGTGGTGGGAGGGGCTGGGTCTGTCTTGCTAGTAGGGAGTGAAGCGGCTGTACCCTCCTCGGTATAGACTAGCCTGCAACATCAAAGATGAAAAAAAAGCCAATCAGTATTCGAGAGAGAGGCAAAGCCCAGTTCTTCCCTTTTTTTTTTTTAAATATTTTTTTTTTTCCTTTTTTTTTTTTTTGTTAATTTTTTTTTTTTTTTTTCCTCCTTTCTTTCTCTCTTTTAAATGACACCAAATCGCTGCTGTCCTCGGGCCAGGCAGGGCCGAGGGTGCCCGGTGCTGCCCAGGCTCTGGGACGGCCCCGGGTGCTGCCCTGGGGCCGTGCATGGGCCAGAGGCTGCGGGGCGCCCCGAGCCCCAGTGTCCCCAGTACGGCACCACTGTGGCCAGCCCGTCCCCGTCCCCGCTGCGGCGCTGGGCTGGTACCAGCCCTGCCCATCCCTGCGGGACCGAGGGGCCGGGGGGTGCTTGGCAGCCCGGCCCCAGCCGGGGAGTGGATTGGGGAGGGGATTAAAAAAAGGAAGAAAAAGATGGGTTGGCTTTGAGATCCTGCCCACGAGTGGGATTTTTCATCTTTGATGCTGGTTGTGAAGCTAGCTAGGAGCCGTGGCGCGTGGGTGGGCTGCAGGCACCGGTGCGCACACGCGTGTTCCCTGTGCGTGGCTGTGCGCCAGGGAGGAGAAAGGGGGGGTCCCTGTCCCCAGGCAGGACCCTGGGGTGCTGCCCAGGCAGCTGGTGCTGGGGGGGTGTGGGGGGGCAGCTGGGCCCCCGGGAAGCGGCGTGCACAGGCGGGACTGCGTGGGGCTGCCAACGGCCGGGTGTAACGGGGTGTGCGGGGTGGATGCACAGGGTGGGGGGTTTTGGGGGGGGGGTCTCCTCTCTTGCCTGCCTGCGGACAGAGCCAGGCAGGGGCTGCGCTGCTCCTGCCGCCGCCGCCAGCTCCTGGCCCCCCCCCCGCTCCCCCCTTGCCTGCCCCCGCGCCCCTCAAGCTCCCCGGGCTGCCCCCCCGCCCCCGGCCTGGCCGCAGCTCGCACCGGGAAGCAACGAAAGGCCGTGGGGGCTGCGCTTACCATGGTGCCGATGCTGTACGTGGCGGCGGGGCCGATGGTGTGGTGGTACGGGTCTGCCGCTGCGTACACTCTGCCGTAACTAGGAGCAAACACAGCGGTGGGCGTTAGCGACCGGGGTTGGGGTCCCATCTCCCCTCAACAGCCCTCCCTGCCCAGCCGCTGCATCCCCCTGATGCACCTGGGACCCACCCCAGGATCTCCCCGCTTCAGTCCCTCTCTGGACGAGCCCACGGGGAGCACAGGGGCACCGGTTTGCAGGACCCTCTCACTGCGCCGGGCTCTGACCTCATCCCATGGGGCACAAAAGCTGGGGTGTGTCGGACTGGGTGATGCACAGGGTGAAACGGGGCTCCCCCCCCTCCGGGAGCGATGCCTGCGGTGCCGCGGTGCTTACCTGTCGCTGTACGCTGCCGCTGCGGGCTGGGCGTATCTGTAGGCAGCGTAGCCCCCCTGCAGCGGAGGAGAGACGGCGGTCAGGGGGGGCAGCACCCGCCGGGGGAGGCTCGGGGGGCCGGGGCAGCCGGGCACCCCCCCAGTGCTGCCACGGAGCAGCGCTGGGACCCCGCGGGGAGCCGGTGCCCATGCCACCAGGCGCACACCAGCTTCATTACCATTCCCCAGGGGCTTTCACAAACATTAACCTTAAAAAATTAAATTTCCAGAGGAGAGAATGTCACCTCCCTGATCGCTTTAATGAGGTGTCACGTTAGATAAATCCTTCAGCCGCCCGCCTGAAATATCGCCAATGGCTTCTTAAATATGGAGGTTAAATGCCGGTGTGAGACGGCGCGCCAGCGCTTGCCGAGGCCGTAAATCCAGCTTAGCGCTGGCCCTGCGAGGGGCCTGGCTGGGGACACGGGACCCTGCACGGTGCCACCCCGCTCCCGGCCGCCCTCCGGCTGCCGTCCCCAGGGGACGGGGCTGGCAGGGGGCAAAGCCCAACGCGGAGCTGCCCGGTGCCGCTCGCCCCTGGCACAGGGTCCCTGGCATGAGCCGGGCACGGCACTTACGTAGATCTCGGCTCCGTAGAACCCGTCCTGGTAGACGACCCTGCAAACGAGGTGGAGGCGTCAGAGCCGGGCCCGTGTCACCGGCCAGGATCGGGGTGAAGCCGGTGACCTGGGGGAGCTGCTTCCAGCAGCGCAGCCGACGGGCGAGGAGTGGCCATCCAGGCAGCCCCAGGGCACATCCCGGGCTGGGACTCCTGGCAGGGAGGGCAGGGACATGGGGACAGGCGGAGGGCACGGCCGAGGGCAGGGGCTGCCACGGGCATGGAGGCGTCCGGGGGGCACGATTGCTGCTGGGAGCAATCCGGCGGCCAGAGCTTCCCGCGGCCGTTCCCGACACCAGAGCGGCCGCCTGAGCCGGGAGAGAATTTCTATTAAACCAACCGACACGGCTGGAATAACGGTCCATGCTTCGGGGGGGGCAGTGAGCACGTGGGTCACCCCGAGGGGCTGGAGCCGGGGGGGTTTCACAGAGCCTGAGGCCAGGTGGGTGCTGGGGAGCTGCAGCCCGTCCCCGAAGCACGCGAGCCCACTAACGCCGATGCCGACGGCAGCAGAATGGGAGCAAGGCGGCAGCAAAGGGCCCCCCCGCCCCGCGGCAGCCGGTGCCCCCCGTGCCCGGGTACTCACGCGCCGTAGGTGGGGATGGGCGGTGGCGGCGGCGCGGCCCGGAAGGTGTTGTAGACGGCGCGTCCTCGTCCCCGTAGGTGTGCCCCTCGGTAGGCCACGGCCGTCCCCGTGGCGGGGTACGGGAACCCCGTTACTGCAGGAGGGGGGGGGACAAACGTGGGCTTTCGGCGGCAGGTCCCCACGGCTCACGGATGGGACCCCTGCCTCCCGTGCCAGAGTCTGCCCCTGGCCCATGGGGACACGCGGGGATGGGGCGGGGGGAGCTGTGCCCGCAGGGGTGCAGGACAGGGAGAGGGGCCGGGGGGCTGCTCAGAGCAGCGGCGGGGGCAGACACGCTGCGGAGCCAACGCTGGGGGGGGGGGACCTGCAGCAGGGCTGGCCCCGACCCGACATTACCTGCGTAGAACTCGGGGCCGTACACCGCTCCCACCACCGGGTTCAGCTTCCAGCCTGCGGGCAGGGAGAGCTGGTGAGGCCAGGGACGCCCCCCCCCAGCGCTCCCCGCACCCCCAGCTGGGCTCCAAGGGGCCACAGCTCCCGTCCCTGGGGCTGCTGCAGGGTGTGGGGTGCCTGGGGGGGCTGCACCCCCACATCGGGCAGGGAACGGCCGCTCTCCCGCCTGCCCAAGGGTGCGGCGAGCGTTTGCTGCAGCAGCTCGGCGCGGGTGCCCGGGGATGCCCCTGCCCGGTGCAGCTCCGGCTCCTCGCGCGGGCCCTTACCGTTGGTGTAGGGGTTGGCAGCCTTCTTGTTCGTCATGACCCGGGCCGTGGCGTTGTTCACCTGCGGAGAGAGGGGACGGGAGCTCAGCGCCTGCGGGCAGCGGGGCTGGCGAGGCCGCAGCCCAGGGCCCGCTCGGCGCGCGTCGCTGCTGCTTCCGATGCCGGAGCGAAGGATGCCGGAGAGGTGGGACGAGCCTCTGCCCACAGCCACCCCACCGTGACGTGGTCCTACCCTGCCCCCAGCATCGAGCGAGGGGCGGGCTGGTGGCCGATGCCCTGACTGCTGTGGTGCCATGCTCAAGCTGAGCCCCGACGTGCTGCCGCCAGGCTCGGCCACCTCCTGTCCCCACCCCAGCCTGCGGGAAGGACGCGCTTGCGGCAGGAGCCCGGGTCCCTCCTGCAAGCACCCGCGAGCTCCTGCCCGGCTTTGTCAGGCCGCGTTCTCTGACAGGCATCTCCTGGGGGCACCGCTGTGCCCGGCCAGGCCGCCCTTGACGTTTGCGTCCCGCTCCCTCCGCTGCGCGCTGCCCCGCCGGCGATCAGCAAGGTGCTGCCGGCAAACGGGCAGAGCCCGATCCCTCTGCCTGGAGTGAAGAAATAAAAGCCTCCGGGGCTGGGCAGCTGCCTGCACAGCAGGCGCAGGAGCCCTGGGCAGCATCCTGCCCTCCCGGGCGCAGGGGAGCTGGGGGCAGCGCGCGGAGCAGAGCCTTTCTCCTCCCCACAGAGCTCGGGGCAGCTGCGTGGTGGGCACGGGGGCTGCGGGCAGCTGGGGTCCGCCGGACCCCTCCAGGACTGGCAGAAGGCAGCCAGAGCCCGGGCAGGTGCCCCAGCTCTCCCCCAGCGCCGGAGGTTCGGTTGAGCCGGGTGCTCCTTGCGCCGAGCTCCCCAGCTGCCGGCACACATGCTCCCGTGCCGCGCTCACGGCCGCATGCACGTGCCGGGCACGGCTCCCCTGGGGCATGCGGGACCCGGAGCCGCCCCAAAGTGTCCCCTGTCCCCGCTCTGCCCTGCCCGCAGCCCCCGGCAGGAGAGGGCCCCCAGGCAGGGCGGGGGGGACGCACGCACACGCAGGCATGGCACTAGCACACTTATCTGAGCACCTCAATCTTCCGGCCCTCTACGATGGTGCCATTCAGCTTCTCCCGTGCCCGGTCGGCATCTGTGCTAGTTTCAAAAGTTACAAACCCAAAACCCTGTGAGCAGAGGAGAAAAGGAGAAAGAAAGAGACAGAGAGACAGAGAGAGGGTGCGGGGGACAGAGAGAGAGAGGGGGTGAATCAGGAGAGTTGGCGCAGGAGATGAGGCTGCCGCAGTGCAGAGATGGAGAGCCCGGGCTGGGGCCCCCGCTGAGGCCGGGGGTCCCCGCTGAGGCCCCAGCATCGCCCACAAGCTGGGAGAAGAGTCTGGGAGAGGGGCACAGAAAGCGGGGAAGATACAACAGAGACATCCACACACAGAGGGACACGAGCTGCCTGTGTCGGGGGTGCAGAGAGAGCCCTCCCCTCCCTCCAGTGCTCGGGGCGCAGGGACCCCCACGGCCCCCCCGGCCGGCGCAGGGCAGCGGGATGGGGCTGCCCCGAGATGGGGTACCCCGTGCTGGGGTCCCGGGGGGCAGGAGAGGAGGGGAGAGCAGGCAGAGGAGCTGCTGGGCATCCTGGCTCCACCGGGCCCCCCCTGGGGCTCGCCGTAAGGGCGCCGGCCGCGGGCAGCACCCACCTTGGAGCCCCGCTCGTTGAAAATGATCTCCACGTCCAGGATCTTCCCGAATTGCTGCAGGCAGAGAGAGCAGAGGGGTGAGCGCCCGCAGAGCCCCCGGCCCCCCGCGCCCGCACCCAGGGCTGCTGGCACAGGGCTCTGCGCTCGCCGGGCCAGGGACGGGCAGGGGGCTGCCCCGGGGGCCGGAGCACGGGACCCTCAGTGCCATGCAGGGGACAGCCCCCATCCCTCCCATGGCACCCACTCTTCCAGGACTTGAGGAGTATCACCCAAAATCTCCTTAGCCTGCACTGCTCTGAACCCTAATGAGGGCTGGGAAGGGGACAAGGGGAGGGGGACAACGGCTCGGTGTCACTGCCCCCTCCACGCAGGGGCCTTGGTCCGACAGCCTGGCATTAACCAGGGTGCAAACCCTGCGAATCGCCGCTCCTGGCCAGCGCGGGCCCTCGGGACGGGCCAGTGCCGGGGTCCCAGGGGTGCCACGGGGCAGCAGCCGAGTGGAGAGCAGGGGACGCGGGTGGCTGGATGGGGCCGGACTCACCCCGAACATTTGCCGCAGGTCAGGGTCCCGGAATCGGAAGGGGATGTTGGAGACGTGTAACCTCTTGGGCTGCTGCTTGTCTGTGGTGTCTGAGGAGTGTAGCTGCTGGCTGTCTGTCTGTGCCGCCTCGTCTGTCTGCTACAGGAAGCACCACCAGCTGTCAGCCCCTGGCCTTGCCAGCCCCGCATGCCCCGGTGGGGGTCCGGGCTCAGGGACTGTCCCCCTTGCCCCGTGCAGTCCCTGCGGTCCCCAAACCCCGGGCAGCACCCCATGGGTCTCCCCACAGCCTGGCGAGTTGGGGGGATGCCAGAGCGGGATCTCTGTACCATTGGGGAACCCCCAGCCTGGGGAACCAGCCACCGGCCCTGCCTGCACCTCCCCGCCTCAGCCGGTGCTGCCGGCGGGGTCAGGGCATCACCCGCCCCATGAGCGGGTGACATGGGGGGCTGAGCGCTGGGAGCACACCCGGGGGGGTGGGGGGTGACCCACTGCAGACAGACAGCCAGCATTGAGTGGCCTCACACCAGCCTTACCCCTCCCCCAACAGCCCGGTGCCCGGGGGGCCCACGAGTGCTTTTGGGGTGGGGGTGGCAGACCTCGGCTCAGCACTTTCCCGGGCGCTGCGTTACAACCCTGTAATTGAAGGTATCTGGTGGGACGGCAGCCAAGCCGGGAGATTGCAAGTGATTAGAAATGACGGGGCCGGGGGGGGGGCTGCGCGGGAGAGAGCCGGTGGCCACGGCGGGGGCACCCAGCCCAGCACCCCGTGGGACTGCAGCCACGCAAGCACTGCGGCCCCGGCAGCTCCGGCGCTGCCCCCGGACCCCCGCCTGCCCGCCCCCCCCCCCGCCCCCCCCAGCACCGCTCCCCCCTTACCGGTACCGTCTGCGTCCCTGCTATGGACTGTGTGCTGGCGTCGGTGCCCGGCTGCTCGGCGTGGCTCTGTGCTGGTGTGTAGAGGGTCATGGCGTGCTCCGGTACTGTGCTTTGCCCCGAGTAGTCCTGCGTGGGGTGGGGGTGCGGCGGCGCGTACTCTGCGGGGATCCCGTTCTGGGGGGGCGGGGGGTACTGGGCCGGGGGGTAGGGCTGAGCCATCGCGTCCGGCGGAGCCGTGGCGTCCTGGTTACCCTGCCAAGACAGCGGCACCGTCCCCCTTACCCACTGATGTCCCCAGGGAGGGGTCCTGGTCCCTGCAGCCAGACCCAGGCCCCCCCGCCCCACCTCGCCCCAGCCTTTGGTGTGTCCCCCCCAAACCCCGGGTTGTCTCTGTGCCGCAGCAGCTCTTGGGTCGCGTTGCCTGCGGCTGAGCCCCCGTCCTCTCCCGCTGCGGTGCCGTGCCCGCCCGGTGCACCGGGGCTCGGCAGCGGGACGGAGCCCCCCCCGCGGGGCTTCACTGGGGGAGCCTGCCCACGGGCTTCCCCTGCGGGGAGGAAACCAGGGCAGCCCCCGCTTTGGAGCTGAATGTGGGGCAAAGCGAAGCCAGGAGGCCCCAGCATTGCTCCGGGGGGGCTGCGCAGCATCAGCGCCCGGCGTCCCGGTGACGGTGGTGGCAGCGAAAGAGGAGCGGGGCCACGGCGGCAGGGAGGGGCAAACACCAGACAGGAATCAATTAACTGCTAAATATTTGATTAGGCCTTTTGCTCTAACGCAGCCGGCCCGGCCGCCCCGGTCAAATGGGGTGAGCTGCCCCCGCGCCACGAGCCGAGGGCTGTCTGCTGGGGGGGGGTGGGGCTGGCGGGGGGCAGCGTGGGGCTGCCAGCCAGCACCTCTCCTGCACACCCACCCATCCTCACAGCCCCGCGTGCACCCGCGGGCTCCCCCCCTCCCCTTGCACACGCGTGTGCTGCACCCGCCGCCGCACACCAGCACCCACCGCAGCGCCTGGCAGCAGCCCCCCCCGTTCCCCACCCCCCCACCCCGCCGGCAGCCAAGAGCCTGCGAACGCCTGAGCCAGCGCAGGGGGCAGCGCCGGCAGCCCCCCCGGATGCTTTACAACCCGCCGTGGCAGCCTCTCGCCCGTGAAATACAGCTGTGGCTCAGCCCGCGAAGACAAGCTCCTTAATTGCGTGCGCGGCCGATTTACGGCGCGGAGGGATGGCGCGGGGGGGACGAGGGGGGGATGCCGCGCTGCCAGCCACCGTCCCCCAGCTGTCGTGCCCACGAGGGAGGCAGCGGAGCCCACGCCGAGGGCACGGCGGGGACCACGTGCGAACGCGGCGGGGACAATCCCGCTGCAGATCTGCAAGTCACCGGCGGGCTCGCCCGCGCCTTGGCGCGCTGACTCAGCTCCTCGGGGACCCGCCGGCCCGGTGCCCCCCGCCGGCCCGGTGCCCCCCGCCAGCCCGGTGCCCCCCGCCGGCCCGGTGCCCCCCGCCAGCGTGGCCCAGGGCTGCCGGTGTCACAGGACGGCGGAGCTGCCCCCCCCCAGTGCTGCCCCGAGCCAGGCAGCTGGGCCCCCCCCCCCCCCAACAAAACGGGGGTCCCCACCCCGCGCCCAATCTGGCCTCAGCACCCGCATCTGCTCCGGGGAGTGGGCAGACACCCGACAGTTGCAGCGGTTGTGCTCCCAGTGCCCAGCCCTCCCTGCCTGCACCCCAGGGTGCCCAGCCCTCTCTGCCTGCACCCCTGGGTGCCCACCACTCCCTGCCTGCACCCCAGGGTGCCTGACCCTCCCTGCCTGCACCCCTGGGTGCTCAGCCCTCTCTGCCTGCACCCCAGGGTGCCTGACCCTCCCTGCCTGCACCCCTGGGTGCTCAGCCCTCTCTGCCTGCACCCCCGGGTGCCTGACCCTCCCTGCCTGCACCCCTGGGTGCCCAGCCCTCCCTGCCTGCACCCCCGGGTCCCTGACCCTCCCTGCCTGCACCCCTGGGTGCTCAGCCCTCCCTGCCTGCACCCCCGGGTGCCCACCACTCCCTGCCTGCACCCCCGGGTCCCCGACCCTCCCTGCCTGCACCCCAGGGTGCCCAGCCCTCTCTGCCTGTACCCCTGGGTGCCCACCTCTCCCTGCCTGCACCCCCGGGTGCCCGACCCTCCCTGCCTGTGTGCACGGAGCCAGCAGCAGGAGCAGCCTGCAGCACTCCCTCCTGTTCCGCGCCGGACACTCGTCCTTGCTGCCACCACAGCCGGGATCAGCCGCCGCCGCAGCGGGGACGGGCTCCGCTGCCCAGGCAGGAGGAGGCGGCAGGGAAGGGGACGCAGAGGGGTGCCGGGGCAGGGACTGTCCCCAACCTGCCCAGGGCTCGGGCCCCACTGCCTCCTCGCCAGCCTGTCCTGACAGCCACGCTCACGCCTGTTATTAATAAAGGCTGTTGCAGTGCTTGTCAGCCCAAGTATTATTTCATTCAGGGACCGTTAGGTTCCCATGTTTTGCCGCTCGCCGGGGCTGCTGGTGCTGCAGAGGCGCAGATCTACAGCTCCCAGTTCCACCCTCCTGCCAGCGCTGCCCGTCCACCCCCGGCGGGGATCGGGCTGCTCGGCTGGGTGCTGGAGGGGCTGCCGGGGGCCAGGGCCCCGCGGGGAGGGGGATGCCGGTGGGTTTGGCTGCATGATGCTCGCTGACGTCACGGGGAAACGGCTGCTGCTCAGCCCCGCACCCTGCGCCGCCTGCGTCCTCCCCGGTCCGCTTGCAGCGCGGGAAAAGCCCCAGCCCCCCCTCTGCTCCTCCTGGGCGGGTTACGGGGCCCCAGCCCCACAGCAGCTCCTTCCCTGGGTCCCTCCCTGCGCCCAGTGCCCGGGGGGGTCCTGGAGACCCACCTCAGCACCCCAGGGGAGGCAGCCAGATGGCACCAGCCTGCAGCCGGGTGCTCCCAGCTTGGGGTGCCCGGATGCACGGGGACTCCGTGGGTGCTGGTGGCTCTGACAGGCGTCCCTTGCCCGTGCACCGCCCGTCCCTCCCGGGGGCAAGGGGGGTGCTCCTGCACGGCGCTTTGTGGGGCAGCTTTCCACACTTGCATTAAAGGAAATTCTGATTATTAATGGCCCACGGCCCTCACTTAGCAAACGAGACAGGGTATTAGTGCGGTATCTGAGACCGAGTGCAGAGCAAAGCCGGCGGTATTTAACCTGGCATGGGGGGGCAAAAGCAGCACCCCACCACCCGTGCTGCTCGTCTGCCCGGGCAGGACGCTGGCAGGGCTGTGGCACAGCCCTGTGCCCAACCACCCTGGCCCTGGGGACAGCATGGGGAGCCGAGGCCTTCGCCGTCAAGGGGAGAAGCGGCTCTGGGAACGCGGCACGTGCTGCTGCATCCCGCTGCTTGCCAGCTCCTTGGCAGAGCACCGCGCCGAGGAGCCCGGGGAGCCCCCGGGGCCAGGGGAGCCCCCCGAGAGCCCCCAGGTGAGGTCCCCTGCGCGGTGTCCCCTGCGCAGTGTCCCTTGCCCTGCCTGCGGCTCAGCCCTGTGCCACCAGCCCTGCGCAGCGGCTGCCGCAGCAGGCAGGAGGTAGATATCATCTTTAGCTGATTAAATGTCCCTCATTAACGAGTTTCTTTAATTAATGAAGTTTTTTTGTTTGCTCCACTTGCTTTCTCCCCACCGCACTCTGCCTCCTCAGCACAATCCAGGCCATTTCCTTTCAAGTCAGTTAGCGCGTGGGGCCGGTTCCTGCCGACGCCGCACTTTGGTGATTGTGCCTGTCAGCTCGGGGCTGACGACGCCATTTTTAACATTTGCTCCTTTTAAAGAAAATAACGCACCGGGAGCCCCCGGACGCAGAGGACGTGCCTGAGCAATTAGCCAAGCGCAGAGCGGGCGAGCTCCCCCGAATTACCGTCCCCCGCTGCCACCCGGCCACGGACGGGCTGTGCCGTGGCCCCATGGTGGCCCCAAGGCCGGCCAGCGAGCCGTGCCCGCACTCAGCCAGAGCCTCTGCTCGCACAAACGGTCACGATTTACAACCAGGCGCAGCCTGTCCCGGGGCTGCTCCCCTTGCCCGCGGCCACCACAAACGTGCCCAGTTTCCTCCAGAAGCCTCGCAGCCATCCCGCCACCTCGGCCCGTCCCTGACCTCATCTCCAGCCCAGGGCAACCCCCTGCCCTCGGCCAGCTCTGCCTGTGGATGTCCCCTTCCCACGCGCTGCGCCCAGACTGGTGCTGCTGGTGCGGGGTGCCGGGGTGGCATGGCACCACCAGGTCCCAGCATGGTCACCTGGCCCCAGCATGGCATTGCCAGATCCCAGCATGGCACTGCCGGGTCCCAGCATGGCACTGCCAGGTCCCAGCATGGCACTGCCGGGTCCCAGCACACACACAGCCTGGCTGGAAGCCACCATGCTGAGCCCCGGTGCAGCTGGGGAGGGGGCACGGTCCCGTCACCACACACCTCCCCACCGCCAGCGAGAAGGGAGCCCCAAGGGCAGGACGCACCGAGGAGCCTGCAGCCACGGGTGTCGGGGAAGCAAAGGCAGCACGGATCCGCAGGCAGCCAGCCCAGCTCCAGCCCCAGTGCCTGCGGCTGTCCCGCTCCTTCCACTGGGAGCCAGCAGGGAGGGACTGCGGTGGGTCCCAGCCCCACTGCAGCACCCAAGGAGGCTGCCAAACTGTTCCCGTGAGCGGCACAGCCTCAGCGGGCAGCACATCCCGCAGGCAGCGAGCGCATTACTCTGGCCCGGGCTGGATCCTGCCTGCTCGCTGCCCGTCAGGGCGTCCCCTCAGCCTGGGCTCGGGGCCCAGCGCTGGGAAGGGTGCTGAGTAATTCCCCGAGGGCACCCCAGCTCTGCCCGCACCAGGAGCCCCCGCCGTGCCCCCCAGCAGGACGGGAAAGCCATGGGAGCATCTGCCCTCAAGCCCAGCAAATGCCCCCCGTGGTGGCAGGAGGGTCCTCGCATCCCCCCTGACCCCTCCAGGCACCCAGGGGTGACACGGCCGTGCCGTCACCGCTGGCTGCCGCGAGGTTGTGCCCAGCACGGCTCATCTGTGTGACAGCCACAACGTCCCCCCTTCGATCCAGCCGCTCGCTCATGCTAATGACTGTCAACATGAAACAGAGGCCGTGAAGGGGAAGAAAATTACTCCCTGAAAAGGAATTGACTGATCCCCGTCATTTCTCAAGGAATCACTGACCTGTGAATATTTCATTACCCAAAATGCTGCGCCATCCATACAAAGCAGCGCGCCCGGCCCCGGGCAGAC